CGCATCTTCAAGCTTGCCTTGCACTTGTAGGTTAGGAAGACGTGGAAGTGCAAGTGACCATGTTAACTGTGAACAATGTTCCCCAACCTCGCAACCGAAGGCAATCGAATCTAAAGGGTGTACGTAGGAGCTTGAATCATTTCGAAGCACGGGGTTGTAGGTGCTTTAGGGAGGAGAAGCCCACATCAGGCTTAAATTCGCGGCCTGCGAGCCGGAACCACCTAAGCATCAAGCTGCATCAGCGCTGTTGGCTTTGTGCTGAAACCAGACGTTGATTCAAGCGCTGCCTTCCCACCCCCCAGGCCCCTGAACCCTACCACCCCAAGTCCCTAAACCCTAAACCCTAACAAAAATTTAAAGCCCTTAAGCCCGAAGCCCGAAACAGGGCTCCGACCCCCCGCTTCGGGAGTCCTTCTGGGCATCCCGCAGCTTGCCTTAGCTGCGCTCACAGGCGCTGTTCCTCTGGGCCGTGCGCCTGATCAACACCCGCAGCAGGGGAGGCCCCGAGATCGTGGAGGGTTTCGGGTTTAGGGTTCGGGTTTAGGGTTTAGGGTTTAAGGTTTAGGGTTTGGGGTTTCGGGTTTCGGGTTTAGGGTTAGGGTTTAAGGTTTAGGGTTTGGGGTTCCTACGTACTAGTGGTAGGAAGAACATAAAAGCAACAGGGCGGAGAATGGCAGGAATTTGCTTACTTATTCGCAGCAGTGCATCCGAAGCAGAACCTCAGGGTTCCGAATCCCCACTTCTTTGTTGAAATGAAGCTCAACAAGTAGATCATGCCGCGACAAAAACCCATCTAAGCCTTCTACACCCCTCAACCCGAGATCCTAAACCCCACAACCCCCTCAACCCTCAACCCTACGCCCTCAACCCCTCAACCCTTCAACCCTCAACCCCCTCAACCCTCAACCCTACGCCCTCAACCCCTCAACCCTTCAACCCTCAACCCCCTCAACCCTCAACCCTACACCCTTAACCTCTCAACCCGAAACCCACTAAAACCCCAGCTCCGTGTTCGAGGCGCAGCAACGTCGCCAGATCTCCCGCCGTGGGCTCAACACGCTTGCGAGGCAGGCCCGAGTCTGCCGAGGCTGGCTGTGAGTATCTCTGGGTTTGGGGTTTGGGGGTTTAGGGGTTTAGGGGTTTGGGGGTTTGGGGTTTGGGGTTTGGGGTTTGGGGTTTGGGGGCGTTTTGGGGTTTCGGGGTTCTCAGGGCTCTAGGGGTCAGCGACCCAAGGTCACAGAGCAGCGGTAAGCCAAACGGGGCCTCCATGATCCCGAACCCGCATGACAAGCCCTCTCACTACCCTAGAGCCTCTAAACCCTAAGCAAACCCCAGATCCTCAAAGTCCTAAACCCTAAAAGTCCAAACCCTAAAAGTCCTAAACCCTAGAACTCCTAAACCCACAAAGTCCTGAACCCTAAACGTCCTAAACCCTCAGACCCAAACCCTAAAAACCCTGACGCCTAAACCCCAAACTCTTGCGAGCGCCGAGGTTTGCCGGTGTCCTGGACATCTTCGGCTTCGAGGCGCGGCGGAGGGTCGTTTCCGAAAGGCTTTTAGGGTTCAGGGTTTAGCCACGGGTTTAGGGTTTAGGGTTTGGGGCTTAGGGTTTAGGGATTAGGGATTAGGGTTCAGGGTTTAGGGTTTAGGGTTCCAGGAGTTCAGGGTTCCGGGGGGGGGGGGGGGGGTAAAGATGACCTTTTTGTAGTCCCTGCTGCTCGAACGCCCTGACGCTCATTAAGGTTCCCTTTCCTGATTGGCCTTGCGAGATCTGTAGGGTTAGGGTTTAGGGTTTAGGGATTTCGGATGTAGGGATGCTACGTGGTTGAGAGCGCCTAATCGCCGACGGTGCAAACCAGTCAGAGATTGCAATCACAGCTGTTTCTGCCTTACTGTTAAGTGTTCATTTGCAGCGGATTAGGGGGGTATGATTGCACCTGCGATTATTTCGCAATATTTCCTCTTGGCAAACTTTTTTTGAATATTGATATCCAGACACCTCTCGAACACCAGAATCTTATCTTTTACTCTACTCAGTTTTGATAGTTCATTCCTTCATCCCACAGTAAGCTGGAGAGGACTTCACATTCTGTCAGGCCTTCAAGCACAACTCGCTGGAGCAGCTCTTTATCAACTACTGTAACGAGCGCTTACACCAGCCTCGCACCCGGTTGTGCGTAGGACGCCCTCAGCACATTCTCAAGATCGGTGGGTTCTGGCATAGGATCCAGCAGCGTCCGTCTACTTGACGAGAAGTCGCTTCAGCTGTGGCTTGCCACAGGGACAGACTGCCGTTTCAATCTGATCCCTTACAAGAGCCACGGCAGATTGCCGCCTCCTGTGACGGTCGCCGGCAGTCAGGCCCCAAGTGGCATCTGCTTTCGGCATTACCCAAGGGAGCTACAGTGTTCCATCGCGCAACCATGTTAGGATTTCAGAGCGGTGCTGTTTTTGCATCGTTACACGAAAGACAAGCAGTATGCATCCACTTGACAAGAAGTCGCTTCAGCTGTGGCTTGCCACAGGGACAGACTGCCGTTTCAGTTTGATCCCTTACCCACCTCCTGTGACGGTCGCCGGCAGTCAGGCCCCAAGTGGCATCTGCTTTCGGCATTACCCAAGGGAGCTGCAGTGTTCCATCGCGCAACCGTGTTAGGATTCGGAGCGGTGCTGTTTTGCGGACTTCTGCATCGTTACACGAAAGACAGGCAGTATGCATCCACTTGACAAGAAGTCGCTTCAGCTGTGGCTTGCCACAGGGACAGACTGCCATTTCAGTTTGATCCCTTACAAGAGCCACGGCAGATTGCCACCTCCTGTGACGGTCGCCGGCAGTCAGGCCCCAAGTGGCATCTGCTTTCGGCATTACCCAATGGAGCTGCAGTGTTCCATCGCGCCGTGTTAGGATTTCAGAGCGGTGCTGTTTTGCGGACTTCTGCATCGTTACACGACAGACAAGCAGTATGCATCCACTGGACGAGAAGTCGCTTCAGCTGTGCTTCAGCTGTGGCTTGCCACAGGGACGGACTGCCATTTCAGTTTGATCCCTTACCAGAGCCACGGCAGACTGCCACCTCCTGTGACGGTCGCCGGCAGTCAGGCCCCAAGTGGCATCTGCTTTCGGCATTACCCAAGGGAGCTGCAGTGTTCCCTCGCGCAACCGTGTTAGGATTTCAGAGCGGTGCTGTTTTGCGGACTTCTGCATCGTTACATGAAAGACAAGCAGTATGCATCCACTTGACCAGAAGTCGCTTCAGCTGTGGCTTGCCACAGGGACAGACTGCTGTTTCAGTTTGATCCCTTACCAGAGCCACGGCAGATTGCCACCTCCTGTGACGGTCGCCGGCTGTCAGGCCCCAAGTGGCATCTGCTTTCGGCATTACCCAATGGAGCTGCAGTGTTCCATCGCGCCGTGTTAGGATTTCAGAGAGGTGCTGTTTTACGGACTTCTGCATCGTTACACGAAACACAAGCAGTATGCATCCACTTGAAGAGAAGTCGCTTCAGCTGTGGCTTGCCACAGGGACAGACTGCCGTTTCAGTTTGATCCCTTACCAGAGCCACGGCACATTGCCACCTCCTGTGACGGTCGCCGGCAGTCAGGCCCCAAGTGGCATCTGCTTTCGGCATTACCCAAGGGAGCTGCAGTGTTCCCTCGCGCAACCATGTTAGGATTTCAGAGCGGTGCTGTTTTGCGGACTTTTGCATCGTTACACGAAAGACAAGCAGTATGCATCCACTTGACGAGAAGTCGCTTCAGCTGTGGCTTGCCACAGGGACAGACTGCCATTTCAGTTTGATCCCTTACCAGAGCCACGGCAGATTGCCACCTCCTGTGACGGTCGCCGGCAGTCAGGCCCCAAGTGGCATCTGCTTTCGGCATTACCCAAGGGAGCTGCAGCGTTCCATCGCGCAACCGTGTTAGGATTCAGAGCGGTGCTGTTTTGCGGACTCTTGCATCGTTACACGAAAGACAAGCAGTATGCATCCACTTGACGAGAAGTCGCTTCAGCTGTGGCTTGCCACAGGGACAGACTGCCGTTTCAGTTTGATCCCTTACAAGAGCCACGGCAGATTGCCACCTCCTGTGACGGTCGCCGGCTGTCAGGCCCCAAGTGGCATCTGTTTTCGGCATTACCCAAGGGAGCTGCAGTGTTCCATCGCTCAACCGTGTTAGGATTCGGAGCGGTGCTGTTTTGCGGACTTCTGCATCGTTACACGAAAATCAAGCACGAAAGACAAGCAGTATGCATCCACTTGACGAGAAGAGGGACAGACTGCCGTTTCAGTTTGATCCCTTACCAGAGCATTGCCACCTCCTGTGACGGTCGCCGGCAGTCAGGCCCCAAGTGGCATCTGCTTTCGGCATTACCCAAGGGAGCTGCAGTGTTCCATCGCGCAACCGTGTTATAATTCAGAGCGGTGCTGTTTTGCGGACTTCTGCGTAGTTACAGAAAGACAAGCACGAAAGACAAGCAGTATGCATCCACTTGACGAGAAGTCGCTTCAGCTGTGGCTTGCCACAGGGACAGACTGCCGTTTCAGTTTGATCCCTTACCAGAGCCACGGCAGATTGCCACCTCCTGTGACGGTCGCCGGCTGTCAGGCCCCAAGTGGCATCTGCTTTCGGCATTACCCAAGGGAGCTGCAGCGTTCCATCGCGCAACCGTGTTATGATTCAGAGCGGTGCTGTTTTGCGGACGTCTGCATCGTTACAGAAAGACAAGCACGAAAGACAAGCAGTATGCATCCACTTGACGAGAAGTCGCTTCAGCTGTGGCTTGCCACAGGGACAGACTGCCGTTTCAGTTTGATCCCTTACCAGAGCCACGGCAGATTGCCACCTCCTGTGACGGTCGCCGGCTGTCAGGCCCCAAGTGGCATCTGCTTTCGGCATTACCCAAGGGAGCTGCAGTGTTCCATCGCGCAACCGTGTTATAATTCAGAGCGGTGCTGTTTTGCGGACGTCTGCATCGTTACAGAAAGACAAGCACGAAAGACAAGCAGTATGCATCCACTTGACGAGAAGTCGCTTCAGCTGTGGCTTGCCACAGGGACAGACTGCCGTTTCAGTTTGATCCCTTACCAGAGCCACGGCAGATTGCCACCTCCTGTGACGGTCGCCGGCTGTCAGGCCCCAAGTGGCATCTGCTTTCGGCATTACCCAAGGGAGCTGCAGTGTTCCATCGCGCAACCGTGTTAGGATTCAGAGCGCTGTCGAAAGACAGCGCTTGCATTAAATTCTTCTGGCTCTATCAACCACGCTTCAGGAAGAGGCTGCCGGTTCATTTGGAGCCCAGGCGGAGTGCCGCCTCTTGTGACGGGCGCCAGTTTTGTCCATTTCGGTCAGAAGAGCTGTCGCCGATGTCAGTTCTCACTAAACCATGGACCAAACCGATGCGTTTTGGACTCCGAGGGTCACTGATGCATGGAAATCTCTTTGGCTCTATCAACCACTACCATCAGCTTGAGCAACGAAACGAGAAGTCGCTTCAGGAACAGGGGCCGGTTCATTTGGAGCCCCGGCGGAGTGCCGCCTCTTTGTGACGGGCGGCTTTGTCCATTTCGGTCAGAAGAGCTGTCGCCGATGTCAGTTCTCACTAAATCATGGACCAAACCGATGCGTTTTGGACTCCGAGGGTCACTGATGCATGGAAATCTCTTTGGCTCTATCAACCACTACCATCAGCTTGAGCAACGAAACGAGAAGTCGCTTCAGGAACAGGGGCCGGTTCATTTGGAGCCCCGGCGGAGTGCCGCCTCTTTGTGACGGGCGGCTTTGTCCATTTCGGTCAGAAGAGCTGTCGCCGATGTCAGTTCTCACTAAATCATGGACCAAACCGATGCGTTTTGGACTCCGAGGGTCACTGATGCATGGAAATCTCTTTGGCTCTATCAACCACTACCATCAGCTTGAGCAGCTTGGCGGTCGCTGCCAGGGCGGACTGCTGCTGCGTCACACATTGTTTCCGCAAGGTGCCTTGCAAGCCAAGAGAAGGGTGATACCCCATCCTGGCTATCAACGTAGGACGCAGCAAAAACCCGTTCTGTCGCTCAAAGCCGACCCTAGGCCCTGTCATCGCAGCAGCCAAGGTTCTTCATTGAAGCGGCCTTCAAGCGCGAGCAGGCCGAAGAACCTAGCGGTTTAGGTACAGCCCGGATCCACCTAAATCCTAAACCCCTAAATCCCTGAACCCCGGCAGCCCGCAAATTCATAAGCCGTCGCAAGCCGAGGCCCAAGGGGCCCTTCTAAGTAGCATCTGTAGCTCCTGACTTTCTGAGTTGATAACGTATCCTGTGCAATTCATGTATGTGTGTATAGATATATATATATATATACATACAGAATAGACTACATGGTGTGTAATTCGCATAACATATAGCATTTAGCTTGAGAGACCTCAGAGTGAGTCTGTCGGTCACTGCTACAGCTATGGAGTCTTACATTCACGTTCCCACCCCTCTCCCCCCCGCCAAACAAAGAAAGCTCGGCCTTGCTTAGGGTTTCAAAAGGCTTCATCTTCAGGGAGTAGGGCGGTTGAGGGTTTCGGGAGGGCTAAGGTACGCTAAGCCCTAAAAACAAACACACACCCTACACCCTACACCCTACACTCTACACCCTATACCCCTAAACCCTAATCCCTAAACCCTAAACCCATCTGAACACTAAACTCCTGAGCCTTGCACACGAAAACCATGGCACCGGCTAGTCGCTTCGACTTCGTGTGGCAGGCGATGTGCGAAGAAGAGGGCATCACCATAACCCTCAAGTTCCAGGCCACCGGGTGTAGTGGTTGGTTTAGGGTTTAGGGTTTAGGGTTTAGGGTTTAGAGTTTAGGGTTTAGGGTTTAGGGTTTAGGGTTTAGGGTTTAGGGTTTAGGGTCTAGGGTTTGGGGTTTGGGGTTTGGGGTTTGGGGTCTAGGGTTTGGGTTTAGGGTTTGGCTCGGTTTAAGGGGTTTAGGGCTGCGGGTTTACGGTTTACAGCTACGGTTGGTGATAGTGGCAGGGGTGAACAGCGAACACACCCAAGCTGACTCGCCAGCTGTGCGTGGAAGTACAAATCGCTGTATCATTTGAACATGGTGCTTTTCGGACACAACGAAAGAAAGAAACCAGGGCATTAATAAAGTGATACAGAAAGCCAGAAGTACCGACGAAACATCATGAAGCAAGTAATCAGCAAAAAGGAGCCAAACAAATGCAGAAGAACTGACTAACCACAGGAAAACAGCAACGATATCCCACTAAAAAAGGACATCAAGAAAGGACGAAAGAACCAACGACAGAGATGAAGACCGCGAGAACTAAAGACAGAAAGACATGAACAAACGAAAGAACCAAACAAAATCGGCGCGGCGGGCAAACAGAAAAGCCGAAATGATGGAGAAGCACGAAACCCAAAAAAAACGAAAGAAAGCAATAAACATAAAAGCATGACATGAACAATTAAATCAAGAAAGATAGAGAAGGAGTCTTTGCAGTCAGGGGCATCCCGCACTTCGGAATCGAGCGTTTCCAGACACTGATTGCCAGACCTGCCAGGACAACGCCCACATCTTGGCTGCCATCGACTGCCAGGAGTGCACAGCTGCATGATTGACGAGCCGGCAAGACCATCTAGGCTCAAACCTGAATCAGGGCCGTTGCCGCATATCCTTAAACCCCGAAGTTTAGAAGCCCAAAGGCCCTAAGCCCCCTGAACCCTTAAGGGCCTTCAATCCTACACCCTAAGCCCTAGACCCTGAACCCTAAACCCCCCGAAACCCTAAACCCTAAACCCTAAACTCTGACAAGCCCCGACGCCCCTCCTCCCCCCTTGGTATGCCGGGCAGGACGCCAAGCTGGGCCTCGGCATCCTACCACTGCTGGAGGCCCTGCGCGCCTTTCATGGAGAGGGCTTCTTTCTAATCTGGTGGGTTCTCTATCTATCTATCTATCTATCTATCTATCTATCTATCTATTCATCTATATAGGTATATAAACAAAAAAAGCATAAATGAATAAATAAATAAATATATATGTATATATATATATATAAGTACAAAATAAGTATGAATATAAATGTATATATATAAATACAAATATAAATATACATGTAGATATAATATATAAATATAAATAGAAATATAAATATAAGTATAAATAGAAATAGAAATAGAAAAAACAATATATGTATATATATATATATGCATAATGGAGAATTATACACTACATATTACTTGTTGTGTGCGTGCAATATACAATCAAGTTAGGGTTAGGTTTGCGGTCTAGGTTTTGGGGTCTGAGGTCGAGGGCTTAAATTCAGCTTTCGGGCCTTTGGGGTTTGAGAGGTCCTTTTTGCTGATTTTTTCGCAATACGATAGTGCAACGAGAATACGGCAATACTAACTAGGACACTAGAATGCCATAGTACCACACGACGAGAATATTACAATGTTGTGATAGTATGAAACTATAATACCGTGATGCCATGATGCTCTGGTTGCTTGCATCTTCTACAACCCTAAACCTTAAGCCCTAAACCCTAATCCCTAAACCCTTATCAACCCTAGACCCTAAACCCTAAGCAAGATTCCTGGGCCAGGAGCAGTGTGGCCTTCAGGCTGGCAGCAACGAGGTGCGGGGCTCTCCGTCTCTAGAGTCGCCGCGCCATCAGTGCAAAGGTTCAGTTTGGGTTTGCGAGTCCTCGTGTTGGATGGGGGCTATCCACAGCGCTCGCTGCCCCCGCAGCAGATTCCCGAGGCCTTCACGCAATCTTGCCATCGGCGGTGGGGGACTCATAGCCCTTGAGATCTCAATCATCCTCAAAACCTCTAAAACCTCAACCCCCTGAACAGCCCCAAAGCTTCTGCTACTTGGTTCCGGGTAAATCTTGTAAGGGCAAGAGATGATTGGGTTGAGGGTTTAGGGCGCATCTGGCGATCAGCAAAGTGTTTCACAGCAGCGGGCAGCAACACCTACAATCTCCGGCCTATCCCCCTATCCCTGAGAGGCGACCTAACGTCCACAGTCCTTTCTTTATGATGGCTTATGACTGATGATGAAGAGTATCGTTCTGATGGTGATGATGATTATGATGATGATGATGATGATGATGATGATGATGATGATGATGATGATGATTAGATGATTAGATGATTAGATGATTAGATGATTAGATGATTAGATGATTAGATGATTAGATGATTAGATGATTCGATGATTCGATGATTCGATGATTCGATGATTCGATGATTCGATGATCAGATGATTCGATGATCAGATGATTCGATGATGGTTGTAGCTGACAAAGCCTAACACCACCCCCCCCCCCCCCCCCCACAACCCTACCACGCCCCCCAACGCCGAGGTTCGCCAAGAGCCCTGTCAAGTGCTACGTGGAGCCGAAAATGGCGGCCAGGGAGCACTTCGAGATCCTTCACTCCTGCTGCCCCGTGCCCCGCCTTTTTCTCTTCAAGATGAAACCTAGCCTCTAAGCCCCTTAAGACTCTTTGGAAACTTCTAGAACTCCTTCTAACAGCTCCTGATGCCTTGGGGGCTGCCTCATGAGCCTTATGACAAACCCGAATCGGAGAGCCACCGGCGGCAGCCTTTCTAGACGAGCTTGGGGTTTAGGGTTTAGGGCCGGCCTTTAGGGTTTAGGGCTTCGGGTTTAGGGTTTAGGGCCTTTAGGGTTGAGGGCTTCGGGTTTAGGGTTTAGGGCCTTAGGGTTTGGGGTTAGGGTTTCGGGTTTAGGGTTCAGGGTTGGATCAAAGCGTCTTGTGCTGGGGACCCCACAAGGGATCACACTTGAAGCTTTAGAGCAGGAGTGATGATCTAGGCCTCACCCTAAACCCTAAACCACAAAAGCCATCCCGCCCCTGAATTCAGGTTAGGGACTCAAAGTATCCCTAGCAGGTACGCTACAGCACCAACCACTTCCGGGAGAAGAACATGGACGTCATGCCATCCGAAGTGGTGCAGGTGGTTTCCGGGGTCAGGGCTTAGGGTTAGGGAGGTCGGAGTGGGGTTTCGAAGGGGGTGTGAAGGGGTTTCGGAGGTCAGGATTGATGGTTTGATGCAGATGAGCGCTCGTGCGCCTTTTAAGACATGCATGTATACGTGTATGTATGCGTATGTGTATGTGTATGTGTATATGTATATGTAGATGTAGATGTAGCATGTAGAATGTAGAATGTAGAATGTAGAATGTAGAATGTAGAATGTAGAATGTAGAATGTAGATGAAGATGTAGATGTAGATATATATATATACACATACATATACGCATCAGAATTTGGATAGCTCGGGTTCAGGGCGTGAGTCAGTGACTGATTGCTCCCGTTCTCAGCTCCTCCTCGGGAGCAGCAAAGCCTTCGTCCGCGAGACGATGCAAGGCGCGCCCACAAAAACTGAGCTTGGATTTTGCGGTTTGCGATGTAGGGTTCGAGGGTTTGGGGGTTTGGGGTGCCACTCCTCCGCTCCTGGCAACATGAGGACCCCCAGACTCCTAACGTGGGGGGTTTGCTGCTGGGGGACCCGAAGCCCCAAACCCTAACTCAGGACGGCGTCATGGCAGCTTTTCTCATCCAGTTTACTTGAGCACCAAGGCTACAACCCCAAAGCCCAAAAACCGTTAGCACCTTAACTTTCCCCGAGCCGCCAACTCTCCCAAACCCTCAACCCCAGACTCGGGCTTTGTCCTTTTCGTGACTCTCGGGGCAGGGGCCTTCGAGTCGGCTGCTTCCACCGACAAGCGCGCGCCGCAGGGTGGTCGTTGAGGGCCGCAGGGTGGTCGTTTGAGGACTTAGTGGCTTTAGAGGGGGGGATTTTCGGGGGCTTTTGCCAGGTACAACGGTGTTGTTTCTAGTTTAGGTTCCGAGGCCAACGGTGCCAGGGTCTTTCTTCTGGAGCTCCGGACTCTTCTTTCTCGTCTCAACGGAGCCCATCCGGCACATGTCCTTGGACATGACCGCTATTCGAGACTGCGGTATCGTTTCAAACTTTTTCATCCTTGGTCCTTGGGTTACTACTTTAGAGCAACTCTCCTCCCACCCTAAACCCTAAGCCCGAAAGCCCCAAAGCCCCGAAGCCCTCCTGTTCCCAGGCCAAAGAAGGGCTTCATCGCTGCGCAGCTGCTGCGATCCGTGAGCGCGCTGTTCACGCTGCGGCCGCCTCACAACCTGGCTGTTGACTGCAGCCCTGAATGCTTAGAGCTTGACCCTCTGGCGTGGCGTTTTGGGGTTCAGGGTTTGAGGGTTTTGGGGTCGGAGGGCTGACAATTGGGGTCGGAGGGCTGACAATTGATTGCCAAATCAAAGCCCTTCAAACAACCCCCAATATTTTGCAAGTTCACCTTTCAAGTCCCTATTTCGGGTGTTTAAACTTTCTAGGCGTTATATGGCGCGTTGTGGAGTTTAGGCCATCGTTTGGGGTCTGAAGTTAGGGCTTCATTGTTCTTTAAAAGCCCTAAGCCCCTAAGCTCGAAGCCCTAGACCCAAGCTCTCAAGCCCTAAACCTTGGCTTTAGGATGCCGCAGGCGTCGTGCTGCTTTGAGCTCCCAGGTTACCACTTCGGCGTCCCTGACTTCTCTCTCTCTCTCTTTCTCTCTCCCTCGCTCGCTCTCCCTAAACCCTAAACTCCAACTTCTCCTACAACTCCTAAAGCCCCAAAGCCCGTCCCAGCCGCCAGACGCCCTGAAACCTCCCCATGGCCGAGGTTGCGCTCCAGTGAGCCCAAGTGCGCAGCCACCCTCTGGTTGTAGGGTTCATAAAAGGGTTTGGGTATACATGGGTATGCGAACTCCAGCAGGGCTCCTGCTAGTTGATGAAGGGTTTGGGGGCCCGGTAGCCCATCATGGCTTGTGCGTGTGGGGACCTTCAGCAAACGCTTGTACATGAGACGAGAGAATGCGAGCTCTGCGCGCAGGTTTGTCAAGTGTGTGAAGAGCAACAAGGAGAAGAAGCCCATGATCATGGAGGAGGACCGTCATTCGCATTCTGGATTCTGGCGGTCTCCGTTGTAGTCTGATAGCATCACGTCCAGCCCTTGGCACCCAACCATAATCCCGAACCCTAGACCCAAATATACGAGGCAGTGAGGTGCATGGACCGTGGACAACAGGGAAGCCCCTCAAAGGTCCATCGTGGTCTGCGGCATTGTAGCTCTGAGGCAGCGCTGCTACACTTACCTGCCATGGTATTGTGGCAGAAGCACACGGGTTCGCGAACGAGGCGGGGTGCAGGAAGCGCGCAAGATGCTTCGTGCCGCAGATGCACAGGCACGTTCAACGTTAAGTTGAGCAAGGTGCACACGCGCTGCAATGCCGGCGCTGGCCAGTGCAGAAAGTTTATACGTTGGAAAAGGCGGCAGTCCGGGCACAGATGACGACTAGGCCCGGCCTCGAATGGCACGGCTCCACATTTCAGGGGGAAGATGATAAAGAGATGAGTGCTGCCCCACGAGGAGTTGGCAGTCATTGAAGGGTGGATGCTCACACTGGTGAGACATCGAGAGACACTTCCTTGGCTGCTCTGGCTTGCAAGTCTGACGGCTTCCACCAGCCGAATTCTGTACTTAAAACAAGACAGTCTTGCAGCGGGCTGTTTGCGCTACAGCGCCAATGTGCCGCCCGAAGCCCCCCTGAGCAGTACTCCCTTAATCCCTTACATTGCAGCCCCCAACTTCCGCAGCTCGCTGTACCCCTCTGCGAGGACCCTACAAGCCCCCTAAATCCCTACAGTTTACAAGGCCTAGTGACCCCTAAAGCTCCCCCTGAAACCTTGCCAAGGTCCCGGAAGATTCCCTAAAGCTCTCTACAAGGACACTGTCGTGAGCCAGCTCCACACGCTGAGCATCATTGAGCTCGGAGCTGATTGATGAAGTCTAGAGCGGCGGGCCATCAGGGCCCTGAATGTCGGCCAAATTTTAAAACGGTTGTTCCGAAGCGATGGCCGGACACCTGTGAGTGCCCCCTTCCGGGTAGTCTGCCGAGGTCGCTGCAAACAGAGCGCCAGGGCTTCACTTACAAGAAGCTTTACAAGGAGCCCGGAGCTCGATGCCGTCCTGAAAGCAGGTTGAACAAGCAGCCAGATATCGTAAGCAGCAGATGCTGGGCAGCTATGGTAGAGCTGCGATGCTATTGAGTTCCGGGGGTCAATCTTAGGCAGGGGATAGAACTCGCCGTGCGGGCCGAATGCAAGGTTTCTGGAGGAGCACGGCGCGCTGTGTGACGCAGCCCCAGAGTGCACTTGTGTGTCGCAAAGCGCTCAGCCCGAAACTGTGTCTACTCCCCAAGCCCGCAATCCCTTCTCAAGCCATGCAACTCGAATCGGCTCCTTGCTGTCATGATCCATACTGCTAAATTTTAGGGTTTGGGGTTTAGGGTTTAGGGTTTATGACTGTGCTTCAGGTTGCAGTGCATGGCTGCTTGCCGTTTGGACCCACGTGGCAACGGCAGGCGGCGCTGTGGACTCGGGCCCCAAGCCGAAACCTCAACCACCGTGAAGCCCTGAACAGTCAATACCCAATCTCTCATGGGTTTAGGGTTCAGGGCGTACCCTTTTTTAAAAGCTACGTAGGGATTAGGAGGATATCCCAACCCAACCTGCAGCCCTTCGCCTAACCCTACGTAGCCTATGCCCAAAAGCCCAGCGAACAAATCTCCAACCCTGAAATCCCGAAACCCCTAAGGCCCTGAAGCCCTTAAAGCCCTTTAACCCGTCTCGGAGGTGGCTCGACGCGGTGGAAATGAGGGCGAGGCGGCGAAGACCATGACGCTGGAAGTCCTGGCGGCTGCAGGGGAGCCCTGGAGTGTCAGGGTTGCGGGGCAGCAGGCGCCTGAAAACATTAGTCTGGTTGAGTTCAGAGAGGTTCGTACCGGGCTTTGAGTTCGGACTTACGCCTGGCATGGAGCTGCGGCGAGAGATGTGCCTTCGAGTCTTTGGAGCGAGGAGAAGAAGGTTGTCGATGCATTTCGGCTCCGAAGTGGCAACGTGCTGGACTCCCCAGGCCTCCCAGTGGCCGTTCGGCAGCCATGGCTTCATCTTCGGAGGAAGCCGTGCCTCGGCACGGAACATGCCAAATCCCGAACATACTCTCTGCCCAGTCTAAAGTAAATAAGCGAATAATGTTACGCGAGATCATGTGCTGTACATGGAAATATGTTGGTAAGAAGCCTATAGACAAGTTCAAATAGTAAGATGTAGTTTGAACTCTAATCTTGAGGACTCCCTGCTTTCGACTTCCACCGAGTTGGAGCCCGACACTGTCGGGCTTGGGGCACCTGAATCTGGACTGTCGGGTGTTCCTGGTAAACGCAGGGCAGGGGAGGGGAGGGGGGGAAGGGGAGGGGAAAGAAGGAAAGGGGGTTCGACGCTTTATTTTCAGGGTGTTTGGATGTTGGCTTTCCACTTTCATCTTAAAGCAAGCATTGTAACCAAATGTTGAGCGTAGAGTTTGGCGCTTTGGGTGTTGGGCTTCAAGTTTGGGGTTTAGGGCGTAGGGCTTCAGGTGCTGGGTTTTAATGTCTAGGGTTTGGTGAGTTGGCTTCAGCATCTAGAGTCTAAGGCTTCTTGAGCAGGCCCAGGGTGCAAGGTTTGGGTGTTGGGCTCAGCCGACGAACCCAACTGTTTGACCTCCTCCCATCCCCGCTGGAGGAAAGCGTAGCCCGATGAAGAGTGGGCCGGAGATCTCTGTCAACCTTCGAGCAGAGGCCAAACTCCAGGAAGAGGCAGCTTGGCTTGTCGGGTGAGGAGGAGAGAACTGGGGTTGGTTGAGCTAAAGCCAACGAACCGGCGAGTGCCAACAGACCGCTCCTGAGGTGAAACGTCTTCTGACGGACCCCGATGAGCTCCTCTGCCCCATCGGCAAGACCTTGATGGAGCATCCATGCTTTGCTGAGGAGCGCCTTTGTTATTCACTTATGGGGTCGAGGGCAGAGAGGTTCGCGTGGGCTAGACTCTGGTTGGAAATGTTTGAGTAGACTTTCCGACGTTCGCGTTTTGTGATGTCAGCCTTCTCGTCATGCCAATCACGAACCAGGTGATGGCTTCGAAATCGGAGATAAGTATCTAGACCTTTTTTGATGCGGAGGACGGCCATACTTATGAGCAGGGCGCGATCGAGGAGGCATTGCGACGCAAGCGAATCAGCCCGCAGACCAACGAGCCAATGGGTTTAAAGGCCGTGTGGCACATTGCACACTCAGGGAAGTGTGTTTCGTTTAGGTATATTTCTTTTAGGTATTAGCTTTTGTTTGTGGGGTTGTTTTGCTTTTTGCCTTTGCCTGTTTCTTATGGCCCTTCATTGCCGTCGGCTTCGCGTTTATGTTGTTCCTTGTTTTTGCCTGTTGCCTTTTGCTTCTGATCTCTGCTTTCGGCATTTTGATTTTGCCATGTTTCGTTTTTTGTTCCTTGTGTCAGGTTGTTGTTTTTTGCTTTTGTTTCCGGTCCGTGCTTGTTTTAGTGTATGTATTTGTACAAGCATATGTATACATATATATATATATATGTGTATATATATATATATATAGATATGGAGACAGAGAGGATGCCCTGTCGCGACTTTCTCACACGGACCTGAGACAATCCGGGTGCACTCTGCGCGCGGGGGAGGGCTGCTGCGCTCCCTCAAGCCCAGCAGAAGAAGAAGAGAGAGCATAGAACGCATAATTTTAACACTACGCGACCCGTCTCGGCCGGGGCATGCGCAGAGGTGCTTGTTCTGCTGGCCTGGAGCGAAAAGGAGAAGAGGGTGGGAAGTTGGAGGCCAGTCCATTGGAGCGGACGCTGCCAGGGAGTTGGGGTGGGGGAGGTGTGGTGTCTGGTCCTGTGCGCAGGCGGGGAGCCACGCGTGACGAAGGGCCTGCCAGATCGTGCAGTACTCCGCAGTCTCGCGGTGGACACCTGTCGCCTAGGGCCCCTGTGGTGTGGTTGTGGGTTGGTTTTAGGGTTTAGGGTTTAGGGTTTTAGGGTGTTAGGGTTTTAGGTTTAGGGTTTAGGGGTTTGGGGTTTGGGGTTTCCCCCCCCACCTGTGGTGTGGTTGTGGGTTGGTTTTAGGGTGTAGGGTGTTAGGGTTTTAGGGTTTTAGGGTTTAGGGTGTAGGGCTTCGGGTTTAGGGTTTAGGGATTTGGGTTTAGGGTTAGGTTTTAGGGGGTTGGGGGGGGGGACCATACCATGGGGGGGGGGGGGGGGTGGCGAACCGAGAGCCGGGATTATATAAACTGTAGTGTTTTTCTATACATATATAGTCCATACTATGCAAGATATGTCTGAGACCTACATGCAATTTCATATTTCATAAATGATAACATATAACAGACATTTTTTTTCAAAACCGCATGCGTTCTTTCCAAACCCGTCGTGCTAGTATTGCATCTGCAATGGGGGCGAGGCTGCAGGCCCCCCCCCCCCCCCACCACCTTCCCCAACCCTCGGCTCCTTTATGACACCATATGCATCCTTTCCAAGCCATCGCGCGAGCGATGCCAACCTCCGACCCCCCCCCCCCCCCCCCCGTGCTCGTTTAAGCCGCGCCAAGCTTGCTTCAAAGACGATCGCGCCGTGAGGAGACATTCAAGTCTGTGCCTTTCCCAGTCCATTGTGTTTGCAAAAACACCCCTGAAAAAGGGTTTAACAACGGTTCACCTCAAGCCGATGCCTGCGCTCCCCTGTACTCATTCAATGTAAAACGCGTTGGTCGCAGTATTCCACAGAGCTGAACGGATCTGCTTTGAGATGCGACTGAGAAGTGAAGGCTGTTTGGATTTCCGGCCTCAGGTTTAGAGCGCTGTGGTGCAAGAAGAGCAACGGCATCCGAACCCACAAAACATGCTCAGCGGGTCATTGACTTGATATGATAAGAAGGAAAAAGCAACAAAAACGAGCAACACCACCCCCAAAAATACAAGTACCTGATTTTATTGCACTTCACACTCAGCGCTGACAAGTTGTTGAGATTGCTGCCTCTCATGCTGTGAAGCCAGGCGCTTGCCTGTAGTTGATGAAAACACTCGTGTGCTTGGAGGTCACTCCAAATCACGACAAGAAGTCCACCATTGTCAGCTACAAGGAGAAAGTGGTCAGGAAAGTGATGGAGATTGGCAAGTCCCTGCCAGCTGACGTTGCAGAAGAGCTGTTGGTGAAAGCAGAGGGTTTCGTGCGGCCCAAGCTCCCAGATTTTTCGGCACGGGTCACGCTTTTGAAGTTGTTGCAGCTGAGGGCTGATCTTTCATCCACGCCACAAGGCACGCAAAGCGATGCAGTCCAACAACTCATGAGTCTGGTGGCTGAGGATCCGGATAAGTCAGTCGAGGCGGTTGGAGAACTGCTTGCCAATTTTGAACCCTGGCATGTTGCCTCGCACTTGCACAAGTTCAAACAAGAGTTCGTTGCTGTCCTGCAAACCTCAGCTCGTGGACCGCCTGTGGCACCATGCGCTGAAACGCTGGACAGAGAGCTTGCGAGTCGCTTGGGCGAGGCGCTGCAAACCGAGTTGCAGCATGCTCCGAAATCAGTGCTGCGTGCTCCGAAATCAGAAACACCTTTTTTTGCATTCCAGTTGATGGAGCAAATTGCAGATGTTAGGAACCCGGTTCAAAAGATGGAGCAAAATGCAGAGAAGCTCTGGGACTTCGTGTTCTGTCTCAGCCGTTTGGAAGATCCTGGTATCTGGGTAGACGGCGCAGGCTTGGTGCTGGCAGCTTTGCGCGCAAAGCTGAAGGTTGAACTGCCAAGCTTGCCCGATGAAGTACTGTACAAGGCTTCGTACTTTCTCAAAGAGCGCAAGGATGCATGCGCTCGTGCACAGGAGCTGTTCAGATCTGACCTAGGTGTGGCAACCGAGACGGAAGACAGCAAGACATTCCGGACGGAGCTTCTCATGCAGCTTTTCAAGAGGCGCCCCAAGGACTCCCTGGATTTGCTCAGCGCCCTGGTTGCGGATTCCGATGAGGAAGCGCAAGACAACTTGCTGAAAACCCTGCTTCAGAGCGATGGTAGTGATGATGCCACTGCTGGTGATGATGCTGCTAGTGCTTGTGGTGTTGAGTGTGACTGTGAGTCCGTGTTGGTGAAGTTGCTGTTCGCTCGGCGTGGGGGGGTCCCAGGGAAGCTCCTGCAAAAGCTTGCCCTGGAATCGAGTGACAGTGACAGTTACATACACAAGTTGGCGCCAGAAACTTCCTTGGCTCTGGCGTCGCAGCTCGTCGGGGCAGAGAGGCCTGTGGAAGGGGCTCGAATTGCGGTCATTGCGTCCAAGGTCTTCGATTCTCTTGGAAGCACAGAGAGGTCGGAGAAGGCATTGGCCCGTGCGTATGGAATGGACCCTTGCAATGCGGAGGCTGCGGAGGGCATGCTGAGTCTTTTGCTGGGAGATTTGGAGAAGAGGGGCCATACTGAGCAGGAGCGCTTGTTGTTGACATTGTTGTTTGAGCACAACAGAATGGTTCCAGACCATTTGCTTCCAAGTCTGCCCTTAGAGCCGCATGAGATCAGGCAAGTGCCGCCAGAAGCAGCCCTGTCTCTCGCAGAACAACTATGGAACTCGAACAGACGTGCAGCGGGAGCTCAGGTTGCGGTCCTGGCCGCCCAAGCCTTCGATGAGCTGGGCAGCCAGGAGGAGGCGTACAGGGCGTACGTCCGTGCGCACAGCATGGACAGTCTTAATACTGATGCCTCCAACGGTCTTCTCTCTGCAACGAGCCGGTCTTGCCAAGAACTGGCGGCGCTTGTGAAGCAGCAGCAGACCACGATTGACCAGCTGAGGAAGCTCAGCGACCACTTGGCTGAAGAGGTCGAGGGCCTGCGGAACCATGTGCAAGCCAGGGACGGCCGCGGCATCATTTGGGACCTCTCGGGCCAAGACCTGGTAGAAGGATTCTGCAAGGAGAGCCCGAAAATCAACCTGGAGAATGGCAGCGACTCCAAACACGTTCAGGCTTGCCTCGGCTTGCCTCAAAGTTTTTATTGACATCTCCCAGCCCTGAAGCCCATATCTGATCCCCATCAATGCATTACTCGCCAATCAGGCTTGGATCTGCTGCCGTGCAAGCGGGAAGGGCAGCTCACCAACCGCGGCCATCTTCCTACAATGTAACGAGAGTTGCAAGATTGATTGTGAAATCTCCGTGGGCGACAAGACCGAGTCCTTGAGCATCGAGAGCACAGAGGATGACTCAGCCTCAAGATGCCTCAAGGTTTCCTTTCTAGAGCTTGCAGAGAGGGAGTTTAAGAGTCGATGGAAAGAGATGAACCCCAAACCGTGAACTCGAAATCGTCAACCGTCACAGGACTACAAGACCAAGTTCCCTTTCCCATCCGGATTGCTGGGAGAGAAGCTCGGCAAGATCAGCCTTCGCATCAAAGCGCTGAAGCTCGAGGGTGGCACCGTGCAGTACGACTACTAGGGCCACCCGGTTCGGAGCTGGGGTGTTGAGTTTGAGTCGGGACTGAGGCATCTCAGGTGCATGAAGAGTTCCCTTAAGTTCCCACGCTGGAAGCCTGGTGAACTTGAGTGATAGAACTCCTACAGCACGACAGATGCAAGCAGGCAGCTAGTTGTACAATGCCACAAAGAGCTTGTACAGTGCGGACAGACTCACCACCCAGGCCCCAACCCTCAACCCTGATCGCTAGATTCACCAGATTCTGCAAGACTCCTTGTGGGGGCCTGGTTACCTACGTTTTCGAACCACAGAGCTGCAGGACGCTGCGCTGCAGGAACCTGCAAGCCCTGAAAAACAGGGTTCGCAAGGTAGGGTCGCAAGGGAAGGTGGGGGCCTTTAGGTGGTCACACTCTCGAGGCGCAGTTTTGGGCACAGGGTAATGTTGCGAGCATCTCGCCCTTTCATCCATACAAGTGAGAGACTGTCACATTCATGCCAACAGAAGTCTGAATCCTAAACCCTAAAGCTTCAGGGCTTCAGAATTCGGGGCGTAGCGCTGCTGCTGTGGCTTGTGGGGCAAATACATGCAAGGCATGCAGATCCCGATAGTTGCCCCTAAAGCCTCGCCCGTCCCCTGCTTATCTGGTACCCACGCGTACCCCTCATACTCCCTAAGTCATTACCCTTAGAATCCTCCTTACTTACGCCTTTGCAAGACCCAGCACCATAGAAGACCCTGAGACTTCAGGCCCCCAACTGCCAAAGACTCCCAAGACATCAGATCCTAAGCCTAAGTGGGAGCGGCCCTTCAGGTCCGTTTTCGCGGGGGGGGGGGGGGAGTCGGATCCGATTATATAAGCCAACTCTAAACTGATAAACTCCAAACCGTCGAGGTCGGGGCCCCGGGCAGTGCCTCGCGACGGCCGAGCCTGCAGCAGATGGCCCGGGCCTCCTGGAGACCGAGGGGTTTGCAGAGTTCAGGGGGCTAATAATCTCCTCCCCTGCTTGAAGAAGGGTCATGGGCGGGTATGAGCAGGGTTGCAAGTTGCAAAAAGCTGCAAGTTGTAGGTTACAAGTTATAAGTTACACAGGATTGGGCTATAGGTGACCTTACTTATAGCTTCAATTATAGCTGCCCATGAACCTGCAGGAAAAACTCACCCCTGTGTTTGGCTGCAATATTAGGGGAGGGAATTCAAAGGTCGCAGGGTTTTGTGCTTGGGCCTGAGAGTTTCTGGGTTTCGGGGGGTTTTGATCTGAGGCTTGACTGCAGGGTTTTAAGGTTGGAGCGCTTCGATTTTGGGGTCTGAGAGGTTTTAATCAACAGCCTGAAGATCTCGCTTTGCCCGGTTGATGTGTGAAAAGCCGTTGCCGAGGCCCGCACACCTTCCTCAGGCGGCAACGAGCAGCAGCGTCCCATCCTCAAGTGCCTTTGAATGGGGCGGGGGGGGGGGGGGGGGCGTCTTGATTGGGAGTACACCGGGATGTACACCCAACCTCAACCTACACCCCAACACCCGAAACCTTAAACCCCCAACCCGAAGCTCGACACCCTAAGCCCGAAAGAGACTCCGCGGCCTGCAGGAAACCTTGATCTTCGTTGCCCCACCTACATCTTGGCAACTTTCGTTGGTCTCAGGGCCTTAGGGTCTGAGGTTCAGGGTTGAAGGCCTTCGGGTTTGGGGCCTAGCATCTCGGATCGGCTGAAGGTTCAGGGTTCTGGGGTTCGCAATCTAGGGTCTGAAGGTCCCTGTGGGAGTTGCTGAGGAGCTGGCTATGCCGTTGGCAACAAGCGGGCCGGCGGCCCAGTGCCGAGGTAAAGGCACTTTGTTAGACAGCAAGGCTCCTTTCACCTGTTATATCGCAAGGGTGGTAAAGAATTGCCTGTATAATGCCCTCAGCTTCCTTCGTGACACTGTGTGATTTGTGGCTTTGCTGCTTGCTTTGCTTCTCGTCCTGTGGTTGCTAGCTCAGAGCATCAGCACAGGTGTTTCTGACCTCGCCCATGCAGGAGCGATGCGAGCCCCTGTGCCGCAGATGGTAAGAGGGAGAGTTACAGGGAGAGCATACGAATTGGGGGCCCCAGCTCAAACCTTGCAAGATGCATTTTGGTTGGTTTTTTCGGCTTGCCCCAGCATCGCTACACACCACGGCCCTTAAAGCTAGAAGCCACGCAGGTTTATGCGACGTCATGCCCGCAGGTTGGTCAGACCCTCAGTGGAAGCTGTGTGAGACCAAAAGTAGAATGTACATTGTGTTTAGAGTTTCCGGGCACAGGGTGTGAGCGGGAGTGCGGTGGCCCGGACTTGTGTCAGGTGGACAGATGCGCAGCAAAATTGTCCGGTCCCCGTGCTGTTTACATTGAGGTTGTTCGATTCTGTGGTCATATTTTCGGCACGAGCTGTATCAAAAAGTGTACCTCAAGTCGAGACCTTAAATTCGGGAAACTGCTTGGCGCTGCAGGTATGATCTGACCGAGGCTAGAAGGAGAACAGCTCCCAAGCACCTGTAAAAAAAACCCTGAACTATTACAAACACACACCCCCTGAAGCGTTGAAGCAGACACCCTCAACTCCTTAGCCAAAAAACAACTCTCGGACACCCAAAACCCAAAACCCTAAACTCCTGCCTACTGCTGAAGCCACCTGGTCAGCCGATCTTCGATCGCCAGACAAAGCCCTAAACCCTGTAGCCGGCCACTTTAGGCACCTTTTGAGGGGTCTGGAACCTGCCGAGGCAGGCCACATTTCGAGCCGCGGACTCAGGGGATTGGCTTTGGACCCCCCAGTGGCTTAAGGTTTAGGGTTGAAGTCTGTGTCGGGAAGGCCCAAATTCAGCTTTGTGTGCTGCAAATCTGAGCCCAGCACTTCGTGGAAGCCATGGGGCCCACGTTTGTGTTTGAGGGCACCGCGGCAATTCCTCGGATGGCTAAGCGTCTCGTGAGATCTCTCTCGCGTCAGTGCTTCAACTGCAGCTCCGATCCCAGCTGTCGAAGATGGTCAAACCCGACAGTCTTCAGATACGGTCTCCTGAGGAACTATGCTTGGTTGGTAAAGCCCCAGGTTCAAAGACTTCATTCAGTTCACAACGGTTGTGTGAAGCAGAGTAATTCTATGTGTCTGCATCTCTGCATGACGTGGTTTGCGCAGGAACACTGACTACGCATACTACACACTGCCAGCTGCTAGAAGAGCACAAGATAACTTGATTCAGAGCGTCGCTGTTGGCGCCATGGCTCTTTCCGTGCAAGTCGACGCAGCCTGCCTGACGTCCGGGACTTTGCCTTGTTGCCGGATAACCGATGCTGACGTTTAAACGCTACGGTTCCACTGCCGCTGTGTCTTGCTGCACATCGTAGGCTGCCACCCCTTGGCCCAAGAAACCTCATACCCAGCCTTGACCTCAGGCAACGAGGCAGCCAGCACCTGACGGGCTGGGGCCGACGCAGAGAGCCACCGGGCAGCAAGACAGGGTTCAATTTTTTTACGTAAATGTTTTTGCGAGACCTGTTTTCTGTGTGAGCTCGCAGTCCACCAACATCGTTGATCAACCGCTTGCGGAGGCTGCCCTGCTGCGCGCTCGCATCGAAGCTGGGCACTTACCCTGACCTGTGCCGCCCCGCATACGCCCCAACGTGCGCGATTCTGCGTCTTCCCCCCTCCCCCACCCCGGTCCCATTCCCCAGCGGCAAGGGCCGCTTATGACCAGTGGGCCATACGATCATCTCCAAACGTTTTTCAGCACATGTCGACACCCTATTCTATGGCATGCTTTATCCAAAGTCCTGAGCCTTGAGCCCTCAGCTGCATGTGGAGGACTCGGGCTTGAAGGCATTTCAAGACTTGGTTTAGGGTTTACTAGCGTCGATGGTTTAGGGTTCGCAAGTCGTGAGGCTCGATGCGGTTCGGCCGCCCACGGCCTCTCTGGAACGCCGGCAAGAGGCCCAGTGAATCACGGGGCGCTTTTTGGGTGCCCTAGTAAAGTACCTGAGCGCAGAGCTCCGCGTCATAGTCGGATCCCCAAAAGGGCTTACATTGTTTGGAGAACCTCTCTTATGAGGTGAGCTGATGGTTTGGGACTTGGGGCTTTTTTGGGCGGATTCTATGTTGAAAGCCTAGGGCTCACTAGGAGCGGCTTAGCTAGGGAAGCCAACTCCGGGTTCAGCTCATGTTGTGCCAGCACCGCTGCAGCCCCCCTGTTGAGCTTAAGTTTCTTGAGCTAAGGCTGTGGCCCTCCATGGCTATTCTGGCCGCGTGTGCCTATGCTCACAGGCCTGCTCCCTCAATACGCAGGCTAGAATTCCTGAGGGATAGGGGAGAGCTCCAGGGGTGGTCCGGCTAGATCCTCTGAGTGTTCAGCCCGCGAATGGCGGACATGGGGACTCTGTCCTGGTCTGTACGGCAACCGGAACCTCGGCCATATGCCCCTTTCATCTCCCCACTTCTGAGTCAGGTTTGGTTCTTGCCCAGGTTCGTAAACCCCTAAAGCTACCCAAAGCCCCAAAACATCCTGCAAGCACCCTAAACCCCGAACCCCCAAGACCACCTGAATCGCCAACAAAAACCCCCAGACGAAGGTGTGGACGTCGACGCTGGAGCCAGCGGAGGCGTCTCGGCGGCATCAACCCCACATTGTACATGTCGTCATTGCAGCCGGCATACCAGGTTGCAGCGTACCGCACTGTAGGCTCTTTTTCAGCTTCAGAAAAGACCCCAGGGGATAGTGCACATGGACAGATAACACTATGAAAACGACACCCTGCACCCTACACTCTAGACCCTTCAGCCTCAACCAACAATGCTCAGGCTCTCCCGGCGCTCGGTGGCCATGGCCGCGGTGGGGTGCACAGAGCAACGGGGGCAGGTTGCTACGGAGTTTTCGAGTCGGCCTGTCATTTAGGGTCTTGTAGGGTTTCGGTTTCGGGGGGTTCAGTTCGGTTGAGGTTCAGGGATTTCAGGGATGTCTTAGGGTCCCTGCACCTTAAACCCTAAACTCTACAAATTCCTGAGCCCTTAAACCTTTGTGAGCCCTCCAGCATCCCACAAACCCAAGACCATTCAAAACTCCACATCCTACAAACCTACAACCCCAAAGCCCCAAAACCCCAAGACCCCAAAACCCCAAAACCCCAAACCCAACCCCTTCGAACTCCTCCCAAGCCCTAAAGCCCATAAACCCGAAAACCCCAAGACACTAAACCCTTTATCAAACCCTCTAAGATCCTCAAGCCCTACAGCCCATAAACCCAAAAACCCTCAAAACCCTAAACCCTAAACCCCAAAACCCCCCCAAGGCCCCGAATCCCCGAGCCCCCAGGCCAGCGACGAGGCCTCCCAGCTGGTGATGTGCTTCGACTTCGACGGGGACCGGGCCTCTGCTTCGGTTTGGGGTTTAGGGTTTAGGATTTAGGGTTTAGGGTTTAGGGTTTTGGTGTTTAGGGTTTAGGCATTTAGGGTTTAGGGTTTAGGCTTTTAGGGTTTAGGATTTTCGGGTTGGGAACATGCAAGCCCTAAGCCAAAAACTCAGCCCCAAAGCCCCAAGACTTGCTGTCGGGGCCTGGATGCAGACCCCCGAAGCCCTGAACACTCGAGCGCAACCCATCGTTTGCCCTAAGCCCTAAAGCCCAGGTGGTGTGCGACTCCGTGGACGAGAGCACCACCGCCGCAGGGGCTCCCAGCGGGAGCGCAGGTCGGATCGGACAGGAGGGGTTCTGGGGTTTAGGATTTAGGGTTTAGGGTTCCGGCTCTGGGGTTTAGGGTTTAGGGTTTAGGGTTCCGGCTCTGGGGTTTAGGGTTTCGGGATGAGGTGGTTTTGGCTTGATTAGGGCTTAGTACAGCCCAAGAGTCCAAAACTCCCCCACCCCCACCCCCCCCCCCCCCAAAACTCCTGAACCCCTAAACCCACAAACCCCGATTAAATCTACTAAATCCCCCCAAGCCCTTCAAACCCTCAATCCCTCAACCCCTTCTTTCCACTTTAAGGGCCAACCCAGGCCTGGCGCCACGCTCGCGAGCGCTGGCCCAGCGCGGCCCTGGGGAACTCGGCGAGGCCAGGGGGTTTCTAGGGGTGAGGGGGTTTCGTTGGGGGAGGGTTTGTAGAGTTTATCGCCCAGGCCCGGGGGGGGCGGGGGGTGGGGCAGGGGTTTATTTGTCTTGGTATTTGGTAGGTATAAAGTGAAAGACATCAACAGTAGGGTTCCACCCAAACCTCCTGCATCTCCAGCCTGTCCTGCTTGTTGAGGCCATTTCTGCAACCCATGCGCATTGTGCGCCGCCCGGCCATGTGCACACTCCATAGCAGCACCAAAGCCTAAACCCTCAACCCTAAACCCGAAACCCTAAACCCTAAACCCCCGTAAACCCTTGACGCCAAACCTTAAACCCCCTAAGCCCTTGAACTTTCGCAGCCCCGCGTCGGCGAAGGTACGCCCGGTGGTGGAGACTGGCTGGGAGAACACCGTGATCATAAGGCGGAACCTACCACAAAGCTGATTTCTGGAGGTGAGGCTTTTTCGAGTTCCGAAGCCCTGAACCCAAGAGCCACCAACAGCCTGAACGCCTTGCACCCCCATGGGTCTTGAGACTTCTTGGGGTTTCAGCTTGAGGGTTCACAGGTGGTTGTGCAGCTTAGGTTACCTTACTCATATACCTTCACTGACTTGTGACCATGTACCTGTGAGCCTTCAAGCAGTGGTTGTACGTCCCTCGCCAGACTTGTCCTCAGGCATCTCGTAGCCACAACTTTGCAGACACCCTGGGTGTTTAGGGTGTTTAGGGTGTTTAGGGTGTTTAGGGTTTAGGGTTTAGGGTGTTTCGTTAAAGCGCTTTAGGGCTTGTTAGGACTTGGGGTGTGCAGGGCTTACGTGATTGCGATTCATCTCGCTGTGAAATCATGCGTTCTGCGAGGGATAGGGTTAGGGATGATCAAAGAAACCCAAAACCGCCCCCAAACCCCCACAGTCGCCTCAGGACCCTGGCCGACGTGGACCTCGTGGAGGCGGCGCAGCGCGCCGCGGCGAGCGGCTCGGCTCAGCCGGGCTTCTCAGGGTTCGGGGTCTTTAGGGTTTAGGGTTTTCGGGTTTCGGGTTTTGAGCTTTTTTTGTGGTTGAGAGGGTTTAGGGGCTTGGGTTTGGGGCGTTTAGGGCTTTGGGGGGTTTAGGGTTTAGGGTTTAGGGTTTAGGGTTTAGGGCAGCCCAAGGGTTGGAGTCGGTGTCTGTGGGCGGGAACCCTCAAGCGCTCCTGGGAGGCTCCTGACTCAGTACTCTACATGAGGGCCACTCGGGGTTTAGGGTTTAGGGTTTAGGGTTTAGGGTTTAGGGAGCCCTAAGCCCCAAACCCGAAACTTCAGGGACCCACGCAAAGGAGCGGAGCTCGGAGAACCAACTTCCCGAACCCCCAAACCCTAGATGCCAAGCCCTGAGCTTAAACACAGTGGACCCCCCGAGCCCTGAACCTTGTGGGGTTTAGGGCTTAGGGTTTTAGGGTTTTTTGGGGGGGTTTTAGGGTCGGTCTAGGGTTTAGCGATTTAGGGTTTCGGGTTTAGGGGGTTTTAGGGTTTAGGGTTGAAACCCCGAAGCCCTTCCTGGCATCTCAGGGCCCAAGCGTCGGATGTCCAGCTTGGGAATGGAGGTGCAGCCTTCTTCGATAGGGGCTGTTGGGGGCTGATCGTTGATGGGGCTTCTGGGGCATAGGTTATGTAAGTTGGGATGTTCCCTCTTATACGAACAGTCCTGAATGGGGATTCTAGCCCCGCGATTATCATCCCCGTTATAGGGGCAAACATCCCAATTCATAAGGTTTACAGGGTTTTTAGGGCTTAGGGTTTATAGGTTCTTTACAGGGCTGGTTTCGCCTTGAAGGTTCCTAGAAAGGGTCTCGTGTTATTGGGGGAGAGGAGGCCCCGCAGAAATCTGGACCCTTGGCCTCCACGCCTTGTTGTAGCCCTAAACCCTAAACCCTAAACCCTAAGCCCTAAACCCTAAACCCTAAACCCTAAACCCTAAACCCTAAACCCTAAACCCTAAACCCTAAACCCTAAACCCTAAACCCTAAACCCTGGCGCTGCAGGCATCCACCCTGACTGGGATGCCTGGAGATGTTGGCCCGCCGGGGGCCCTTGCCTAAAAGCGGGGCAGCGTATCCCCCCCACCCGAGAACCGTACCCCTGAACCCCTTAAGACCCTGAACCCTCTAACCCCCTCCCTACAATCCCAAACCCCAGTACTCTGCTCTAAACCCTTAACCCTAAACCCTGAACCCTGAAATATACCCCGAAATGCAACACCCTAATCCCTGCCCCAAAACCCTAAAACCCTAAGACCCTAAAGCACCAAAACCCAAAGACCCTAAAACACCAAAACCGTAAACCCCAAACCCCAAAACCCCAAAACCCTAAACCCCTGAAGCCCCTAAAACCCTGAACCCTACAACCCCAACACCCCAAAACCCCAAACCCCTAAAGCCCCCTAAAACCCCCTAAAACCCCCTAAAACCCCTAAACCCCCCGTAACACCCTAAAACCCCTAAACCCTTAAAGCTGCCGAAGCTCCCAGGCGCGCGTCGGCTTCGGACTTGCTTAGCAACCTCGGGCCTCTCGGCATGTGAGGCTTAAGGGGATTTAAGGGGGTTTAGGCTCCAGGGGGGGGATAGAGGGGTTATCGTGGTTATAGGGGTTTTGGGGTTTTAGGGTTTTGGGGTTCAGGGTTTAGGGTTTTGGGTTGAGGGTTTTGGGGTTTCAGGGTTTTGGGGTTTTAGGGTTGTAGGGTTTTAGGGTTGTAGGTTTTAGGGTATTAAGGTGTTTGCCCTTTGTTTGGGGGCTTGAGGTTTCAGGTTTTCGATGGGGTCTGGGGCTAAGGGCTTGGAAGGGCATGACATAGCGTTTCAAGAGACTTCTTGTGGGCATTTCTTGACATACCGTAAACCAACCGTGAACCCTGAACCCTGAACCCTGAAACCTGAACCCTGAACCCTGAACCCTGAACCTTGAACCCTAAACCCTACCCCCGAATGAGCCCTCAGCCCCTCCTGTTCAGGACGGCCGGGCTGATGTGCAAGTCCATCCTCGGGAGCTGCGCCCCCGACTTCGGGTTTAGGGTTTAGGGTTTAGGGTTTGCTGCAACCATGAACCTTCAAGCAGGGCCCCTACTGTAAGCCCGCGCGCCCGAAACCCTAGAACCCTTTAAACCCCTCCGCCTGATGTTCTAGGATACATTACTTCTGACCCTGCAAATAGAAGCACCCGTGGTCTTTTTCGGGTTTAGAAGTTTGGCAATGCAGAGTTTGGGGATCGAAGGGTTTAGATCAGTTGCTTAAGAGGCCGGACCTGGTCCTAAAACCAGTAACCATTTTGCCAAAAGTGTGCTGGCTGCTAGCGCTTCTGGTTTGGTACCGGGTCAAGAACAGGGAGCTCAGCTACCGGGGATACGCATACGGTCCCTTCATGCAGGATTACAATTTTCCACGGTCATTTCCAGAAGTTTGCGGGGTCTGTATAGGCAATGACTATTGTAGGGCTTCGAAGTTGCGAACCCCGCAAGCCTGGCCTGGCTCCCAGCCTTCGCTTACGAAGCCGCCATGGGCTGTCGAGCGCCCCGCGTGGAGAGCCTCCTGCGTGGGAGGCTCTTCCCAGGCGCGAGGGTGTGGGTTTGAGGGCCCGTTTATGTTTTAAAAACACCCTTGGCAGCTTAGTTTCGATCTTCTGTCTTGAGGGCTTTAGGATATTGTGGCGCGAGCTTCCGCCAGGCAGTGACTGCGGTCAGATCTCCGTCCTTTCCTGGAACGTCCTTGCGCCAGGGCATGAGGATGGAATGAAGGTGGACTGGGACTCGAGGCTCCCGTGTCTGCTGCAGCACCTAGGCCTCTATGCCGCATGCGACATCATGTGCCTGCAAGAGCTCGAGAAAGGGAGATCTCTTGAGCCGGTGCAGGAGTACCTGGCAGAGCAGGGTTTTGAGTGCGTGGCGCAGAAGCGCGAAGGGAAGAACTGCTACCACGTGATTAATGCGACGTTCTTCCGAGCTGCTCGCTTTCGGCTGAACTGGACTGAGTCTCGCTCACGCGTGCTGCTGACAGGCCTTCTGCTGCCCAATGGCCGAGAGGTTTGTGTGGTGAACGTTCACCTTGCTGCTGTTCGTGGCGAGGAGAGCGTGGCGGCCCAGCTGGGGCAGATGGACAATGCCCTGCAGAAGATGCAGAGGGTCGTTTCCTCATACAAGATCATCTGCGGCGACTTCAACAACACGCTTGGTGGGGACAGCCCTCTCGTCCCGATGCTCTCTGCACTCGGGGTGTCGCGGAGCGCGCCGTGTGGGCCCACACACCACGGCGGCCTTGCTCTCGACCACATCTGCGTGGGCTCGGGCCTTGTTCAGGAGCTTGTGCTGACCAGCTCGCAGAAGGAGCTTGCAGGACTCAGGCGGAGCCTCCCAGACAAGGAGCACCCCTCGGACCACCTTCCCGTGGCCGGGCTCTTCCGCATCAGGGCCTCTGACTGGGAGATCCCGAGCCTGCCCGAGCCACCCACTCGGGAGCCCACTATGGAGGCTTGGAGGGAGCTGTGCCTGGAGGACCTGAGGCCCCTCCCAACCAACAAGAAAGCGCGCAAGGAGCGGCGGAGGGAGCACAAGGAACTGGAGGAGACCTTCCTCGCAGCGTGCGGCTGCAAGGAGCGGCACCGCCTCACGGCCTGGAGGGAGGAGACGCGCACGGCTGCGCGGGTGCTGTGCGCCCTCGTGCTGGACAACGCGCTGGCCACCGTCCGGAGATCCAAGGCCGACGCTGTCACGTAGCTCCGGGTTGAGGGAGCGGGCCGGCAAGCTTCCTGCGTAGATCCGCACCGTGTGCTTTTGTAGCATTGTACAGTGTACAGGCCCCAGTCGCTACGTGGGGAAATGGGTGGTTGATTTACGTCATGGGCAGTTTTGGGGTCTCTGTTTGGTTAAGTTATAGTACATTCCTTCTTGCTTGGGTGCCAAAAAGGGCCCACGACTGAGGTCAGTCCCCAGATGGCCTTAAGGCGCTCTTGCGGTGCGACGGCCGCTGGCCGTAAGAGAAAGGAGCGGACGCCCCGCAGGTGAAGGGAGAAGAGTGAACCTGACCCCCAGAAAAAAAAACAAAAACAAAAAAAAACCACAGCAAGGCTGGGACCAGATGCGCGACCAGAAGGTCGAGGAGCTCCGCAGCACGCACGCCCCGAATCCACAAGAGAGCGAGCTTTGCTCTGGGCAACAGCCGCACCCAGTAGGGGGGGTACACTGCACGCGCCTAAGGTTGGGGGTAGTAACACCACAAACCCCATGTAGTACTAGTCACTGTAGCCCCACAAGGAGCTCGGCCTGGACGTGCAGGAGCTCGGCCTGGATCTGGGTGCGGTTCTTCAGGGCTCCTTGGGGTATGTAGGGCTTGTAGGGCATGAGGGTTTTAATGTTTTCAAGGGTTGCGAAGGGTTTTTTTGATGTTTTCTGCAGGTGTAGGCTCAGGGTGAAGGGCTTTGGGGTTTTGGAGCTCCCGGCTCAGAATGCGCAGCTCACGCTACCACGCTCAAGCCATAAAGCCTCGTGGCCCCTGGTGATACCCGCGCAGCCTTGGACTAAGCCCCTCTCCTCCCCCCTTAAACAGGAGCTCATCCGCGAGTTCGGGGAGGCGGGGCTCTCAGCAGAGTTGTTGTTGAGGCTGTTGAGGCTGCGCGGGGCATTTTCCCCAAAAGGGGGGGTGGCACCCTTCACATCATATACTATACCTACTATACCCCAAATATAGTCTAGTGCAACTAACGGAGGCTAGCGTTTCACACTGCGACCGAGCTCGGATCGGCAGGGGTTGAGCCCCACAAGCTGCAGAGGGGTTCCCACCATGCTGAACATCAGCTCGATGGCTCTTAGCAGGAACCTTGGGAGTTCCCCTTCCTTCCCTACTATAAGAAGAGCTGAACCCGAACCCTTGAGCTCCCCTAAATCCCCGAACTCCCAAGAAAGACCAGGTTCGTGACAGGTGGATGTCCGAGGACTTGAGCTCCTGGCTGGCCAGACCCCGAGATGACACGTCCTAGGCACTCACCGTATACGGCCTCCTGATTAATCGGTGCTCAGTGTAGTCCCCTTAAAGGGGTATGTAGGCTGGCATGCATGTATAAATTCACCGGGGCCGATAAGGCACATAATTCCATAGCTCCCTAGACTAGAAATTAATTAAGAATACCCATTCTACCAGTAGTTTAAGAGGCACCCAAATTAGGAGCATTGCGGAGGCTTTCGTGGGTCAAGCCCCAGATTAGCCACGCCTGCAAAAACCCTGAAGCCTCAAGCCTTGAAGGCCTAGACCCGAAAGCCCCGGACCCGAAAATCCCAAGCCCAAAAGCTCCAAACCCTGGGACGCTAAACCCTATAAGCCCCCTGTAAATCCCCAAATCGTCAACCCTTAAGGCCTAAAACCCCTACAAAACCCTTGAAGCCCTTCATAAACCCTCTGTCCCCCCTTAGAAGCCCTGCCTACTTGTTCTTAGCAGGGAATGAGGGAACAAGGTTCCTTTCATCCCCTTATTGAGGCCCTAAAAGGGATTCCTCAATCCCCAACAAGCCCAGCAGCTGTTAGGCCTGCAACCGAGCATACGACATGGCTGGGCTCTCGGCCGGCCAGGGTCCTCCGCCCTTGCGTTTGGGGGGGTTTCTCCGCTCTGGGGAGGCCGGCAGAGGGGTCCTTTTAGGGTTTTTGGGGGTTTAGGGTTAGGGTTTGGGGTTTAGGGGATTGAAGAGGTGTTGTTTTAGGGTTTTGTGGGTTTTTCCTTTCTTAGGGCTTCGGGGGTTTCTTGTTTTTGAAGGCCGGGGTTCAGCCCAGGCTGATAAGAGGGTTGCAGGGACCTTTGCTGCTCTAGGCCTTGGGAGGCTTTGGGGCCTATCGCGAGGTGCCGGACGTGATGATGGAGATGGTCGCGCGCGGGGCAGAGGCAGAAGCAGGGTTGAGGGTTTCGGGTCAAGGGTTTAATCCCCTCGAGGGACGAAGTGGAGTGCCCAAAGTCTTGGAAGTACCAAGTCGCCACCCTGAACATGCAGGGTAGATTTTTGAGCCAGGTAAGCGAAGCCCCAAGAAACTGAAACCCTGAACTTTAATAACCGTGTAAAGCTCTCTGGTTCCTCTACCCTGGTCTTTGTCAGGTCTACATCATCACCACGAGACTCGGCGACAAGCAGAGAGGGATCGAGGGGGTGAGGATTTGAGAGTGGGCTTTTTCCGTGCGAGAATGTTGCTTCCAGGGGGCAAGCAATCCCGACGTCAGGCGCCTAACAGCATACTGTAGCATACTATTTAAGACAGAGCGTGGATATCCGTGGGTGGCTCGGTTTTCTTCAGCGGTGTCTTTGGAAAGTGCCTCTCCCGCTTGTGCATGCCGTGTCTCTGACAGATCCTGGCGACACACCGCTCCGCGTCCAATGCGTTAGGGACGCGTGTCTTGTTGCACATGGTGCACTCTTTAGACCGCCCAACTTTCTCTCTCATGAGGCGGGTAGTCTTGTGTGGGATTTGCGCTCACATATAGCTTCCGTGCTCGACAGCAATCTTAAATGAGAGTAATGGAGGAGCAGGCCAGTGCCGCCGTGCACAGAAACTTCTTGTTAAGCAGATTGCAGCAGATGGGCCGATTTGTCTTTGCGCCGAGCCAAAGTGGAAGAATGCAAAAAGGGCCACGCCCACAAACCCCTAGCCCCGTCAAGCCGGGAACCCCGAAACGTAAACCCCAAACCCTCAAACCCTAAACCCCTAAGGCAGCACACCCCGAAACCCGACCCAAACCCCCAAGCCCCTAAACCAACAAACCCAACACCCAGGAAGCAGAAGCGCTTTTGCCAAGCTTTGCTTGAGGCTGGTGGCCAGCTTTGCGGGGCATGTGGATTGCATTAAGTGGTGGTTTCCTTTCTTCAACGGCAATCGTATGAAGGTTGGGGTTTTGGGGTCTAGGCCTCCGAATGAAAGTAGGAACCCGAGAAGAAAACATAAGAGAATTGCCTCGTCTGCGCCCGAAGCATGGGTTTCCAGCGCCTAAGGGGCCTATGTAGGGCTTCAGGGGCTTTGTATGGGGCTTATGGGGGGGCGTACATAGGGCTTGCGGGGCTTATGTAGGGGCCTAAGGGGGGGGGGGCAGAGGCATCACGAGGGTTGCCTCGTCGGCCTGCTCACGTGGAAGGACTTCGGCATCGAGTTGCCTGCGGACCACATCTTCGCCTCGCCCTGAGACGACGCAACCCGCTTCGCTTTGCCCTGAAGATCACATGGGGGTTTATGAAAATAGGGGACCCTAACATGGACCCCCCAAATCCCCTTGTAAAGGGACTTCAATAAGGCACCCCTATTTCACCAACAGCTCAAAGTGTTTGTGCAAGATTTGCAAGGCCCGGAAAACTCGCACTAACAAGGCTGAGGGTTTTGATATCAGAGCGGCCCCACCCCCCAAAATCAGCCCAGCAGAGTTCGCAACAAAAAATGGGTCGTTCTCCCAAGCCTGATGTCGCCCCTCGGGCAACGGCCCTACAAAGTGCCCAGAATGACGGCCGAACAGCACCCCCCAATTGGGTTACCCTGAATTAATTACAAGCAACTTGGGAAGGCAAACCCCACGTTTCGAAATGTGGCTTGGCACAGCTCCTTGTGCTCGTGTGTGCATCTGCAGGGCTGTAGTTGGAACGGCCCAAAATCGAACCAAAACCTCGGAGGCCTTGGAGGACGGCCCGAAACCGGCAGTGCTGAAGTCCCTCCTGGCGCGTCCGGAGCACGGGGCTCGGGGTTTGCAGCGTTGATGGTTCAAGGTTTAGGGTGCGGGGTTTGGGGTTCGGGTTGACGGTTCAGGCCCTTGGAGTTTCCTTGGGGTGGTTCACGGTTTTTGGGCTTGGGCTCACATGCGGGTTTCAGGGCCCATTTCCCTTGGGCTTTCTGAGCACCAACGTGTTTAGGCTTGAGGGATCCTTGCGTATGGACTCGTGCCACATCAACTGATGCGCGGCTTGTCAAACATGCCTAACGACGCCGAACTTGATGAGGTTGTCCTGGATACTTGCTCTTAGCAAGCTAGGAAGTTGAATCGTCGAACCCAGGACACCTGCTAGTTTAGTTTAGGCAGCAGCTGTTGCAGCATCCGATGGAGTGCAAGCCCTGTGTGTTGTCAGGCTTCCGAACTAAGCTTCTGCACCACCTGCGCAGTGATACTTCAAGAAGAAGGAACGACGGGCCCTGCTTAGCCTGCTCGTCCCGATGGTATACGGAATGGCCCGTGCCAGAATGAGGTATGCGGACAAGGAGTTCCACTTCGTCGAGGACATGGCCGTGCAACCAGCTTCTTCCGATGCCTGCTCTCTCGGCCTCGCATCCAATTAATCTGCATTCACAGAAATACATGACAAAGCGGCTATAGAAACAGCAGCAGCAGAATGAAAGACTACTGGAGAAATCCTCAATGGATCCGTACGCGAAAAATGGGATGAGAAGAAGACTGGAAAAGTCTAGAGGCTGAGGAGTACCCTACTGAAGCTCCTCAAATATTAGGGTAGAAAGCAGCAGGCCCTGAGATGGACCGTCGTAGCCTTGCCGCTTGGGTGGCTTTTGCTGTTTGGGGCTCAAGGGTAGGTTTGGTCTTCAAACCTGCAGCTGATCTAATTTCCTTCCCCCATCAAACCCCAGAACCCCCACGGCCCGAAGTGCCCAAACGTCCCCGGATCCCCCGAGACGCGCAGCTCGGATCTACTCGGATCTAGGGTACCTTGCTTCTGACCTCGAACGTCGCTCAGCCTGACGTCAGCCTTCAGGATTGTTTCAGCTCGAGGCCTCTTAGGTATGGGCACGAAGACGAAGGGTCCAAGAAGAGGGCGCCCTCCCCCCAAACCCTGAACACACTCAAGCCCGAAAGCTCTGAACCCCTGAGCCCGTAAACCCGAAACGTGGCATGGTCTCCCTTATACTAACAGTCCTTCATAGGGATGAGAGTAGGGGGTACCAGAATCCCTATTTAGGACTGTTAGTATAAGTGGGACCCTAAAATCCCTAAACCCTAAACCCGAAACCCTCAACCCACGAAGGGGGGCCCCTGAAGCCTTCAGTGCCCTCCCCTCATGCATCGGCCGCGCCCTCGCCCTCGAGGCACCGGAGGCCAGCTCTCTCTAGGGTTTAGGGTTTAGGGTTAAGGGTTTAAGGTTAGGGTACAGGGTTTAGGGTTAGGGTTTAGGGTTGGGGTTTGGGGTTTAGGGGTTAGGGCTTAGGGTCTAGGATTGAGGGTTAAGGGTTTATGGCTTAGGCGGCTTCAATTTGTTTTCGAAGAGGTTTTTTGGGCTTCAATATTTCTTTGCAAGAGGTTTTGGGGTTTCGTTTTTTCACGAGGGTTTTAGAGCTTCATGCTTTTAAAACGGGGCTTGTTTTCACAAGGGGTTGTAGGGCCCCGCTTTTTAACAGAGGGGCTTGAGGGTTTGTTAGAAGGTTGTGTTGAGGGTTTGGGGTTCTGGGTTTTCCGGGTTGAGGATGAAAGTTGTTCTCTTCCACGAAGGTTTTGGGGTGTGGGGGTGTTGGGGGGGTTGGGGGGTTGGGGGGGGGGTCTAGCATGGGACCCTCTCAGAATGGAAGTAGGGCTGCCGCTGGTTTGAAGGCTTAAGGATTCTTAGCGTTCAGGGATAGGATTTTAAAGAGTGCGACCACGTGGTTCAATGACGAGGAGGAAAGGAGTATACTGTTGCACCCGTCTTGCAAAACACTATGCCCGAAGTTCCAACCCCAAAGCCCCAAAGCAACAACAAAATCCAAGCCAAGGATTCGAACCCCAGAAGCTTAACCCCAATCTCCCTAATCAGTCCCAAACGTGCATCCTGCGTCTCTAAACACTAAACCCTAAGCTCTAAACCCTAAACCCCAAGCCCTAATCCCTAAACCCTAACCCCAACCCAAAACCCTAAACCCTAAACTGGAGCAGGGCAGCCTGCCAATTGCCGGCGGCGCTGCCGGCAGCCCTACCACGGGCACGTGCAGGAGCATCTTGTGGGGGCTTTGGCGGGGTTTTCCCCACACCTATGGCCCCTACTTGTGGAGTCCGTTGAAAAAAGGGGGATGATACTATATTTGTGGGGTATATGGGGGCATCCCTATTTTGAAAGATGCCCACTCTGGTTTACAGTGTACCAATATTGGGTTCTTGCCGAGACGTTTGTGCGTGAGGCCAGCGGCCATGATGTGAATGCCAGTCAGAATACCGGCGCTCTTTTCTGCACTCGGGCAGGCTGTAGCTGCAGAAGCCAAGTGCTGCAGAATTGCAGCGTCGGACCCCCTTTCCCCCCCGCGAAAACGGCAACCCTTAACCCAACACAGGGACTGCAAAGAAGAGCCCGACAGCAATGGCCCTACATGGCTGGAAGCTTGGGAAGATGGATGGGGCCCTAGTGAAGAACAGGCCTTGCAATGAGGGCATGGAGCAGAATCCCCACGCGCAGGGCAAGTGTGGGGTTTTCCGTCAGGAGTGAATTTCCTCAGCATTTCGGTACAGGAGCTCGAGGAACGTCATCCCGTCTGATTGCCCGAAGACATGTTATAGTTAGGCTCTGCTTCAGCAAGACCTCAAAAGCGCAGGATCCAGCTCCGTCGGGCACAGATGGTTGCAAGCTCCTTGGCTTTAAGGGTTTAGGGCTTCCGAGTGGCTTGACTTTTCCAGGGAACTGGGCAGTAGGGGGTTTTCGAGTTTCACGTTGTTGCCTGTACCCGTCCTTCCACCGGTTGACCACTCGCAGGCGCAGCTTCGCGGTGAACGTTGGGCAGGTGGCGGGCTTCCGCTCCAAAACCTCTGGCACGTATAGTTACCTTATGGTAGCTACTTGGTCATCTAACCTCAATGCTATACTCCCCGAAAACTCCGAACCCTGGGAATCACTAAGCTCTTTGGAGGCGACAGGCCGAGATGTGGCTGCCCTCTCGCACGCGCTGCGCGCCACACCCGCCCCGCCGCTGGCGGAGGCCCTGCACCACCTTCCGGCCGAGGAGCCCATCGTTTGGGGGATGGGCCTCTCGTCTCGTGCTGTGCCATTCCGGCTGCCCCAGGAGGGTGCCCGACTGGTGGCGTTCAATATGGCCATCGACCGCTGTGCCAAGGCACCTCTTAAATTGGGTAACAAATCTAGTGTCATCAGGCGACCGAGGCTGTCATGATGTGGTTATGAATGAAGCTTCCAAGTCCGTTGATTTTGGTTCTGCTGCCTTTGCTCTTGGGTGGGCTCGGCCGAACGACTCTTGTGATTCGATTGGGTGTGTTGCTTGACTTCGGAGTATTTCTGGTCCACTTCCGTAGCGCGCCACAGTAGATTGTACCAGGAGCCCTGGCGGCCATGTTTTCTTGAAGCAGCAGCTCTTCAGCGATGGCCTGTGCAGGTTGGCAGGTGGGAGATCTCCGCCGCTGGCCGAGGGAAGAGGGGAGCACACCGGGCATTCGTCGTGCGTGTCCGAGGGTCTGGGAGTTGTTCCCGGGGCTGCGCGTCTGCCAGCCGATTTTTAACCTTTGGGCATAGCGACAAAACCCTAAACCCTAAACCATCCTGTAGCAAAACCGAAGCCTCAACCTATATACATACATATATATATATATATATATTCATATATTCATATATTCATATTTATATTTACTAATTTATGAAGATAACATAGATGAAGTACCAAAACATAGTATCAGCAGCCCGTCCTGGGTCTTTGTCATCCTGACCTGCCTGAGGTCGCGTTGCTCCGCCGCATGCCGGAGAAGGCCTCCGTCAGTCTTGAGCTCCCAACCTGCCCCCTGCATTCCCACCCCCACCCTCTCACGCCCGTAAACCGTAAACCTCAAGCAGACGCACACCCTCAGCTCTTTCAACCCTCTCGCCTCTTGACAGACTCTACACCCTCAAGCCCTATAGCGCTGCGACCACGAGCCCAATGCAGGCCTCCGAGCCAGATGCTGTCAGCTACACCGCAGCCATGAGTGCTGGAGTCTCTGTGGGTGCCCGGGGGGGCGCTTCTCTGCACCAAACCCTCAACCCCAAACCCCAAACCCTAAAGCCTGAACCCTACCCCCCCCAAAAGGGACCATGTCGAGAACTCCCCATGTTTGGCTTGCCGGCTTCGGGGGGTTGCGGAGCTTCGGGGGTTCGCTCGAAGTTTAAGGTTTAGGTTTTTAGGGCTAGGGTGTAGGGGTTTTAGGGTTCAGGGTTGAGGAGTTTAGGGTTTAGAGGCCACCCTGGCCCCCCCCCCCAGCCCCAGGCCTGCAAGAGCGCAAGCCAGTGGCGGGGCGCGCTCGCGCTGATGAAGGAGGCCGAGCAGGCCGCCGAGGGCTCCCCAGCCCTTCTTCGACATGGAAGGTTCATGGGTAGTTACAAGTAGGATGATGAGTACCCTGAAGAAGGTTGTAACAAGTTACAAGTATAGTTACAACTACTTGTTTGTCCCAAGAAAGGGGGGGTGGGTGCCGGTAATCTACAGTTAACTCATCCTGTTGTCCTAGTTGCAGGAACCTCCAAGAAGGGCGGGTATGCCCCTACGTTCGGACACCCCCGAGCATGGGGCGCTGAATGCTCAGCTTGCGTCTGCTCTCTGCTGTGTCTGCCCTCCTGCCCATCTCCCAGGTGTTCAGGGTCGTAAAGCCTAATTTTTTGGCGGCCATGAATATTCGCATGGGTCAGACGCGGATGCCCGCGACACAGATAGTCTTCAGGGTGCGAGTCCGCCCTTTCTTCGAGAGTGTATCCGCACTGGTGGGTATCATATGCAAACCGCGGTTCGGAAAAGCAATGCCGCCATACACTTGTAATTACCTTTCCGGCAGCTGTGTCCAAGATAGCCTTCAGTATCCTTCGCGGTCGATGCATCTCTGGCCCGGTTGGCTGCTGGCTTCGGTGCCGTCGCCTGCAATGTCAGTTTGGGTTCCGCTCTGCTGCCTCCCAACTGCAACCCAAGCCACGACAGGGGTGGGGCAGAACGCATCAAGCTCCTAAGCTTCCTAAACCCACAAGGCCCTAATCCCAAACTTCTGTGAACCTGGTGACCCGGAGGCAGACCTGGCGCTCAACCTCTTCGCCCTCAGCGCAGCCTGGGCCTCTCTTGGGGTTTCTCACTTCTTTTCGGGTTTCTCAGTTTGGGGCACTTTAGGGTGCAGAGGGTTTGCCGGTGTGACGCAGCACACAGGAGCACAAGGATGAGGCCAGGGTTATAGAGCCCCGCCACAGAGACCAGGGGGCCCGGCAAGAGGCAAGCCCGCAGCAGAAGCACGGCAAACGGGGTCCTTACGTAACCGAGAAGAGCTGTAGTCGGAACCAGGCCTGAGCTGTGTAGCAGATACCTCCCGCGAGGATTTAGGGTTTCGGGCTTTAGGGTTTTTGTAGTGTTTTCAGAAAGTGTACAGGGTAATGGGTCCCAAGACAGTTCTGACCGAAAGGTTTCAGTTTTGGACCTTCAGTTCGCATCTACGTTCCGGCCAGGTCGAGATTGCAGGTTCTAAGTGCTCCGTGTACAACTTCCATTTCGTCCTGGGAATTTGGGAGTTATAGGGTCCAGGGCCATGTTTTCCGCTATACTTGTCGTGGTTTACGTTAGCCTGTTACTTTGTTTCGGTTACAACACGCACTGGCGCTGTAGGCAAAAGGCAATGTTCCGGCGCTGAAACCAAGTTGAGACAACATCTATTTTGAGCCCTACGTGTGAGAAGCACCAATTACTCTTTGATAGTTCGGGATCTCCATGCACATCCATTTGCCCACGTGCCCGCAGGCCCGTACATCCACACATCAGCACACGCTTATGCCCACACCCAGGACGCTCAGACCCACACGTGCGCGCAAACCCACACCCACACCCACCCCACCCAACCCAACGCCCACCGCGCGCGCACGCACACGCGCGCATACGTGCATCTACGCGTGCGCACAGGTGCACATGCGGGGGCGCGCGCGTACGCGCGCATGCCCGCACGAACACCCACTTACACCTGCACCTGCGCACGCCCCCACAACCATCCACGCATGTGCCCCGCCACTACCTGCTGCACCCACGCACCACACCAGAACCCCGCCATGCGCAATATACGCCCACCACGCACGCACCCCAGCCATTGCGCACTGCCCACCCCCACATTCCCACACCCGCGTCCACATGCCCACATGCACGTCCGCACAAACGCGCGCCCCTGCATAACAGGGCCTTAGGATCGGAGGTTGCGGAAGTACGATGCTTGGTTAATGTTAAGGTCTTGGATTTAGGCTAGTTCTGGTCTGGGGATCATCTTCTCCCTAACCCTAGGCCGGCCCGAATTGTTGTAAACAACCGTGCCTTTCAATACATGCGCCCTTCTCCCCTCCCCCCGGAAGTGTCCCCGCAACTAAAGACATGAACCCTCAACACCATCTTCACCGCGCGGCTGGTGTGCAGCCGAGTTTCAATGGTCCAGCACAAACACACGGATCACGTATAGCCGCAACTTGAAGGACTGCAGGCCTTGCAGTGCAAGTACCAACTCAATGCATGGGTCAACTTTAAGAACGCACCTTGCAGTTCTGTTGCGGTCTCCAGTCCTCGCAGCAGCTTGGTGTTCATGGTCTTAGTCGGTGCTACCCGCTGAAGGCACTCTAGCCGAGCTCTTGCATGTGCCGAGCTTTGCCGTTCGGATGACCCTCCATGCGGTGGACGCTTGTGACAGGGATAAACTGGATGATTTGGCCTTCGACGCAAAAGCACTCTAAACCCTGAATTTCCTGGATCCGAAAAACCGCTGTCAGACCCGAAGCACTTCTCACGCGTGTTATCCAGGCCATGAGCGCCTGCGAGAAGGGCCGACTTTGGTCCCAGGCCCTGAGGCCTGGAGCCTCTGCGGCTTTTTTACTTAAACCCCGTCAACTGGATGCCCCCAAGCCCTCTAGACTTGCAGGCCGCCAGGGTTTGAAAGTAAGTTTATGTTCTGGTTTTTTAATACCTTAGGGTGCTGATTTGTGACGATCTGCCCATAAGCCCTTCAGTAGAATATGTCAATCCTGTGCCTGTTGCCTTCAGTCCCGCCATTTTGGAGGCTCCTCGCCCGCATGTGGACATCGGAGATCGTGCCTGAGGTGGGCTAAACCTTGCACTCTACACCTGAGGCCATTTAGGTTTTTGGTGTGTGGGCTGGGGTTGTGATGCAGGGCTCCCCTACAACCTTCGTCATCCAAACCTCCTTTCCCGTGCACCCTGGCCGCCTTTTCAGAGGTCGCCCCTCTGACGAAACTGTAGGGTGCTGCTTAACCCTAAACCCTATGCTCCAACCCAAAACCTTAAGCCATCCTATGCCCAAAGCCCTAACAATGCCGGCCAGCTCCAGGTCGTGGCCGTCACCGCGGCTCTTGGAGCCGTGGCCTCCAGTGCCAAGTGGGAGAAGGCGCCACGGGCTCGGAGAGGTTTCAGTATTTAGGCTTCTTCGGGTTTAGGATTACGGGTTAGGGTTGAGGGCGTTTTCAATACAACAGGCACATCTGGGCACTTGTTGTGGGAGGCAAGAAACGCGTCTCCTTTTGGGCAACGAAGGCTAAGGTGTGTCTGCTGAAACTGTAGACAATTTTACTAATTTTACCCTTACCATTAACAGACGCCCAGGCTCTGGCTGCTCTCAGCTGCTGGGCCTTCCCCCACAGGCGGGGAAGGGTTTTGGGGAGTTGTTTTTGGTTGCATCCCCTAGCATCTACTGGGTGATGCTGAAAGATGGGGGGGGGGGTGGCCGGTTCCCGTGCAGGCCCTACATGGAATGACTCCTGCAGCCCTGACCTTGGACAGGGCTGCCGCGCAACACGGCCACGCTGAACGCCGCCAGCAGCGCTTGCAGACTCGGGGCTTCCTGGGCGATGGCCTTGGCCCTGTTGAATACGGGCCACTTGGGCCACAGTTATGCCACAATGATGCCACAACGATGCCACAACAGCGGCAAAGCATTCGTCGTTTTCATCGGCCGTGAGATGATTCCGTCAGGCTCCCAGGAGCCCGAGCCCAGCATCGCCGCTTTTCGTGCTGCGCTGGCTGCCGCCGAGGCCGCCGGTGAGCCGGCGGCCTCGAAGGCGGCCGAGCGGGGCCTCTGGCGTTGCGCGGCGCGTGGCCAGGGGCGCAGTGCACCCAAGCACCACGGTGAGTATGCTCCTTGGCAGCTCCGTATGAATGATCCCACCTCAGGCATTTCCTGTGAGTTGAGCATGAAATAGCATGAACATGCCGCATTATTGTGTGATGTATGTCATTATGAGGATACAGGGTTCTCATCTGCAGACACCAGGATCCTTCTGCTGCCGAAAGCTTGGTGGCTTCCGAAGTGCACAGTGTACACTTGGGTGCCGTGCATGCAGTGCTGGCAATACCACGCCATGCAGCACCGTGCGAATCCTAACCCTGCAAGCCCGGCGTTTCCCGAGCATGGGCCCTTACAGCTTACAAGGCTTACGCCCAAGCAAACCCTTATGAAACTCAGGCCGGCGCCACGTCGCAGCTGGCCTCCTCAGGGACGCGGCTTGCTGGCCGTTTGCTCGATGGCAGCGCCTTGCAAGTGCTGGCGGCCCTCACAGGCATCGCTTTCGGGGACAGACAGCCACGAGGTGGTTCGGAGTGTGGGGTTGGGGAAAGTTTGGGGGGGGGGGAGGAAGGGCACTCATGTCGTTTGGGCTATAAGGAGGACGTTTTTGCGTTGGATGGCGGTTCTCGAGGCCGCGGCACCTCCGCAGCGCGGGACTTCTATGATGTGGGGAGCCTCAATGCGCGCCTGGCAACAGAGCACGGCAGCCAGGGGCCCACCGGGCAGGAGGCCTGTTTTTTTTTATTTATATTTTTCTCTTCGGATCTGCTTCGCTCTAGGAGTCTGCAGGTTGCTCTGAGAGATTGCCAGCCTTTTGAAGTATAAGCTACAGCTCCAGAACAACCCCTCAAGCAGCAAGCTGCACTGGCATCCGTTTCGTTCACGATCCCAACCCTCAGAAGTAGGGAGCCGCAGGCAGTTGCCGTTTTGTTCAGATTTGCGCCGCCCTCAGAAGTAGGAGTCGTCATCGGCGGATATCGGCAGTATCGGCTGCAAGCGGGTCAGCACCAAGACGGCCGATGCACGTTCACAATTCCGGTGACGGAAGTGGCTACGTTGCACAGGGAGTCGAACGTGATCGCTTTTTCAAGAGATCACTCTCATGTTTTTTATTGGCAGCTTGCCACGCTGTTGCTTTGATGGTGCACGAATGTGCACAAGTTTCTTCCCGAGGCTTGCCCCGCCTCAAAATGATCTTGGTTTCCAGTTCGTAGAATGGCTGATGTGCCACGACCGCCGACACATGCACCAGGCAGCCTCTGAACACTTCCTTCCAACCATGCTCACCATGGTGGTAAAGCTCACTGCGTTCCTCCCTCCGCGAAATGTTGGCGGGAGCTCACCTGGTGGTGAAGACGCTCGCTGCGCTCAATTGGTGCCACCCCATCCGACAAAGCTTCTGCAGCACTCGCTCTTTCAGAGTCAGCCCTTTCAGAATGGTCGCAGAAGCTTGCATGGATACAAAAAGATCCCTGAAGGAGCCTTAGATTCTCCACACATCCCCACACCCTTGCAGGATCTTTCAATCAGCCCCTTAAAGCTAAACCCAAAAACCCCAAACCCCAAACCCTAAACCCCAAATCTACTGCAGTCTCCTTGGACACCCAGCGCCCGCCGGGCGCTGGCGTCGGCTTTGCCATCGCCCGCGCCTTCCGCGGCAGCCGCAGCGCAGCTTGCTGCCTGGTACGAGGCCACGCGTGGTTGGTTCGGGTTTTCAGAGGCCTTTTTTCAAGGTTTAGATTGCGGAAAGTCTTGGGGGGGGCACACTTTCTTGCCTTAGCTTTTCAGCCATTGGCCGGGCAGGGGTTTGGTGTCCAAGTTTTCCTGGGTTGAGATGAGAGATTTCATCATCATCATCATCAGGTATCAGGCATGAGGAGGCGAAGTGGGTACCGTGATTGCATGTGCCTATATTGGCAACCACTTCTAAAAGGGGGAAACAGTGCAAGCTGTGCCTGGGGTGTGGGGATTTTGAACATGCCAGCGCCCAAAAGTCGACTCGCTCAGGGCTCAGGCGGTTCGGGGACTTTGGGGAGTTTAGGGTTCAGCTCTGACTTCGAGGTTTCTAGGAAAACCCCCGATGTGGCCCAGCACCTGACACAGCGTGTTTAGTTTTCAGTGATCTTCGACTCGTAAACTCCAACGACAGCCTGAAGCCCCAAACATGCGAAACCCTCAAGCCCCGAACCCCCTACACCTCTAACGCCTCCGAAAGCCAAAACCCTGACAGGCCCCCCTCACAAGCTCCATGCCCTGAGAGATGAACGACCTCTGGAGCACAGGCTTTCCCCAAACCTCCCAGAAAGACTTAAAGAGGTACCAAGAATCTCAGTCTAAGCCCTAAATTGCGAGGGTTTAGGGTTGCTGGTTCAGGGCTTACGGGGAATACTTATCTTTATGAGGGGTCCCCTGAGACGAAGGCTGACCTGGCATCTCGGCCGTTCGAGCAGATCTGGGACCGGGGGGCTTCTGCAGATTCTGCATTTCTGGAATTGGTGTGGATTCGAGTTTCTGGGGATGCTGTCGCGGGGCGTACATTTTATGTTGCCATCAGAAGGAAATCATGTTGTTTGCAATAGGTCGCTATTCTGGTAACTTGTTTTAAGCTCCTTCACTAGAACCCTGGTTTAGGTTTCAGGTTTGGGTTCTTCCCCGACCGGAATATGAACGTCACAGCCGTATACCCAAGCGCATCCCATATGGGTAGTATGGTTTCCATTCCCAGCATCCCCAAAGGAACCCTAGACTCTCAACGATAACATACATGTAAACCCTGTTTCGTATAGGTCAGAGTTGTCATAGCCTTATGAATCAGCCCATCATCGCGGCCCATCCAGGCCCTGCCGGTCAAGCGCGCGCCTTGGCATTCATTGCCCGCCATGCGCCGACGGATATCGGTGCTGCTGCGCGACCTGCGGCATATCGTTTTCGGAAAAAGCGATCTCCGAACCTTTACTCAGATGATGACGGCCTTGGCTACAGGTAGTTGCTGATCTCAGCCCAAGCCACAAATCCCAGCCCCCTTGTTGAGCTACTGACGCCGTTTTGCAATTCTCAACTATATAGCACTTGCCATGCTCTTTCTATGGACCCTGAATATGCAAGAGGGCGGGAGCCAGGACAAGTTGGGAACGCTGCGCAAGGTCGCCAAGGACGGGCTTGCTTGGTTTCAGGGTCACAGGGTTTGGGGGTTCAGGGTTCACATCCTCCAGCTTCCATGCCCGCTAGGCAGCCTAAGCCCACATACTGCGAAGTCTCGACATGAAACCCGTGGCCTGGAGCTCCAGTCAGATGTCTGGGGCCCCGCTGCTCTCACCTTAAGAACCCCCAACCTATGTGTCGGTTCCCGAAGGATTTTGTAAGGTTATGCGCCACCGGAGCTTGGGTTCGGCCCTCCAGGCTAAGCCCCCCCCCCTCCCCCCCGCTGGGAGGATCCCGAGCTGAAGCCCGTGAAGCTCCATCTTGCTTCCTGGGGCAAGTACCTCGGAGGGCTAGCGCGACCTTCCGCTACCCCTCCGAATGCCCGGTGTTGGGGAGCTTTGGGGCTTGGGGTTTGAATTCCTGAATCCCCTACCCCAAATCTTCGTCGGGCTCCCCAACGTGCAGACTACGCGCCAGTCGCGTGCTCTGTGCCGTTGCCTAAGGATACTGCACGGAGAAGGATGTTGACATCGCCCGCTACTCAGTACGGGAGCCGCAGCACACTCCCACTCTAAACCCTAAACCCCAAACCCTGAACCCTGAACCTTAAACCCTACACTCTACACCCTACACCCTAAGCCCTAAACCCTAAGCCCAAACCCTAAACCCTAAACCCTACACTCTACACCCTACACCGAGAGGATCCCGAGAATGCCGAGCAAAGGCACCCTCGCGCCCAGGTTGCGGCGGGCTTGATCGAGGGCATCTCCCTGCTTCGGCCCAACGACCTGGAGGTGCCATTAGGGTTTAGGGTTTCGGGTTTCGGGTTTAGGGTTTAGGGTTCAGGGTTGCCTTCTCTGGGGTTCGAGGGTTTGGGGGTTTGAGGGGGGTTTCGGGAGGTTTTGGGGGTTTGGGGGTTTAGGGGTTTAGGAGGTTTAGGGGAGGTTTAAGGGGGGTTTGGGGGGTTTAGGGGGTTTGGTTTGGGAGTTGGAGGGAGGGTTTGGGGTTGAAGGGGTACGGGGTTGAGAGTTTATCGGGGTTTAGGGTTTAAGGGTTCTAAAGGTTTAGGAAATTTAGGGGTTTAGGGTTGACGGTTTAATTCTGGGGTTGAGGGTCCATTTTTTTTCAAATTTAGGGTGTAGGGATTGGCATGTTTCTTCCTAAGGGTTTAGGGTTTAGGCTGTTTAGGGTTAGCATTTTGGGGCTCTTCAGGGCTGGCAACGTCGGGCCCAGGGTTTGGGCTAGGATCCAGAATGTATCGTATGCCCATTGCCTGAGACTGAGGTTTCCTTGTGTGCGACAGGGGTTTGGGGTTGAGGGTTTGGGGTTTGGGGTTTTGCCCGAAACCCTAAACCCTAAATCCTTAATCCCCCTAAACCCTAAACCCTGAGCCTGTCTCTGCCCCTGGCAGGCCCTGGGAGTGTCTGAGCCGTGGATTTATTGAGACCTGTGAACTCCGCGGGCAAAAAAGGGGCGCAGTCCGCTGTAACCCTCAAGACCCTAGCCAAAAGCACCATAAGACCCGAAGCCATAGACTGCTCGGGCCTAAACCCTAAACCCTAAACCCTAAACCCCAAAACCCTAAAACCCTAAAACCCTAAAACCCTAAAACCCTAAAACCCTAAAACCCTAAAACCCTAAAACCCTAAAACCCTAAACTCCTGCCACCTCCAAAGTTCAAAGGCCCCAGCCTTGAACCCCAGAAGTTTGGAGGCTAGGGTTGAGTCCGGGTTCGTCCCAACGGGTTCCGGGCTTACTCATCCAAATGGGACTCCAACGATTAGGGGCCTATAAGGCTTTAGGGGTTTAGAAGGGTTCCCAAAAAAACTAAACCCTAAACCCTCAAGACCAGGAGAGATTAGAAACTGTATGTGGCCTCATCGTGAATGTCCCATCAAACCTCAGGGTTCCAAGAAAGGCACCTGAAAGATTGCCAGCCTCCCCGCGCCCCGCCCCACTCCCCCCCGGTTCTAAGACGAATATATTCCCCCCAAATGAAAGGCTCCCCACTTTACGCCAGCCCCAAATTTTTAACCGAAACGGCTACTCAAGCCTTTGAAAACTCCCCAAAGTCCCCACGAAACAAAAACCGAAACACGCCCAAACCCCGCCCACACCTGCCCCAAATCAAAAGCCGAAACTCCCCAAAGCCCCCGTAATCAAAGAAAAGCCGAAACCCAAACCCACCCAAAACCCGCCCCCAAAGCAAAGCCGAAACCCGCCTAAAGCAAAAACCGAAACTCTCGCCCAAAACTTTCGCCCAACACTCCGGACCCAAGGCCTGTGCAATTTCTATCTTCTATAAAGCCGGAAACCTGAGCTCAAGGGGCCTAAGAAGTTTAGGGGGCCCAAAACCGCCTGCGGCCGAGTCCTGGTTGGCGGTCCGGAGATTTCGCGCTCAGAAGTCCAAGCTGATCGCCTGGGCCACAGATTCAGGGTTTAGGGTTCGGGGTTTAGGATTCAGGGTTTAGGGTTGTTTATGGGTTTAGGTCTAGGGGTTTTACGGTTTCAGAGGTTTAAGAGTTTAGGGGTTTTAGGGTTCAGGGGTTGGTTTCAGGGTTCCAGTGTTTAGGGGTTTCAGGGTGCAGTGAAGGGTTAAAGGGTTTCAGGGTCTGAGCATGTGCGGGGTCAGGGTTTGCGGAAGCAGAGTTGTATGGCTTAAGGGATTCGGGGCTTAAGTGGGCTGGTTGTTAGGGTGTCCCGGCTGTAGTATCAGGCCAAGAGTTTGGGGGTTCAAGGGTTCAGTGCATTAGGACGACATCAGAGGCGCATGATTTGGCAATGGGCAACCCACCAAACATATTTTGACGATTCCTATCACCCAACGATGATGGGGGTCCTTCTTTCAGGGGGGCCTTTGGGCAACTTACCAACTTGGTAGCCCGGTGGTACCCTTTCACCTTTTTTGTTGTTGGTTCTGGAGTAACCAACCCAAAGAAGGGTGCGCTTATCTTAATGTGGTTACTGGGCTACCAAGCCAAATCATGAAATGCCCCCCATGAGTTCTGAGTATGAACCTGGACTCACGGCTCCATTTGAGGGAGCTCGCTTCGGGCCTCAGGCCATGCAAGCAAGGTGGCGGCGCTACCAGGGAGTGAAAGACGAGGCGGCCAACGGATACCCCCAAGCCGAAGGTTAGGGGTTTGCAAGTTTAGGGTTTAGGGTTTAGGAAAATACGCTGGAGCTCCACAACTCTACAACTACAACCCTAAACGCCCTCCAAAATCTGAGTGTAGAAGCTTGTCAGTTCCTTCCGGCCTCCAGAATGCGGGTACAAGTGCGGCAGAACCACCACCACAAAATGTTATCCCTAGCACGTCGTGTTTTGAAGCTTTGGTGCAAGGTTCCAGGCACCACCCTGTTGAGGTTTCTCTGGACAGGATGCAAGTAGGGGCTGACTGAATTGAGGCATCGGCCTCACGATTTACTCTGCCCGGCTTTCTCGTTTCTTCTGTCCCTGGGATTCCTCCAAACGAAGGACCCCAGATGCGGGTCCCCCCCCCCCCCCCCCCCCCCCCAAACAAGAAAAGGGACCCTTCTCTCCCTAATATCCCCAAGCCCTAAGCCTCAACCCAACTTAGGTTATTTCCCCCAAATTCACCTGCGAGAGGTGCAGAAGCGACGCAGGAAGCGGCAACTGAGGGGCCAGGGGCCTCAAGTTACCCAGAGAGTCGGGGAGGTAACGGGTTAGGAATTGTTTTTGTGTTTTTGTTTTTGGGTGGGGGGGAGGGCTTGGGTATATACAGGCCTAGACAGGGTAAGACAAGGGTGCATATATACATAAACAAATATATACATATACATATACATTTGCACATGCATATACATATACATATACATATACATATACATGTGCATGTGCATGTACATTACATATACATATACCTATATTTCTTCACATACTTTTTCACATGCATATGCATATGCATATGCATATCCATATGCATATGCATATACACATACATATACATACACATATACAGATACAGATACATATACACATACATATACACATACATATACATATACATATACAGATACATATACACATACATATACAAAAAACATATACACATACATATACACATACACATACATATACATATACATATACATATACATATACATATACATTTACATATACATGTACATATACATATACACACACACGTATATACATACATGCGTGCATGCATAAATACATGCATGCATACATGCATGCATACATACCTACATACATGCGTGCATGCCTGCATACACACACATATACGTATTTACATATCTGCTGCGCTGGGCCTCAAGACATGGGGCCCAGCCCCCCTTACAAAACTCAAGATATGGGTACTCTGCCGAGCTATATAGTTTCGGGGAGAGCCCACCTGTCGGCATGTTAAGTTGCGGGCGCGGGGTAGGGCAACTATTACATGAAGGCGTAGGGTTTAGTGTTTAGAGTTGAGGGTTTAGAACCCCCACCCAAAACAAAAAACAAACAAAGTTAGGAAAGAATCTTGTGAAGGGTTCGTCGTGGCCTCCGGGCTGTGAGGCCTCTGGCGTGCTGCGGCATCCTTGGCGTCGGGAGCTTGAACCTGCACAACTCTAGGGTTTTCAGGGTTTTTAGGGTGTTTTTTTCGGGTGGGGTTGAGGATTTAAGGGTAGTTCAAAAGTTTGCGGCTTCGCGAGCTCCACCAGCCGCCGCGCAGCCCTTAAGCAGTAGCGTGAAACGTTGTAGAGTCTTAGGGTCTAGGGTAATTCCAAAGTTCCACTAAGTTTTTCAAGGGAATCGTTGCAGGGTCTGGGGTTCCAGGGAGAGTTCACCTTCGACATTCGCCTTCGACACAACAGAAGCCCTCCATTTTTGGGCTTCTGTCTTTGGAATTTAAATGAGAGGGCTCGAGAACTGAAGGTCGCTTGTGGCAAGAGAGCTGCCAGACATTGCTGAGCAGCTGGAGCTACCGCTGCCCTTGAAATCTACCAAAACTGTATCCAAGAAGCCGATGTCCAGAATAGACATTCACCAGACAAGGAGCTTTACACAAAGGTGACAACATGACAACATGTAATAACGGTAAATCATTCCTTCAAGACCCTCTCTCGACCAGGATGTACCACGCATCGCACGAATGGCCTGAGGTATCAGCTCAGCCGTCATCGCCGTGAGATGCGCATCAAGCGGCGAGGACAGCTCATCGCCACCTTCCGCGCCTCCGGGTGGCTTTTGCCGGGCTCCCAAAGCTGCTGGGGGGTTTCTTGGGTCGGTCTGAATCGCAGGTTCTGCTCATCGGAGCCGGGAGGTTTGGGTACAGTGATGGTCAGATACAATGGAGTTTCACTTATATATATATATATATATATTTTTTTTTTAAACTTTCTCTTTATCTTTATCTTTTGCTTTCTCTTTTGCTTTGACTCTTTTGCTTTCTCTTTATTTCATTTTTTTTCTCTCTATCTCTCTCTCTGTCCTTCTGTCCTTCCCTCTGTTCACTCGCTTCAAACGGAGGACCATCAAGTGCCCCAACCCTAAGCCCAGAACCTGGATGGGATGAGTTTGCGACAGTCGTCATGATGATTACAATTTTTGTCATTGTTAAATGTGGTTGCTATTATTCTTAATTACTGTTGCTCTTACTGTTACTACTCTTATTGTTGTTCTTACTGTTATTCCTCTTGTTAGTCCTGTGCTTATGCTTCTGCGGTTGCAAGGCAGCTTCTCGGGCGCGTCCGCAGCGCGCGGCTGCAGCGGCGAGCTGGCGAGATCCGCGCCAAGTTCCGGGCGGCGGGCCAGGTTCTGCTAGGGGCCCGGATGGTGCTGAACATTACGCGGGGGTTCCGGTAAAATAGGTTTTTTTTTGTTATGTTTATTTTTTTTTGTGGGGGGAGGGGGGGTTTCCTTTAAGGGATTCTCTTCTATTTGGGGTATAATGATGCCCATATAATTAGTTTATTGCAGTGATTCTATAGCCTATAGCAAGACACTCAACATCTACTGCAGGGTTTAGGGCTACAGGGTTAAACCCCTTCTTGGGCAGGTTCGCGAACACCTGGAACTTCTAGCCCTGAGCTTGAGAACCCTCATTCGGTGTTGAGGAGGTTACCTGTAACAAGAACCTTGTGTGAGGGTTTGTATGAGTCTTGAAAGATGTGTTTGCGTTGTTTGGGGGAATCCGGTAGCCACTCCGCAAATCCTGAAACCACAAGCGCCCCTAAAACCCGAGACCCCTAAATTTTAAACTCCTAAAGTCCCCCCCCTAAACCTCCACAACCCCAAACCCCCAAGGCCCTCTACCCTCCAACCTCTAAAATCTTGAACCTTAGAAGCCCCCAACCCCTAAAGCCCCCTAAAGCTCCCCAACATCCCCCCGAAAAGCCCCCCACAAGCCCCCCTCCCTTAAACCCCCTAACAAAGCCCCAAAACCCCCCAACCCCCCAACCCCCAAACCCCCAAACCCCCAAACCCCCCCCAAAACCCCCAAACCCAAACCCCCAAACCCCAAAAAAGCCCCTACAGCCCCCGAAAACCAAAGCCCCCTTAAACCCCCAACCCCCCCCCCCCCCCCAAAACCTCCCTTAAACCCTAAACCCTAAACCCTAAACCCGAAACCCTAAACCCTAAAACCCCCCAAAAACCTCCCCAGGTGGTCCTTCAAGCGGGTGGCGCGGCGGCGGCGCCAGCACCGGGCGCGGCGGCTCCTGGGTTTGCTGCGGGCGGCTGGGTGGCTCCTGCCCGGAGCACAGGTTGGGGTTTAGGGTTTAGGGTTTCGGGTTTAGGGTTTAGGGTTTAGGGTTTTTAGGGTTTAGGGTTTAGGGTTTAGGGTTTAGGGTTTAGGGTTTAGGGTTTAGGGTTTACGCCCTAGATCATGGTTTAGGGGGGAGGGTTTCGGTTTGGGGGTTGAGGGCTTAGAGGGTGCACCGGGTTTAGGGAGAATCTGCTGCGAAATAGTCGGTACCACGATTTTCTCATCCCGGTGGTCCCTTGAATGTGGCAAAACCCTAAACCTATACCCAATAGCCCCAGGTCATCATCCCTCAAACCGGGAACCCTAAACCCGAAACCCTAAACCCTAAACCCGAAACCCTAAACCCTAAATCCGAAACCCTAAACCCTAAACCCAACACCCTAAACCCTAAACCCGAAACCCTATACCCTAAACCCTAAACCCAACATTCTCCCCCGCATGTTCCGAGGTGCTCGCTCCAGCGGGTGCAGCTGACAAGGTGGCAGAAGAGGAAGCGGCTCCTGCGATCGTCCTTCCAGGCGAGCCGTTCAGAACACTCTGCTACCTGTTCGGACGGTTTAGGGTTTAGGGTTTAGGGTTTAGGGTTTAGGGTTTAGGGTTTAGGGTTTAGGGTTTAGGGTTTAGGGTTGTCTAGAACGTGCCACTACTTAAGGTCCAGATCCTTGCGGCATCTTGAGGGAGCCGCCGTGCATACTAGCCACAGCTGCTCGAAGAATCGTTTCCAGGCCGGCGTCCGATTTCTGTCCCGGGCCGAGCGGCGGTTCGGGGTTAAGGCGTGCAAGATCTAGCCCACAAACCCCGAGAAGACAAGAGATTCAGACACTGCACATGGCACGAACTTGACTTAGCCTGCAGAGCTCTCAAGTGGAAGTTTATGTCGGGTCCCCCCGCTCCCCAAAAAAAGCTTTCAGCCTTCCCCCTTTGAAACGGATGGCTCTCCATATTATGGTACCTTTTTGGGGTTCCTATGATTCATGCAGAGCCTTGATAATTGGGGTCCCCCAAGAGCCACCCCAAGCCCTAAAGCCTAAACCCTAAAGCCTAAACCCTAAACCCTAAACCCTAAACCAAGGATGCTCCTGGCCAAGATCCAGCTGGCGCAGCGCCGCCGGCGCCAGATCTGCGAGGGGTCCCAGCGAGGATAGGGTTTAGGGTTTAGGGTTGAGCTTGTCTACTTTTTTTGGCGGGAGGGGGGGGGGGGGGGGGAAAGGGATTGAAAGCTTCGGGTACCTGAACCCTGCACCCTAAACCCTAAACCAAGTGCCCGAAAGCCGAGGCAGCCCAAACCAGGGGCGACTTCGTTCCCCCCCCCTCCCCCCGCACCCGAAAAAGTCCCCAAAAGAGGGTTTGGGTTTGGAAAGCCCTGAACAGCCCTGAGCCCCAAACTCTCTCCAGGCCTGCGTGGCTGCTGGCGGGCCTCAGCCCGGGCCCCAGGTACTTTGGGGGTAGTTGAAGAGCCCCCAGCTCGGGGGGGGTTAAGGAAGGGTATTCATGGTTTAGGGCTCAAACTATGCTACCAGGGCTCCTCACGAGCTGCATCCGCTCGAATTCGGTTCTTTCCCAACCACAAGCCACAGCAATGGAAGTTGGCTGCACCCCCTTAAATGGAGTCTTTCCAAATATCCCCAAACCAAGGTCCCATAAACCCTACGAACCCCATAAACCCCCAAAAAACCCTGCAAACCCTGTAAACCTCCTTCCGAGGCATCAGGGTCCGGTAAGGTACCCGCGCGGGCCAAAAGCGTCATCGCTGTGACGACGCAGCCCAAGAACTATAGGACACTAAGACAAAGAGCAACCAAAGACACAGGGTCGTACCCGCTCCCTTAGGGAGGCGGTAGCGACTGGTGCAGGGCGGCCAACTGTACAGGACTGGCTTGAAAAGCTAGAAGGCCACGCCTCAGCTCGGAATGGAAAGCAGCAACAGCGTCAGGATGTAAACCCTGTAAACCCCATAAAACCCCATAGTAACTCCGTAGTAGCCCCATAGCTCAAACTCGCAGGCCATGCTCATCCTCAGCGGACATCGCTCCTGGTGCCGATCTCTCGCAGCTACCGAGGCGCGGCTGATGTGGGGTTGTTCTACATTAGGGTTTAGGGTTTTGGGGGGTGGGGGAGGGGTGGGGTCCGGTTCAAAATGTAGAAATGTTTACTTGTATGGCGCCTGCCAGCTTCGAAAGTGCCCTAGTTTTGGGTTCTTTTGGTTGCCTACCCCCCCCCCCCCCCCAAAAAAAAAAAAAAGAAAAAGAAAAATAAAAATATATAAAAGAGTACCTCCTGGGCCAGGAAGACCTTGCTTGGCTTCAATCGGCCCAATTGTGGGCCTCAAGCCCTCAAATTGCGGAGGATCCATGCCTTAATCCTCCTTAGCCCTAATCACACTTAACAACTCAAACCGCAGCCCTAAAACATCCAACAACATCCAACACTGCACCTTAGACGCTTGTGGTCGACAGGGTTTTCGAGGCTTTAGATTTTAAGCTTGGGGCGAAAACTGGGCTCTTGCTTTCGAACTGGAATAAAGTGACCAAAGTGGCTCCTAAAGTAGATGGTATAGAATTCTTGATTGTGACCATTCGGGTTTGAGTTCCTCCACAAGAGCCCGGTAGATTCGAGTGGTCTTAGCGCCTCCAAACTCCCCAACCCCCTACATCCCAATAACCTTCGAGCCCCGAAGGCGGTTTAGGGTTTAGGGTCCTAAGCCCTAAACCTAAACCCTCAACCCTAAACCTTAAACCCTAGCCCTAAACCCTAAACCCTAGCCCTAAACCCTAAACCCTAGCTGCAAAGGCAGCCAGAACAAGCCCTGCAGCCCCTGAAGCCCCTGAACCTCGAGACGTCCCCACGCCCAGATCCAGCGGCACGTTCGCACCTTCCTGGAGCGGGACACCCTGCGGAAAGTGGTGCGCCACCCGAAGAACCCCCAAGAACCCGAAGAACCCGAAGGAGAAGAATCCGAAGGACCCCAAGAGCCCTGCAAACCCTACGAACCCTGAATCCTCCTTTGTGGGAGGATGCGATAGGGGTTTAAAAACCCCTCCAGAACCCCCCCCTCCCCTCCCCCCCCAAACAAAAGCAACAAGACAAAAAAGACAACCCCAAAGCTTTGGAAGGTTCCTGGGTTTAGGGTTTTCGGGTTTTAGGGTTTGGGGCATCCAGAACGCTGTGGCCCCACGCGCCTGGGCCCCGTTAAGGTTCAGGGTTTCTCGGGGGGAGGGACCACAAGTTGGCCGTCTTAGCGCTGCAGGGCACAGGAGGGTAGGTTCGCTCCAGTCGACGAGCCAGGCCAAGCCTCATCACCCGCGCAAGGGCGAAACATGCGCAGGGAGCATCTGCAGTCTCAAGAATTCCGGGCATCTCCAAGTCGACGTCCACGTCGGTGAGTCCCCAGAGTTTCCTCCACACACCTGGGGTAGATGCTATGTCTGACATGCTTGCAGCGACAACGACTTCTGGATCCAGAAGCATGGGTGCTGTTCGAAACAAGGCCCCCTAGCTGGTAGCTTTTGCAACGTTTAGGGCTCAGGGCTTAGGGGTTTAAGGGTTTTTAAGGTCGGGTTTAATGCTTCCTGTAGGTCGAGCGTAATGGGTAGCCGGAATTCTGGCAAGGCCAAACAGCGCGGCCAAAGACTTGCCGCCGGGGCCCCAGAAACTCTAAGCCCATGCTGGTAGTCCAAGCTTTTGACTTGCGATAAATGTAGAGACCCCCCAAGAAAAACCCGTACTTTAGATGTACGAGTTGAGAGGTTTGTTGGAGGGGCCTGGGGTTTCGGGGCTGCAGGATGATTCAGGCTTACGCCTGAGAGCTTCCTCCTGCTGAGGTGCACTGCTTCCGTGGGATTGTGCCCCGTTACGACGCGCAGGTTGTGGGGCCCTCGGCTCTACCACGGTCGTTTCAGAGTTCGTGCGAACATGCTGATGCTGAGGCCTTGGCAAGATTACGGATCCTCGCGGCCGCGTCCTTCTTTAAGGAGAAGAGAGCCACCGATGGTGCACGGGATGAGTGTCTGGGGTATCTCCCGAAAAAGCGGTACAACATGCCCCTCGCCGCCCCCCCCCCCTACCCTTATGACCCCGGATTCAGCCACACAGAGCATGTTGCCAAATAATTCTTTTTATGAATATTTTATGATTTGAGATATTTCTTGAAGTTTTTGGATTTATGATATTTTTACGATTTGGTTTATGATTCTCTTCGATTTTATGAATCATTTATGATTTTTTATGAAAAATTTATGTTTTTCGTCGATTTTATGAAAATTTTATGATTTTTAAAATGAAAATTTTTATGTTTTTCATCAAGTTCGCATCATTTTCAATGCAGAAACACACAAAACCGACCAAAACCATAAGATCTTCATAAAAAATCATAAAGTTTTCATAAAATCGAAGAGAATCATAAACCAAATCGTAAAAATGTCATAAATCAAGAAATCCCAAAATCATATTTAAAACATAAATTTTCCATACAAAAAATCATTCCTTGAATCGTGGCTCTGGCTACACATCCAGTGTCATAACCCTACCCGCTTTTGGGGAACCCAATGTGTGTCTCAAGGCCCTGTCTTAGTGCCCCATATCCCAAGCAAAAGCCGAACTCTCCAGTTTCGAAATCGCCGGTATGGGGTGTAGAGTTTAGGGTTTGGGGTTAGGTTCTAGGGTGATTCTTTGAGCCCCCCGAGCCTCGGACTCCGGACCACTTTTGGCATTCCGGAGCCGTTCCCGTGACAAGCAGGAGTTCCTCCACGTCATGGACGCTCGGGGGGTTCTCCTTCGTCTCCGTGCCGCAGCTCGGCAAGGGCATGCTCTGAAAATCTTCGATGGCTTCGGGCCGTTTTCGCCTCTATTTACCAGCCTGCTGTTCCTGGTGAGGGGTCCCTTTTAGCATCGTTTAAGCTGTTTTGGCTTTCATTCACGAGCGTACTGGGCCGGGTGAGCTTTCGCTCCGTTATTTTGGCTGTGTGTTCAGCTCTGTTTCATGTCAGCCTTATGAACCTCAATGTGGGCCAACGGCCGACGCCGCCAAACTTAACACTCGGTTCTCAAGTAAGTAGTTTAGGATTTCAGCCAATCAGTGACTTCTGCCTTTCTATTCACCCGGTTTCCAGAGTTCAGCACGGTCGAGGGTGCATAGGGTCGCAACGATGCAGTCATGCCGGTTCAAGTTCAGCATCCCGCGGAAGCCGCTGGAATTGATAAGCAAGCCCTTAAACACCCTAAACCCTAAGCCGCCCTAAACCTTACCATAAATCCTAAGCCCTGACGTAAGGAGCGGAATGCCAGGCCGGGGGCTCAGACGCCGGCGGATTTCCAGGATTTTGCATCGGGGGGTGCCTAGCTCTTGCAGGAGGTCGAGCTTCAGGCCCAAGGGAAAGCAGTTGAGCCATGGCAACGAACCCTTAAAACCGTAGCAATGCCTTCATCTACCCTAGCCCTCAACCCTGGGCAATCGACCCTGAACTTCCCGGCGCTTGGAGGATGATCCAGACGATCAGCCGTGGCATGACTTGGCCCCAGCGAGTGAAGGAGGAGGGTTCAGGGTTTAGGGTTTAGGGTTTAGGGTTTAGGGGGGTGGTGTCTGTTGCTCGTGGGTTTCGGAGTGGGTCGGGCTTCGAGTAAGCCTTCAAACTCAAGGCGGGGCTTGCATCAACGACGGCCGTGTGCTTGTGTCTGTCATTGCAACGGCGAGCTTGAAAGGTGGTAGCAAACGTCGTGCGTGCGTGCTGCGCGGTTTGCAATTGGGCTTGCTTTGGGGCACCAGTTTCCTAACATGTTCTGCTTGCTTTTATGACTATTGTTCCTATGATTATTGTTGATATTATTGGGCCTGGGAGTTCGAGGTGCTCTTGGGCGCCAGGGCCTTGGGTCTCTGGGGTTCTCGCTTTGCCTCGCCGGTGGACTCTGGAGAGGAAAAAAAGGAAAGGACGGTTGTCTCAGCTAGTGCGCTGTCTGAAACTTCCTTTGAGTTCTGGCTCCTTTCTTCACCTTCACTTGCTGCCTGGCCAGGGCCTGCCAGCATTCCCGCCACCGCAACCCGACGCAGCGGGGGTCCAGTTTCTGCTCTGCCTTGCCCGGAGCTGCATGTCAGCCCGCTGCGATCGCCTTGCCTGCCTGCCGGCCCTGACACGTCAGACTTCGGCACCTGACACGAAAGAAGGAACAGTCTTGGACTGCTGAAAGCAGCATGTCGGAGTGCCTGTTTCAGCTGCTATAGTGGTGCCCAGCTACAGCAATTTCAAAATCAACTTCGTTCGCAGAGTTGACAGCAGTGTAGTCCTCCAATTTCGCAACCAGACAGAGTTCATTCCCTCCATAGCCCTGCCATATGCCATCATGCCCTTCTTCAACGAAACACTCTTCCATGGCGGCACCCCCCATCTTTAGCATGTCATCAATGGCTCTCGTGTCCGAGGTCCGGTCGGTCTCCTGCAAAACCGGAAAATACTCCACGGAAAGAGCCGCTGCTAACACAATGCTGGAAGGACAAAAAGCCCAGCTATCATCGCCATTGCATTTTGCGGCTGGCATTCGGGCCAATTACCCCAGCTGGAAGCCCCAAATTCTCTCGGCCATGCACAGACGCAGGCGCTCCAAAGGCTACGGATGTCTACAAGGCCTTTGCCAAGTTTTGCCTCGGCATCGATGTCGGGCTGTACATGATGTCCCAGGTCAATGCAGCTGACTAAGTACGTTATTCTCTCTCTTTCAAAGATGAAGTCAAGGCATCCCCATGCTGAGCCATTCAGCCGTTCCCTCCACGAGCTTCCGAGCTGCGGCTGTCGCTTTTGAGGGCCACCGCGAGCTGTGCTCTTGCCTCGACTCGCCAGTCTCTCCTGATGCTCTCGATGCATCTGCAAGGCGTCCCTACGGAAGTGAAAGTAATCCTACGAGTGAAGGTAGCAGGAGTGACGGGTCGAAGGCCCAGTGTGGTAGATAATCTGGTGCACACGAACCTTGAAATGAGGCTTTGCCGCCGACAGTTCCGAGCACTGCTGACGAGGTAGGACTGCAGCTTGCTGTATTGTATTTGGCACCAAATTCATGGTCAGGTGTTTTAACGTCCTCAGCGGGCTCAGGGTTTAGAAGCGGCCTTTCAGCATCGAGTCTTGCAGCCCTGTGACAGGCGACGCGCCAACGCATCGCGGGAGCTCAAGGCCTATTTAGAGGCCAGGGCATGCCTGACCTTGCCCGGAAAGCCCTGGAACTCCTAAAGATCTAAAGATAAGAACGCCCCTTGATTTTCCCAACAGGGCTTCGGAGCCTTCTTGGTCCTCCCTAGGACCACAGAAAAGCACAAGCCAGGTTGAGCTTGGCCGTGAGAGGCATCTTTTGGGGTTTGCAGTACTCCTTACTAAATTAACTAAACCCGTCAAGCCTGTTGAAGTCTGTTGCAACTCCCCCGAAGACCCACCTGCTTTTGCTAAATCCTAAGCCCTCCAAAATACACCCTTGAACCCTGCCCAAACGCAAGCCTTGAACCTTGAACCGCGAGAGCCTTATCCCTGAAGCCTTAAGCCTAAACCCTGGAATCCTAAAGCTCTAAAGCCTCAACCCTAAACCTGAAACTCGGCGGAGGCCGCACGCTGCCGTTTGAAGTTTGCTGAGTTCCGCAGGCCTTTTCTGGATTTTTGAGGTTCAGGGTTTTGCAGTAAGGAGTTTAGGGTTACGGGGGCCAGCTCTAGGGAAGTTAGGGTATTTAGGGTTTAGGGGTACATTCTAAAGGTGGGGGATCTCATATTCGGGTCAGGGAGTTAGATGGTAAGCCCTAGACCCTACAAACCCTAAACACACCCTCGCCACGTCTCAAGCCAAGCCATGAATCCATGAATGAATTCGTGACTTGAAACGAACCCATGGGTTTGAGGGATTTCGGGAAGGGAGCCCTAGGGCTTCGGGGGTTTTATCCTTTAGGGCACCCTAAAGAACTCAAAAAGGGAGGCAACCCTGAGCCCCAAAACCCGAAACCCTAAACCCGAAACCCGAAACCCTAAACCCTAAACCCTAAACCCTAAACTCAGGGCCTGGGCCGCCCCCCTGCGTTGGGGGGCGGCGCTTAAGCCCTTCGACCTCGATGGCACAAGCCGACCCAGGTCGCTCGCCGGCCCTTGCCCCCCTTGAGCCCTCCCTTGGCGGCTCTCCTGGGCCCTGGGCCCCCGTCCTGGGCCTCCCCTGCTTGGTGCCGGTTGCCCAAATTCTGGGGCCTTTCTGCCCTTCTGCCTGTGGCTTTTATTGTGAACCTGAACGAGGCTGGCGACCACCGTGACGGAATGAAGGAGTTTTATGGAAAGTAAGCAGTTGTCTTGAGTTTAGGCCTATAAACCCTGAAAGGAAAAGGTTTGGGTGGCTTTCCCGCCTCGGACGGCGTGGGGTGGGAGAAAAATGTTAGATGGCCTTCCACAACCGGGCCAAAGCTGCTCTTCGCGTCTCGCGAAGCTTTCGAGCTGGTTCCAAAACCTAACCTTCACAGCATCTACGCCCTACCACAGCAAGCCAAACCCCAAACGCTAAACCCCAAACCCCAAACCTTAAACCGGAATCTCCCCCAGGTGCGAAGGCTACCACCGGGCCGGGCTTCTGCTTTCTGAGACAAAGTCGCTCAACATTCTACTGGGCCATGGCAGCCTGGGGCCCGGCACCGGGTCGAGGGTTTTGGGGTTGAGGGTTCAGGGTTCAGGTTTAGTGTTGAGGGTTGGGGTTTGAGGGTTGAGGGAGGGTTGAGGGTTGTGGGTTGTGGGTTGAGGGTTGAAGGTTGAGGGTTGAGGGTTGAGGATTTCAACTTGCTTGGTTTGCATCCTGCGGCTTTGGGTGCTCCAGGAGAGAATTTGCAGGCGGCCTTTCCGACCATCTTCAAGAGCAGGGGACGAGGTAGCTCTCTTTGGGGCTTCCTATCATCATACGAAACCCTATGGTTTGGGTCGCCCAAAAGGTTTAAGGTTTGAGGGGTTGAGAGTTCCATGATCGGGAGAACTGCCCACTAGTGCGTATGGTCCACTGTGAGGCCGATACACGCAGCTCCGGACTAAAACCCCGCCGCCGCCGCCGCCACCGTCGAAGCGGGCAGCCGGGATCTTGGCTGGGGTTCTGATACCCCACAAAACCCATAAACCCACCAAACCCAACAAATCCAACAAACCCGATAAACCCTATCAAGCCTCCTCAAGAACAGAAGCCTATGTACAACCGCCGCCCGATAATCCCTAGCAGCCCGATGGTCCCTACCACAGTCCCCACTTTTTCCGAAGGCCGATTGGCAATTAAACCTTAATTCCTCGACCCTACAAACCTTAACCCTGAACCCCAAGCCCAAGAGTGTTTTTGGGGTGTTGACCCCGAAAAGGGCTTGCAGGCCTCGGGACCCGGGGGGGGGGTGGGTGCTCGGGGCACCTAAAGTTTAGGGAGGTTTGAGTTGCCCAGCATCTGAGAGTTGTGGAAAGCCCAAGTGCACCTTTTCAGGGCTTAGGTGGTTTTCTTTTGGGTGGGGGGGGGGGTCAGGGTGTGTGGGTGTGGGGTTTAGGGTGGTGCCAGTAGTTTGGGGTTTGATTCATTTTTGGTTTAGGGTTGGGGGTGCGGGGTTCGATATCAGGGAGCGGGTTAGCCGCGTGGCGACAACCATGACTGCAGGCGAGCCTCCGCTCCATCAAGGAGGTGGCCAGCCCCCGCCAACAGAAAGAGGCGCGCTCTGCACACGTTTGGGGATCGCCCTGATGACCCTTACCGAGTCCTCATTTGACATAGGGGGCATTTCCCAACATCAAAGTACCCTAATATACCGGCAACTACAAGAAGCCTGATTACAGGAACACCCAAAAAGGTTACCCCCATTTTCCATTTTCGGAAACTGCCATATACCCGAAGCCTGATATACGGTTCCTGAGACTGTCCATTTCGGTTGATTAGATTGTTGCCCTTCCGATTTGGGGTTTAGGGTTTAGGGTTTCGGGTTTAGGGTTTAGGGGCCCCTCCCTAAACTAAATGCACGGTATCTACAGGTTTCTATCCTATTCTTACGGCAGGTTCAATATTCGCGGGTGTTGTGGGAGGGGGGGGGTTAATGGTTAATGTTCGGACATCCATACACGTCCTGACTGATGACGGAATCTCCTGGCTCGTCTCTGGCCTTGCCCAGGCCGAGACGTCAGTCAGAGTGCCGGATGACGTCATGAGGCCTCCTAGTCATGCTAGTCCTGAAGTTTTTGGCTTCAACCCCAACACCTACAAGTGCATAGGGTACAACCCCCTGATACCGCCCTGATACCAGTTTGGGTGCCCTAAACTCTGAACCCTTGCGACCTTGAGTCACCGAGTCTGGAAAAGCTTGCGAAGTCGATCACAGGAGAGGAGTCCCTAAGCATCCTAGCATGGACAGATGGGGTGTGCGGCAACTTCAGGACCTGCGCAAATGCCACAATGTTGTCTGGCAACCGTTCTTTGTAAGGTCGGAACCCTGGGCCCTCCGTATGGGTTTTTTCCCCCTTTCTTATAGAGATCCGAAGTATGGGCCCTTTTAAGGGGACCTAAATTACGGGCCAATACTCGGAACCCCTAAGATTTGGCTACGATGTAAAGCTGCCCAAAAGGCCCAGCTGAAATGAAATAGATCCGTTCACGCGTGGGTAGACCCTCTAAGGCGGCTCCCAGCCTGCAAGCCGAGGTATGGTGACTTATATGCCCTTGCGTAGGAAGCCGCAAACCTGAAGCCCCAAGCCTCATAATCCTCAAGCCCCAACCAAAACCTACATGAAGCCCTCGGCAGCCCGCAAACGCCCCCCTCTCCCCCCCCAAACTCCCGGAAGCCCCCAAAAGCGGAGCTTGAAACTGCAGGTCCCTCAATGTGCTGCGGTCGGCTGCAAGCTCCATGGGCACTGCAAGGCCTTTCGTGGCACCTCGCTCGCTGCCGTCCTTTGCATCTGCCTTTTTGGGTTCAGGGTGTAAAAACGTACAGGAACCCACAGCACCTAATTCCCAACACGATGAGCCCCTTCTGAACGCCCGCCTTTCAACGTGCACCTTGTAAACCTTGAGTACTCTTCAGGGATCGTTCTTGAGGTGATGCATCAGCACCCAAAACCCTGAAATAGGGCTTTGGGGGCGGGGGGGGGGGGGCATGTTGCAGGCAGCTGTCACCTCGGACCGGAAGCCAGTCGGAAGGCCCGCGGAATGGGGGTTCTCAACTGTTTGGGGGGCGCTGTTCATATTGCGAGGGGTTCTGCTGGTGCCACCAGAGTCCCCAAACGGTGTGCACACTGGGCGTCTCTTGTGTCGGCCCCCCAGGCCCGTGCACGTTTTGGTGGGCTCTTGGAATCTCTTGGACAACTCCATGTCGTGCATTTGTTCTCTGTGATGTACACTCCCGCTTCCTAGCAAGCAGTCTTTGGCTCAGTCCGTGCTCGAAATGGCGGACGCTCATGGGGTGACACTTGCGCGTGGTCTCACATTGTTCGCGGACTGCGCTGGCATGTTTAGTAGCAAAAGTGAATCTACAAGGTCTGCCTAGAGCAACTCCGCCCCAACCGTTGAAGCTGTGCCACTGCGTTCGAGCCAGCGCCCTGAAAAAAGGCCCTGATTTAGGGTTCCGGGCCTCCCCCCCCCTCCCAATTTGTGTGCGAACAACAATGGCCGACTTTCAGTCAAAAGTTCACTTTTAAAGCAAAAACAACTTATTAGGAGATGCCAACTTCCGCTTGGCTGAACTCTGCCCCCACCCCCCCCCTTGAGAGGGGAAGTTCGCCTTTCAAACGCCCTTTTTCTAGTTGCGGCCTCTCCTCTTGTCTGGACACAAACGGCAGAAATCGCATTTTTTGTCCTGAGTCCAAGCAAATCCTTGGGTCCGCCTAAAGCTGACACGCCGAGCCAGGCTACCCTTCCCCCGCCTTAGAACCTTCGTGGCCCGGAAAAAATCTTTGACCTTGGGCCCTCCCACCCTCGCAAGCTGGTGTAGCAATGTGCGGTAGCCTCCAGTTTCAGGCTGTAAGATGCTGTAAGCTGTATGGTGCACTTGCAACTGTTTCCGACCTTTTCGCTGGTCTCAGGTCAACTTGACCGAGGGCACGACGAGAGAACCAATATCGAAAGTCAGCCCGAACCAGAGCCTCGCGCGGATCGCGCTTCCTCCCGCAAGGGCCCGGCGCCGAATGGCCGAGCAGGTAGGAGGCAGCAGCAGCCGCAGCACGCTGTTGCTGCACCAACAGCCAGCGCTGCGAGTATAGCAGGCACAAGCTGCAAGAGCAGCAGCAGTGCCAGCATGCCCTTGGCCAACCATGGACACAAGAGCTTTCCGAGACAACCGCAGCCATCGCAGCCATCGCAGCCCAGCCGCTCTTCGTCTGTGCAAGCAACTCCGCCCCGCAAGATGCGGGCGGAAAGCTCGGAGACGATGCCCGAGACGCCTCACTCTGCGAGCTCGACTTGGGGCCGAAAAGCGTCTCCAACGAGCAGCTCCAGCCGATTCGATCGCGTCTCCCTCGGGAGCTCTGAGGGGAAACCGGCCCCGGTGCAGCTGCGGGCCTGGCTGGAGCGGGCACGCCAGGAGGCCAGCGCGCTCTACACCAGCGGGGCCCTCAATGGCCTGCGGAGCCCGGACCGCGGTCGGAGCCGAAGGAGCTTGTCGCCCGGAAGCACGCAGCATCTGCAGCATCTGCATGTTGAGAGCGGAAGCATCTCCGTAGCCGGCGAGGAGATTGTAGACCCTCGCGTTGAGATGTTTGCGCATCCACGGTCTTTGTCGCCTTCCGTGCGGGAATGCACGATTCGTGGGTCCGCCGTCAGAGATCCTGGCTTTAGTGCTCAACGCGCCGCCCCTTTCACCAGCGTGCAGCGCCAAGCAATGTCGCAGCTGGCGCGCCAATCTGCTTCACAGCCGCGTGCCTCCAGCTCCCGTGATTTCCGGCCTTCGAGCTTCGGGGAATCCCCGCTGGCGCCAGACACTGAGCAAACGAATCCCAGTGAGTTCAGCCAAGGGCCGGAGAGGCCGCAGGCTGCATTGGGACAGCCTTTTCAGGATCAGCACGTGGAGATGGCGGAAAGGACCCAGACAAGGGAGCCCACTCAAGAGGAGGCTCAGGAGCTGGTTGCTGAACCGGTGACTCGCAGCGGCATCCAAGCCGGGCGCCCCCTCACAGAGGATGCGTGCTGCAGACACGAAGAGCTCTTGCAGAACCAGCTGCTGACAACGCAGGCGCAGCTGGAGGATCTGCAGCGCCAATACCTTGAAGTGAAGCTTGGCTAACAACAGGTGGATTTCTTAAGCTTACTATGACCTTTTGCTGTTGTTATCATCGCCATTGCCACTTGCAAGACACGGGTGATTTTATGTTGCGAGTAGTGTGACTATTGCTCTTGCTGCTCTTAGTGCCCTGTATTCGTTGGCTTTAACTTTCTCATGTTTCTGGATTGAGTATTTCAGATTTGCTTTGTATTGCTATGTTAAAACCCTGTCAGACCTTTCATACCATTGTCGTTCAGTCCTTTCATGATTTGTTCATGGTATGGCGAGTACCATTGTCGTTTCGATTGTTGATTTCATTGTCACTTTTCTTTTATCCTTATTTTGTTATTATTTATTTATGTTGTTTTATCCTCTTTCATTGTTTTTTTGTTAAGAAGGGCAAAATCCCCAACCCGTAACACCCGGATTGGCGCACCCGAGGCAAAAGCTGCTCCAGGACAGAGCGGCCGGCGTGAATGTGGCAGGACGAACTGCTCGGGCGAAACACTGCTTATGTTATATTCAAAGCAAAAGGGTTGAAGACCATCTCTGTGCACACTGTGCATTCGAATGGGCTCTGATATTCGGTTGGTTCAGTGCAAATCATCACTGGTTTTATTCTTCAAAATAGATGAAGTATCAAGATCGGTTGAGGCTAGCACAGTTAGAGCGCAGATCTAGACAGCTAGGTTCTCTGAGTCGTCCTGTCGCCTTCTACCTAATGATAGCGGCTGCAGCGCACGCAGCGAAATGAATGAAACTGTTTCGGTTGGCTCCTGGTCATGTTCATCCCCTCCTCCAGTTTGAGATTGCAGTTCTCTCAATCTGGCTACTGCAAGTAGTTAATTCTAGCTTTGCGCTATTTCTTATGGATAGACTGACTACTGCCAGCACATGTCTGTCAACCAGTGGGAAAAGGCAAGTACCATTCGGTTTCGCCTCTTTGATTGTCAATATTTGTCCAACTTACACAACACGATCGCTCCCACGTATAGTATCCCAAATTTAACCATGACCGTTGTAATTCTTTCGTTTGCGTAGTTAGGGGGGCCTAGTAACTAAACTAGCTAAAGTGCCCGCTCGCCTTGTTGATGAAGACGTAACTAGCTCTAACTTCAACAAATCAAGAATTGAATTCACATTGGAATGGCAGCTTTCTTCGGGTCCAATGTGACATGCGTTGCGCAGGCGCCCGAAATACATTCAGATCTATCAACTTCGGTAAAGTTGATCTTTTACATTTGGGAGCCATGCACAAGTGTGATTGGAATCTCAACAACGTAGGTTTTAGAACAGCTTAGCTAGAACCTCTGTTCAAGATCTTCAGCAAGTACTCGTATCAAGTCACACTAAGGATGACTCTCCACAGTTGCGATTATGTGGACGAAATACTTAACAAACATATCAGAGCAAGCACAAGACATGCCTAGTAGCTGCCTTCATATTGCTGCCCTGGCACCAACCGTTCACTCACAATGACATGGCTTTAGGTGTGTTGATTAACCACTACGCATAGCTGCACAGCTGCACGTCAAATACCTATGTCTTGAGCTTAGAAAAGATTGCATTGACAGCGTAGTCTGCAGAAACGTGTAGTCATCTAGCGCAGGTCAGAACCACATGTAGTGTTTATGACTATTGGTGTCCTTGTTTGGACTGAGGCGCGTCAGGGTATGTATCTGAGAACCCATCAACGGCGAGGCATACTGTGTTTGTTATGGTATGATTGTAATTCTTGCCACCGGCACGATTACCTGTTCAACCACGAAGCCACTATGTCATTAAACCATTCAGTCAGAGGGGAAGGAGCTCCACGAACCATTCAAGTCATTAAGCCAGCAAATCATCAAACCAGTCGATTCTGCCCATAGGGGGAAAGGGATGGATTTAGTTCTTGAATGGTTTAATGGTGTGTGGATGGTTTGGGGGTTTAGCGGTGCTCCTTCAGCCCCTATGGGCCGAATTTATTGGTTTAATGTTTTTAACGGCGTCATGATTTAGTGACTGGACGGGCAGAAATGATTGGTTTCATAGTTTCATTGATGTTTAATTAAGTGGCTTCACCCTGCAACACATGACATCTACACATACTAGGGCAAAGAGTAGGCCCTTATTGCTTAGGTTTAAGGTTCCCGTCGAACCCCCTTTAAACCAAAAAGGGCGCCCTCTTGATTCCTAGGTTAGTCCTGGTTCTAATAGAGTATAGTTACGCTAAACCAAGCCCTGCACCCTCAACCTAGTCGAAACTACATAGTTGCACTAAACCCAAACCCTACATCCTCAATGCAATGCCTTCCTTGTCCCAGGACCTGCCACTCCGCGCCAGCCCCGCCTCTCGCGGGCGAGTGGAGGCCCGTATTCAGCTACAAGGATGGTTGGTTTAGGGTTTAGGGTTTAGGGTTTAGGGAAGTGAAGGTTTATGGTTTCTAGGGTGAAGGGTGTAGGGTTTGTAGAGTGAAGGGCTTAGGGTTTATCGGGTGAAGGGTGTAGGGTTTATGAGTCCGAAAAGGTTAAGGTCTAAGGGTTGATAGCGTGAAGGGTCTAGGGTTTGACACGTGACAGCCTGCCTTTTTGGGGTGCCTCAAAGCATTCGCCCAGCAAGAACTATCTTCATACTAGTAGCAACTGCAATACTGGCAACAACAAAAATGGAATAATGCTCATGATCTAGGTATGCCCTTGGGACATTCTATATTTTCCCTTATTGGGTTGAAGAGGATCAAATTCAGGAATATTTTGTTTTCCCTTATTGGGTTCAAGAGGATCATATTCAGGAATGTTTTTCAGAGGGTTTTAATGGCCATCCTAGTGATGTAACAGCACAAGGGCTTTGCATCGTGGTGCCTTGAGGTCTCCGCACTCTCTGCACAGCAAAGCTGTCATTTTGCCGCTGATTTAGCATTATGAATCTAAACCCTTAAGCCCTTAAGCCCTTAAACCCTTAGACCCTTAAACCCTTAAACCCTTAACCTTTAAACCCTTAAACCCTTAAACCCTTAAACCCTTAAACCGTAAACCCTAAACCCTAACAATGACACAATGCGCCATGAGGACCGGAGCGCAGCGTGCACACCTGAATCTGCAGTTCACGCCATGTTTCCTTGCAAGCCATTGAATGGTGGACTTTGTTCATCTGGGGTTGGAGTTTGACACATGAGCCGGAGATTGTGAAGTCCGGAGCTAGTGGCTTCTAACAGTCTTGACGCCACTCCGGAAATGAGGCGCTGCACGCACACCCTCACGTGACCCTAAACTTAACCCTACGACTTCGTAGGTCGCAACTCCCGCAGTCTGGGGTATAGTTCTCGGCTGCGGCCACCCTGTCGAAGCCCACGTCCGCATCAATGGCCCTTTAAGCCTTTCGGCAGACCTCTCTTCAGCTTCGCCGCCCCGTTCCGGAAGGCGGTCCAGAGAAGCTCTGCATGTTCTCCTAGATTGAGGGCAAGTCTTGCGGTGATTGTCCAGGATGAGGTCGATGGTACAGACATATACAGACGAGATGTAGTCAAGCCCGCGGGAGATGCGCAAGTTTGCCATGGTTGCCGCAGCCCATTTTCAAGACCGGGCACTCGTAGGACACCTAAAACCGAAAGAACCGACCCCGACCAGCCATGGCCCCGCATCTCCCCCAGCGACCCAACAGCCCACAAGGTCACATGACCCGAAAACACAGCAAACCCAAAGCCCCCTACCACGAGCCACAATGCCGTGAGGATGCAGCCCCCCCCAGCGGGAGAGAATGCCTACCAACCCTGCTGAGCTCTCCCAACCCATATAAGCCATAAACCGTCAACCCTAGGAAACCGAAGTACCTGCCATGCCTTGTGCATGGGGCCATGGCCTGTGTTTCCAATGACGACCTGGCGAGGTGAGGAATTTGAAGGCCCTGTCCGTGTTGGACGTTCTTCCTGAGCTAAGTTTAGTGTTTCGGGGCTTATCCAGGGCTTCGAGGGTTTGGGGCCTATAGGGTTGAGTTGTCGACGGGCGTTCAGGGCGAGGTAGGACGCTGATGAGTGTAGGGCCTTAGGTTGGAGGGTTTGGAGCCTTGGGCAGCACTTCACTTTTGATTCGGTGGTCGCTCTTCGGAAGGGCACAACTTTGCCAGGTCGCTTTCCAACGTGAGTGGATGCATCCGCGGAGTGATACCAACCTCAATGCAGAACCCTCGACCCGTACCCCGAAATCCCTGTGCCCGCAGTGCTCCCATGCCCCCAAAAAACGCGAAAGTTGTCCCGTGAAACCGCGAGAGCCCGGAATTTGAATCTTGACAAAGAACCCAAGCCATGGAACTCTTTACGATTCAGGATGGAAGAGGTTTGCCTGGGGGTGGGAGAAAATTCAGTGCACCAGCGCCTCGTACACCTTTCCCAAAGGTCGTCCATGGCTGCTTTCGAGTTTAGGATGGGGTTAGGGGTCCAGAGCCCCTGTCTTCAGCTCTATGCAACCGCGAAGTGGCGTGTAGGTATTCAGGGCGCCTGCACCCTAAGTTGCACACCGGATGAAATTGGAGTGCTGCAGGCCCGACGAAGCGATGGCCGGAGGCGTGCCGCGCTACGGAACCCAAGCCCTGAAAGAGAAGCGCCGCCAAACTGTAGTCCGCTCCCGGGAGTAGGCACCTCCAAAGAGAAGAACGAAAAGAAGGAAGGTAGAGCAGTCATTTCTCACAGCCCCCAAGCTACATCGCCCTCGACGAGTAATGTGTGACACTGAATCACACTTGGTTTGGGGGGTTTTAGAAGTTTAAGACCCGAAGCCCTGGTCCCCTGAAGGGCCCCGTCCCCGACGGACCCCAACGGACCCCAAAGCCCAACATGTCGGAGGCTTCCTGTGGAGCCGAAGGCGAGGCGCAGCTGGTCCAAGAAATTGACGCTTGGACATTGGGTTTAGGGTTAGGGTTCAGGGTTTAGGCTTATAGGAACCTTGTCATCGTCAGGGCTTGTAGGATTTGCGGTTGAGGGCGTATTTTCATTACAGTGTTCATGGCAATTTCATTGTTGTCATCTTAATGTTATCAGGGTTTACGGTTGTTGGGTGTGATTTTATTGCACTGATAACTTTTATGGCTTATTTCATGATTGGCGTCTCAATATCAATAGGTTTAATCGGGTGAACATACACATGAGACAAGAATACGAGTAAGCAAACATATTGTTCTTGTTATTGTTAGTAATAAGTCTTATCATTGCTGCAATGATCGGGGTTTAAAGTTATGATTTTACGCCCAATATCGGATTCTTAGGTAACCTCTGCGTTCGGCAGTCTGCCCCGAAGAGCGCAAGACGTATTTCTCCGTGGGTTATTCAGAATCCACGTTGAAAATTGAGGTAACTTGCAGGGTTTAGGGGTTTTGGGGTCGAGGGTTCTTGCAAGCACATGCTGCCGGCGAGATGCAGGGCAAAAAGCTGGAACCTGCGGGAAAGCAGGGCGAAAGGTACTTGTGGTTGTAGTGCGTCGGCGATGGTGGCATGGGACCCAAACGGGACCGTCAATTGTCAGTTCTTGGGAAACCATCAAGCACAACTCGCAATTAAGAGGACACTTTTTGCTTGGACATTTTTGTTGCCTCTTTAGAGGGTTTGCAATGCCAGCCTAGCCAGGGCGGCCTGTCTTTGATCCCTTAACCCTAAACCCTAAACCCTAAACCCTAAACCTTAAACCCTAAACCGCCTAGGTGGGCTGCCTCCTGAAAGCGGAGCAGATCGCGGCTCGATCCGGCTGTTGGAGGGCGGTGGGTGTTTCGGGCTTGGGTCCGGAAGCGTGAGCAGCTTAAACTTAGGAGGGGTGTAGAGTGTACGGCTTAGGGTTCCCGGTTTTGGGACGCCCCCCCCCCCCCCCCTTTTGCTTTTCACAGAGGGTCTGGCCACATTTGGTTTGACTTTGGGCCCTCCGCCGTCCCCCCCGCCCCCCCTGCCCCCATAATGCTTGCATGGCAAACATGGTGAGGCAACGGTCGGGGTTCGCTTTTGGGGAGTTCGGGCATTTCCTCACCCTCGGGACTCACCAGAAATAGTCGTGCCCCGCCCCCCTCATATCAAGCAAAGCAGAGACCTTCAGGGTTCAGGGTTCGGGGTTTAGGTTCAGGGTTGAGGGTTTAGGGTTTCGGGTTCAGGGTTTAGGGTTTAAGGTTTGGAGAGGCATCGACAATTCTACTGTATTGGTGGCGACTGCGCGGAGTTTCAGAATCTCAGCGGTTGGATGTTCCCCTCTTGTGCTAACAGTCCTTAAAGCAGGATTTTGAACGCGAGTAACCCTAAACCCTAAACCCTAAACCCTAAACCCTAAACCCTAAACCCTGAACCCTTAATCCCTGTCGAGGACTGTTAGTGCAAGGGGGAACATCCCAATCTTGCCCCAAGGAGCTCTCTGAGCTCTCCTCGCAGTTCGGCCAGCGCTTCAACGCGCAGGTCCGGGCGACTTGGGCCGAGTGGGATCAGGCCCTGGGAGCCCGAGGCCTAAAAAAAGAACCCCTAAGCCCCAAAGTAGCCCTTGGGGTTTAGGGTTTAGGGTTTAGGGTTTCAAGTTTAGGGTAACCCTAAACCCATAAAGCCCGAAAGCCTCAACCCCCTCAACTTGGAGGGGGGTCTGGCCTCATGTGTCGAAGAAGCCTGCCCGAGATGGAGCAGACTTGAATTGCAGGAACCTGGATAATTGCCATCCCTTCATGATCCCAAAAATGTGCTTTTGTAGACCAACGTAGAGACATGACCCCACATCTTGCGAAAAGTGAAGAACCTGGATTCTTGAAGCTAAGATCCTGTTTCCGAAGCCCAACCATCTTATTTCCATGGAAAACGGTTCCGAAGTCAAGCTACCACCGAGCAACCTATTCCAGTCAAACAGGCGGCCGGCCATCCCAGCACTGCGCAGTCTGATAGCTTCTCGTAGCTACGAAGACGCCTACACCCGAAACCCCAAACAGGCACTAAAAGCAGACAATGTCTCTTTCCGGTGTTCTGCGAGTTCGGATTTCACTGCCAAGGCAAGCCCCCTCAGCCCCTACTCCGCGGACAAGCGGAACGATGGCAGCTTCAAGCGATGGCGCCTCTGTCATGGAATTTAACTGGGTTTGGGGGGTTGCAAGGCAACCATCGAGGGTTTTAGGCTTTAAGTGGGCCGGGGAAGCAGTAAGGAAGCTTGCGGCGCTGGCTCTGGGTATGAATTCTCCACTTTGGGCATTGGATCAAGTCAGATGGCAAAGAAGGCAGACACGGCATGCGAAATGATCGCCATCCTTCATGATCCTTCATGTTTCCAGCAGCTGTAGGGCGCCGAAGTGGGGGGGTCAGATCGGGGCCGGTGTGTAGGGCTTTTTTCAGGTTTCAAGTACCAACCTTGGAGGTTCCTTGCGGGGGGTTCCTTTCCGGAGCCGTTTGGGAGCGCCATGGCTTTGGCCATGAAGCTCGCTCTGGCCACGGCCTTGCTGGTGGGGCCCTCCTTCCCTCGGCTCCTGGGCTTCTGCCTGCTGATCGCGAGCATGTGGTCCTTGAGGCTTCACCCGCGAAAGGTGCTGGACATGAGCTGGCTGGACTTGCTGGTGGCCGTCAGGGCAACCTGGAGGCGCCGAGACCGGGTCAGCCTGGAGCGGGAGATCAGCCAGTGCTGGGGCTCGGAGGTGGTCGTGACGCTTTCCGTGAGATCGGGTTTCGACCTGCTTCTCTCGGCCTTGCAACTGCCCAAGCAGTCCGAAGTCCTCTTCGTCCCTGGAATCACCATTCCAGGGATGGTCCAGATAGTGGAAGCGCATGGACTGCAGCCTGTGGGAGTAGATCCACCCTCGCCCATGCAGATGCTCCCCACAAAGCTGGGGCCTTTCGTGACCCCGCACACTCGCGTCGTGGTGATCTCCCACCTTTTCGGGACGATCCACAAGGCTGGGGACCTCATCCGCGAGGCCCAGGCGCTAGGCCTCCTGGTGGTGGAGGACTGCGCGCAGTCCTTCCTGGGCAGCGCCCCGAAGCGGTCGCTGGCATGTGCCTGGCCTATGGGTTTCCGGGGTCACGAGGTCTCCGATGTGACGCTCTCAAGCTTCGGCAACATCAAGACCCTCACCGCTTTGGGAGGGGGAGTGGCGCGGGTTCGGGACGGAAAGCTGCGCGCTCGCATGAAGGAGATCGAGGGCACCTGGCCGGTGCGGAGCCGGGGGCAGCGGCTGTGGACGGTTTTTCGAGCGGTCGTCTCAAAGCTGTTCCTCACGCCCATGCTGTACGGGCTCATGGAGGCGGTGGTCCTCAAACTGGGTTTGGATTTCGACCACCTCATCGTGACCTATGTTCGTGGCTTCGCGAAGCTGGAGTACATCCGGCAGCAGCCCACGTTGGAGCTTCTGGAGTTGCTGCTCTGGCGCTTGCAGTCGCAGCAGGTTGCAGCGTTCGAGGACGCCTCGCTGCAGTCCTCCGTCAGCCGGCGCCGCCGCTTGGCCAAGATCATCATCGAGCGCCTGGAGAAGGAAGGCATCGAGTTCGTGTCCAGAGGCGACGGCACCAATGCCTGGTGGCTCTTACCCATTCTTTGCGATGACCCGCGGCAGATGGCCAAGGAGATGGTGTCCCGCGGCTTCGACGCCACAAGCACCACCACTCAGCTGCAGCGCGTGGTCACGGCGGCGACGTGCAAGCGTGAGGCCCTCAGGCCCTCAGATGGCGAGGACCGGTTCCCCGAGTGTTTCGGGCCTTTCCAACAGCGCAATGCACGGCAAATAATATACGTTATCAAAAAGATCAGTTTTCAGTTTCAGAGGGTTTCAACTAAAGGGGGTGAAGGGTTCGTTTCCCCACAGTCCCCGCCTCTAAACGTGCACCCGAAGCCTCCTCCGGTGTGGTCGGGAGGACTTCATGGGCCGCGTGCTGTACCTGCCCCTCACGCCCATCTTGCGCGAGGCCTGCGGCATCCTAGTAATAAGAATAAGAAGGGCAAAGGCACACCAGTAGGAGCGCCAATTCAGGTTGAACATGCTGTCGGGGTGATCTGGCTCAAACTGGCGCTTCAGCCAGGGTTCAGACTACGCTTCGAAGCCATGGGGCATTCTTGGCGAACCCAAATCCCAAACCCTCCTCGACTGCAAGCTCGCTACCCATGTCCAGCTTTTTCCGTAGCTCTCAAGAGGGATGCCATCTTTGTGGCCTCATCAAGAATCTCGCAAGTTCCTCCCGGCCAGCTCAGCTTACATGTATCCCACGTATACAAGTGCCCCCCAAGCCGTTCCCAAAACCTAAACCTGCAACTGCTGTACCCTTTCGACCGCGAAGCCCCAACACCCTCAACCGGCAAGCAGCCTTTCGAGCCTCAAAGAGTTATCCGAAGCCCTTGAACGCCCTCAGCCACAGGCGGACGCAGCGGCCCTGGCCGAAGCCTTCATAGCCGCCCAGGCAGCCGTCGGCCGAGGCGCAGCGCCATGCCGAGGACGGTCGCACGCAGGCGCGCCCCCCTCCCTCACCCGCCGCCCGCATGCATTTCACCTGTGTATTGTTACTGTGTTGCTTTGAATTCGTCATCACTTAGAGTCACTTAGAGTAGAACATCTGTCCTTTTCGGAAGGCGGCAGCCTAGCCGTTTGCTTCCTGGGGCTGCTCTTCCTCTTCTGGCCGTGGCTGATCACGTGGTTCCTGCCGTCCGCGGCCACGTTGCGGAGCCTGATGTTCTGGGCAGTCGCCCTTGGCGTCGTGGTCCTCATCCTCGCAAGGTGGCTTGCAGCAGACAAGGGCCTGAAGATGGACCCCCGAGTCCTGGAAGCTTTGCCTCCAGTGGTTCGGAGCGAGGGCCTGGAGCTTTGCAAGAAGACGTCTCTGAACGTTCGCATTGACGGCGCAGTGCTCCTGACCGGGGGCACGGGCTTCGTGGGTGGTGGCATCCTTTTCTCCTTGCTGGCACGTGCTGAGGAACTCGGCGTGACAAAGATCGTGCTCCTGGTTCGGCAGCGCTCAGGCAAGACTTTGGCGGAGCGGCTTCAGAAGCTGCGGGATCACACCATGTTCGATGAGGTGCGGGGGGCCTTTGACAAGTTTGTGGTGGGCCTTGAGGGCGACACTTCACGGCGGAACTTTGGATGGACGGAGCCGAACCTCTCCTGGCCACACAAGGAGCCGCTGAAAGCGGTCTTGCACTGCGCTGGCGACGTGCGGTTTCAACAGCCCATGCAGCAGGCAGCCGTGTCGCTCATCTCCGCAACCCTTCAGATGCAGCAGCTCGCCTCCCAGTGGAAGGCCAAGCGCTTCCTCTTTGTCTCCACCGCCTTCGTGCACGCCGTGCCTCCACCTAGCACTGAGGCGCTGCAAGAGAGACTCGTCGAGCTGCGTGACTTCGATGCCATGGAGCTCTACCGGGATGCCATGTCCCACGGTGCTTGGGCACAGACCGCGATGCTGGAGCTAGGGTTTCCCAACACCTACACGTTCTGCAAGGCTGTCGCTGAGCACCTGGTCATCCGAGCTTGTGATTCGGAAGGATTGGATGTGCGGATTGTCCGGCCTTCCATCGTAGGACCTGCATGGGCGTGCCCCTTCATCGGATGGGCCGGGGACAAGCCCTCAACCATTGTGGGCGCTGGGACACTCCTCGCAAGGCGGGGCGTCCGGGTCTTCCGCGATGCATTCGACCACCCCTGCCCGGTGGTGCCCGTGGACATGGTGGCCGACATCACAGTGAAGGCCTTGGGTGGGGCCTTCAGCAGCGACCATGGCCGGATCTTCCACGCTTGCTTGGACTCCTCCGAGGCGAATCGAATGCCTTCTTTCAAGTTTTTCACCGCGCACTACTACCAATTGCTGGCGCTCAGACAGTGCATGTCCCTACCCGAGCTGGGCCTAATGGCTAAGCTCCTCCGTTGGTGCGACAACATCACAGTTTTTCACATCGTGCATGCCCTCGTCAACGTGCTGCCCATGAAGCTCTTGGGCCTTCTTCGCATTTGTTTGGAGAGGATCTTCGCCTTGCTGGGCATGAGGCTCAGCAAGCAGTTTTCCACAGCGGCAAAGGTGCTGGAGTCCTGCTGCACCCTGCCGATGCAATATCATTCCTTCTCAAGTCCCTGTGTGCCCTGGCACTTCCAGTCCACCGTGCGCCTGCCAGAGCAGTGGGACTTCTACGAGTACTTCCTGATCTGCTGCCGCGCCGGATACGCCTTCGCGCGGCCGAGCGCCGGGCAACTCCAGGCGCCAGGCCGCAACTACGCCAAGGAGTTTGCCGAAGTCCAGATCTTCGCCCCCGCCTCCACACTCTCGGATGCAATGCTGACCTTTACACACCCGAATGCGGGACCCTTCTATGCGGTCGCAGCCTTCGTGGTACGACAGGGCCTAAGTTGGCTAAACCTCACTGTGACCCTGGATGGCGCCTCCCTGCAGTCCATCACCAAGCTGGATGTGCCTTTGGTGCTGTGCCCACAGCACCGGTCTGTTCTCGACTTTGTGATCATTGGGCTTACGTGCTTCCAGCTGCAACCTGTTCTACCCACACTGAAGCTCCCTCATGTAGCAGCAGACGCAGAGTTCTCCGGGCTGCCCTTTTTGGGCTGGGCCCTGGCTGGCCTGGGCGCCTTCTTCGTGCGCCGCGGCGGCGGCGCCGTGCAGCCGGACCCTGCCTTGCGTGCCAAGGTCGGCCGGGTTTTTCGCAGCGGCCGGCCACTGGAGGTCTTCCTTGAAGGCCGCAGCGAGTGCAAGGATTCCCCTTAAGCTCTTTTCTTGAGCTCATCGTTATATACGTTCTATGCAGAACTACTTTATGCGTGACTACTCATTATATGTCTGTGTGTGTGTATACATATACATACATATATGTATTCAGAAATGTAGATGGACAAATGCCTCGTGTTGTTTTTTGGAGGCCTGCGCAGCCGCGGGCGGAGGCAGCTGCGGCTGCGGACGGGGCTGCTGAAGGCCCTGCGGGACATCTCTCAGAGGACGCAGGGGATTCTGCTTGTCTTATAACGTAAAGAGATGGAGGCTATAAAGGGCATGCGGGCATGGGGCTCTAGAGTTTCAGAATTTGTAGTTGGTTTAGTCGTCGATTGTTTCGCAAAACGTCACGCCCATCACAAATATCTTTCCCAGGTAGAGAGTGGGGCACCTGTGTTCAGGACCGTGGCGCTGGTGCCCTTGGCCATGTCCTACGAACTCCTGCCTGAGGACGGGAGCCTCTACAGGGAGATCTGTGGGCTGCCCCGGGACCCGCTCCGCACCATGGACTTCGTCTGGTGGGTGTTGCGGGGCCTCCGTGGGGAGCTGCCTCCCCTGGGCGAGGCCTTCATGCGCTTCGGGGTCCTCCATACTTTGGACGCCTCCGCCAACGTCGACTCCTTGGTGTCCGAGGTGCAGCGTGAGCTGGTGGAGCTCACCTCGGTGACGACACTGCACTGCCGTGCTCTTGGAGAGGTTTTGGGCTTCGAAGCCCAGGCTGTCATGGACTCCTTGGAGGGTCAGGTGGCACTCCGGAGCTCCTCTCTGGACAAGCCCGGCCCGCTGCCCCCAGCGGAATGCTGGCCCCTGGTGCTGCAGGCCCAGCTGCTACGGAATGTTTTCAGAGTAAGGGACCCAAGGTACCCCTACATTCGGAAACTCCCATATTGTCCATACGTCTTGACAAGTTCTTCATCTAGCTCAGCCCTGACAATCTGATGCCAGGGGCACACGTGAGCACGATGCATCTTTCCCGTTCCCGGATCCCATTCCACACGCGGTCCTATCTGTCTCAGGCCGCGACCCTGGGCCCAATCAGGCGTCGCCTGCCGCGGCACTGGGGTCGATGGCTGGTCGAGGGCTTGACGGAGGAGGTTGCCAACGGCAAAGACACAGGCCGGGTCAGGAAGAGAACTGGGAAGAGAATGCCTCCGCACCTGGACGATGTGTGTGTGTGTGTGTGCGCGCAGTCCTGACAGCAAAGGCTTCTCAAGATTTTCACAGCAGGGGGATGGGGCGTGCAAAGCAGAGTTTCTACAATAAGCCCTTCTAGGGGTCAGCAAGTGTGCGTGCGTGCGTGCGTGCGCGGGTGGGTGGGTGGGTGGGTGGGTCGGTGGGTGGGTGGGTGGGTGTGCCGTGATGTTTGCGTAGGTTGTCTAGAAGTAGGATAAGTAGGTCAGCAAGGCGTTGGGAAGTGGTGCCTTGCCAGGTTCCCAAGCGGACAAGGAGACTGGGGAGGCTCCAGCGGTCCTGGACTTGGCTGCTCTTGCTGGCGCCTTCGAGTCCCACCTCCTGGCAGCGGAGAAAGCCGCCGAGCGGGCCAGCGAGGTGCTCAGGCAAAGTGGCACAGTGGAGATCACGGAAGAGCATCTGGTGCAGCAGCTCCTCTCTCATGGCGGAGAGGTACCGCCTCCCCTGGCCCAGGGTGCCGCAGCAATCGTGGCCTCCCGCTTCAAGTCAACGCGGTCTCTGGGCACCTCAAAGTGCAAGCAACCCGTGCGAGGCTCGATGACACCCGTAGCTCCTCTTTGGCCAGCACACGAGGCTGATCAGCTGAAGAACGACGAGTCTTTGGACCGGTGGGGCTTCAAGGACACCAAGTTCGTGGCTCAGTATGTGGATGGAAAGCCGGCTGCACAAATCAGCTCCCAGAGGTACAAGGCCTTTGGCCGGCAACCACTCTTCCGACTGTGGGAGCTCTTCCAGCGCCAGCTCGCAGTTCCTTTGAATGTCCGGGACATGATGGCCGAGCTCCCAATGCCGGAGCTGCCAAAGCCCGCAGAGGGTCTAGAGGAGGTCTTAGCCAAGGTCCTTCCATCAGGGCGGGCACGTTTCGATGCCGAGTCGCGAATCCGTGCAGGCACTGGCCACGGCCTGGCGGACATCTGGCGTCTCCGCACTCGGCAAATGGCACGTTTCTCTGATGCTGTGGTCTGCCCAGAGAGCGAGGAGGAGGTCCAGGCATTGCTCAAAGCTGCCGTTGCCTTCAACCGAGGCGTCGGCTTCGGGATCATCCCGGTGGGAGGCCGGACAAATGTCACCTCGGCCACGCTGTGTCCACCCAAAGAGGTGGATCCCAGACCTTTTGTGTCTCTGGACATGCGTGGCCTGTCCGGTGTCCTTTGGGTGAATGCCGAGGATGGGGTGGCCATGATTGAGGCAGGCATCACGGGCATGGACTTGAAGACCGCACTGACGCAGCACGGAGTCACCATGGGCATGGAACCCGACTCGATGGAGCTGTCCACGCTGGGAGGTTGGATTGCAACGAGAGCCAGTGGAATGAAGAGGGCCCGCTACGGCAACATCGAGGACATGGTGCTCGAGGTGCGGGTCGTCACACCCACTGGGCCGATTTGGCAACGCCACGGTGATCCGCGAGTTCCTGGACAGTCGCAAACAGCCATTGGCCGGGCCTCCACCAACATAGGCTTGCCGGCGCTAGTCCTCGGTAGCGAAGGCTGCCTGGGAATCATCACCTCTGCAGTTGTCCGAGTGAGGCCGTTGCCGGAGGTTGTTGAGTACCAGAGCGTGGTGTTCCCGGACTGGGACCGTGGAGCTGCGTGGATGCGCGAGGTGGCCCGAATGCCAGCAGGCCTGCGGCCGGCCTCGTGCCGACTGATGGATCAAAACCAGCTGCAGCTGGCGCAGGCACTTAAGGAAGGCTCTGAGCAGAAGGGCACCCTTGCCAGCCTGCGGGCAAGCCTGCGCGAGGCGTTCTTGTACTGGAAGGGCGTGTCCTTGGCGCAAGCATCCGCCGCAACCTTGGTTTTCGAGGGTAGTCATGCAGAAGTCAAGCTGCAAATGAAGGAGGTCACAAAGCTGGTGTCCAAAGCAGGAGGCATTTGGGGAGGAGCCTCTTCGGGGGCGGCAGGTTACACACTCACGTTTGCGATAGCATACCTGAGAGACTTCGGGCTGGACTATCGCATCCTGGCAGAGTCCTTAGAGACCATGGCTCCCTGGTCTGCCATCCATGAGGTCTGGCCCAAGGTCACGGCCGCAGTTGCGGAGAAGCATCGGGAACTGTGCTTGCCAGGCAGGCCCTTCATGTCCTGCCGGATGACCCAGCTCTACGACGAAGGAGGTGTGTTGTACATGTACATCGCGGTTTGCACGAACGGCCTTGAGCCAAAGCGTGCTCTGGAGGCCTTTGAGACGTTGGAGCACTCAGCTCGACAAGCTATTTTGGATGCCGGAGGCTGCTTGAGCCACCACCACGGTGTCGGGAAGCTTCGGGCCTCGCTACTTCCTCAGACACAGTCCCCGGCACTCACCCAGGTGCTCAGGGACTTCAAGACAGCCCTGGACCCGTCAAATGTACTGGCCGCCGGAAACGGCATTTGGGCTGCGTCTCTCGCCGAAGACTCCGACGACCTGCACAGCATCGAGAGCGAAACTTGAAAACAGAATCAAGCGCGCGTGGCATGGCGCTGTTGTTCCTTGTGTCGCCCTGTGTCTCATGATCAGCAGCGGTGCTCTCTTGCTACGTGCTCCAGTTGTGACAGAAGCACGAGTACGAGCCAAGGCTGAAAGACTGCGGCTTCGATGTGAGCTACGTCTACGAGGGCAACAAGGCTCTGGTACATTGTGTGCCATGTGTGCCCAGAACACTCTCTAGGACAAAACAAGTTAAGCGTGTGAGGAGGGTTTGTGCGTGGTGCAGGCCATGGTGTACGCTCCGGAGCCCATAGACTATGGAGATCGCTATCACTATGGAGATGGCTATCACCACGAAGTCTTGGACCAATTGGAAGACGCTATGCTTGTGCCTCGGGCTTCTGGGGTTGACAAGTTGAGGTTGCTGTTGCGGACCATCTCTGTTGTGAGTCCCCCCAGGCCCTGCCCAAGAAGGCCCTTTCGAGTCTGAGGGTCTTGGTGGCTGCGAATGCTGAGGACGCATGGCATGGCCCGATTGGCCCGCGGTTTGAGGGCCCTCAGCCCGAGCACCGGCGTCCTGACCACTGGCATGATTGGGCAGACACGGATGCCACCGTGGAGCTCGGCCGATGGAGCGACTCGAAGAGGAACTTCCAGCGGGCTTTCCAGGGCATTGCAGCATCAAACCTGTTGGCTCCGAAACCGGCATCTTCGGGATGTGGGGTTTGGGGTGCCTAAGCGCATCTACGGACGTAAGCTTGCTTGCAAACTATCACTGAGGCATTCAGGATTCCGCTCTGGTGGAAATCGTCAAGCAGGAGCGGCTCCGCTGCAAACGAGCGCTTGAACCATCGGGGCCCAGTTCTTTTGAGAGGGTGATATGGCAATTCTGAGACAAACCGATCCGCGGAGCAACACAGAGCCCCCTTGTCGACCCATCCTCCGCGACGTTTAGGGGGCAGCTGATTTTTGTCATCCAGAAGCTCAGGCTTTCTGAATTTCCTCGAATTTCCTCCTGCTGGTTCAGCTGTTATGTGGCCGTTGTCGATGTCCCAAGGACTCTCAACGTCATGCGCATTCCTCGCATCTGCAGCGGCGAGCCGATCCACATCCACAGCTGCCTCGCCAGACTTAAGCCCCAAGAAAGCTCTTCGAAGTTCTGGGGGCTTCAAGTGCCGGGTTCCATCTGCCTTTCTTGCGGTCCTCAGCCCATGAGCCCTCACTGAGCCCTCAGCCATGCCCAGAACCTGCACTCCCCCCCCCCCCCACCCCACCCCCACCCCCCCCCCCACCCCCCCCCACCCCCCCCCACCCCCCCCTGCCCCCCGAAGGCTTAAACCTGTACGAGAACAACTTCGGCGATCAGGGCGTGGAGGTTCTGGGGATGGCGGTTCAGGATTTTTAGTGGGGTTCGTGGTCGAGGGTTTTAAGGGTCTTATTCCAGGCTAGGCATGCTTAGCTGAACAGCCTGGCTGCGAATTCTTCGCCAAGGCTCCCCAGCGCACCCCGCAATTTTGCACCCTCCTACACCAGGGTTTGCGGTACCCTAAAGCCCTATGGACCCACCAGAGAGGAACTCGTGGGATACCTGACGCGGAATCGCGCCTTGCCTGCAGAGAGGACGAGGCTGGGTTCAACGTCATGAGGGCGTTTGTCAAGTTGCAGTTTCCGATCGCTCCAGTTGAGTGAGCTCAGCAACACTGAGCTAGGCATCTTGGATACCCAGTAGTGGCCCCCCACCCCACCCACCCCCCTCCAAAAAAAAGAGAGGACAGCAAAAAGCCGTTGGCACGACAAGTTGGGCACCCAGGCATTCGCGTCGACATCCTCCGTCTGTACAAGAACAACCTCATCGGGAGCAAGTCAGCCAGCAAGCTGGCCGAGCTGTATTCGCAGGATCCCGCCATGGCAAGCGGGTTTAGGGTTTAGGGTTTAGGGTTAAGGGTTTAGGGTTTGGGGTTTAGGGCTTTGGGGGGCGTCGAGTTGCCCCGTATTTTCCTTGTGTAGTTCGGGTTCGGGACGTCACGAAAGGCCAGTTGGGTTTAAGCTCAACATCCACCCTCAGGTTTAGGGTTTGGGACCCCACCCTCCCCTGCAACCATCCAGGTCCACGGTCCACAGGTCGAAGCGGAACCTTCTCACATCGAGTGGCTTAAGCCCTTGAAGCCCTACAGAGTGCTGCCAGGACCGGCCCCCGCCAAAGGAGCTGCATCTCACACACTGCCAGGTGGATGCGCCCCTTCGCTGCACCTTGGGGGCGTTGGGGTGGGGGAGGAGAGCTCAGGAAGAGGCTCGTCTCCCGGATACTCTTAATGTGTGTGCAACGTAGAGGATCTGCAGGTATTTGTGCATACATGAGTATTTCTGTTTACATATGCATACATGTGAAAACATATATATATATATGCAGAAATATATGTGTGTATTTGTAGAAATGTCTGTATGTATAATGTATATGTGTGTATGCGTCTGTGTGCGCATGTGTATATAATCTATACGCACGCACACATCTTGGAACCCCCCTCGATTCAAAAAACACACACACACACACACACATGCAACTGTTTTTTTTCATCCGCTGTTCATTCGCGCCGCATGCCTCCCAAGCCATGAAGCGAGCCTGTTCGACGTGGTACACCCGCGATGAAATCTTGCAATCCTCACCTGCTGCGTAAAGAAACCCTAAACCCCAAACCCTAAATCCCTAAACCCTAAACCACACCGATTTGATATTTGGTAGTGTTTTCGTGTTCCAGGACTGGCGCTGCAGATCTGCTGCTGGCCATGGCCCGTCGGTGGAGGCATCGAGAGCGTGGGCCGTCCCTCTACTGTAATATAGGGGCCTGAAAAATTATGACAGGGGTTTTGGGGGTTATTATGGTATAAATAAATAAATATATATATATATATATATATATATATAAGGGACCCGAAGGGGATACGATTAGTATTTATTCCGACCCCTATTGGTTCTTAGTAGGGAATGAGGTATGGCAAAGGCCTGAAGAGAGTGCAATAAAGGGGGGCCAGGCAACTAGAACGGGGTATGTTGCGTAGTCTGGCGCATGGTCGTTAACAGGGGTTGTACTAGTGACACTTTCGCTCGAGGTTTGGTGGGCTTCGTTTTCGGGTTTAGTGTTTAGAGAATTGAGGGGAAGGATGTCCTTCGAGCGGGAGCCAGCAGAGGTGACAGGGAGCAATCGAGGACTAGGCGGCTGTCAGACAGGCCATGCATGATGACTGCGCATGGGAGGACCGCAGATCGAGTGAAGGGCGGCAAAGCGGCAAAGCCTGCTTATGTCACCTGCCGGCACTGAGCCACTGAGCCCTTCATGCATGTCTGCCGCTGCCGCCTGAGCTCTAAACACGCCTTCACTAGGGTTTAGGGTTTAGGGTTTAGGGTTCAGGGTTTAGGGTTTAGGGTTCAGGGTTTAGGGTTTAGGGTTCAGGGTTTAGGGTTTAGGGTTCAGGGTTTAGGGTTTATGGTTTAGGGTTTAGGGTTTAGGACTAGTTCAGAGGCCTCTCAGAGATGTCGGAGCGGCTCGGTAGCTCCTCCTGGCATGTCATTGTGGGTACTCATGAACTTCAAGTAATGTAGGGGTCGGAATAATTACGAATATTCTTCCCTTATGGTCCCTTAGTAATTCTGCTACCATACTCCCCAAAACCCTCTTCTAATTCTTAAGGCCCCTCTAGTATGCCCCTGCCCAAATACCCCCCCCCCCCCTGCTTTGATGGGCCGAGGTACGCCTTGACCACAATCGCTTCGGCGCCCTGGCTGCAAGCGAGATAGCCCTTAGTGCAGGGGCGTTGTGGCTCAGAGTTCTTCGGCCGCTGTGAATGTTGCCGCAGCTAGGCTTTGCTCCAACGCATGCGTGCCGCTGTTCTTGATACCTCGGCCAGTATCCACGGGGAGAAGGGCTCATTCCGTAACCTCTGATCTGTCGATCCGGATGCTGTGGCAGCTGCCGTGGAGTGACCCTTTGCCTTGATAGTTCTTAGAAGGGAATTGGGAGTTAGGCACCCTTTACTCATGCGTACCCTATCTCCCTACTTCCCAACAAAGAAACAGTAAGTCTCACACCAAGACCTGCACGAAGTTGCTCCCAAGCTCTACGCTGCAAACTTCTCGATCCGGGAGGCCCCTCATGTCGTGCGGGTCGCGCCGGTTCTTTGAGGTCTTCGTGTTAGCACGGTCTCACGTCCGCCCACAGTGCCCAGCACACGGCTCAACCTCGAGGGCGATCGTGTTCTCACTTCTATATCAAGGCAATCAGGTTTTGTAATGAGCATGCACAGGTGCGGACCATGTGAGTCGTAGCCAGAAACCCCGACGCCTCTGACTCGAAGTTCTTTCCCCGGTGCGGGGTGTGTACAGTCAATTTGGACCAGAAGGTTTAAGCCAAGCCTGACAACAGGCTTCCCTTAAGACTCAAACCCCCAAGAGTCCTAATGTAGACCAACCGTCACCCCCAAACCCCCAACCCCCGAACCCTTCACGTGGAGGGCTACGATTCCAGATGTCATCATCAAGATGTGTGTCAGGCGCTGGGTTCAGGGACTTCGGGGTTCAGAGGCTTGCAGGCTTACCGGTTTGCATAGGGTTTAGCGGTTTAGGGGTCATCTAGTGCAGGATTTTGCGCGCCTTCGCGTTCATTGAGGTCCAGCTCCCTTCGATGCGCAGCAGCACCCTTTGTTCCCGTTCAGAAAAGGATCGCCGATAAAACTCCAATTGGAGGGTTCCGAAAAAAATTAGGGTCATTTCGAAAAGGAGGATTAGCCCCTCATTTTGGGGGTACCAAGGCGGTACCCGTATTTTGAAAACACAAACCGCCCACCACGCCGTCGAGCGCAGCGAGACCATGGCAGGCTCTGCTAGCTGAGCCTATCAACCGCGCCCCTGAGGGGTCGCCAGGTAGAATCGCCTGGCTCAGTGACAGCTTATTATTATCATTATCATTATCATTATCATTATCATTACCATTATCATTATCATTATCATTATCATTATCATTATTATTATTATTATTATGATCCTTATCATGATTATTGTTATTGTTATTGTTGTGATTATGATGATGATGATGATGATCATTATTATTATTATTCAGATATTTAGGCCTAAACCCCATCCATTGCTCGCACGAGCCCGCCCGACCCCTGGCCCGGGGCCTCTAAATCGGTTTTGGGGTTTGTTTTTTTTTGGACCCCTGGCCCGCGAGGCTCGTAGGAGGCCCCCCTAGGAGGCCCAAATTTGTCTCTCGGAAGCTTGTATATATGTTCGCAAAGGCATCTTTATGGCGGCAAGCCTTTCGCCACGCAGACTGAGCAATCCATAAAGAACAAAAACCACGAGAAGGCCCTCCGGCCGAAGACGTCCCCCAACGCAAAATCGATTTTTCTCTCGGAGCCTTTATACATGTCCTGCGCAAGGCATCTAGTAACAACAGGTCTTGCGCCACGGCCTCGACAATCACAGCGTCGACTGTGGAAGTGTTTGCATGTGGGCTCACTTTGGCTTGGCTGGCTTTGGTTCGGCTGGCTCTGGCTTTGGCTCGTTTGATCTCGTGTTTGGGCGGTCTTGGGGTGGGCCCGCCTGTTTGCATACTATGGCGTCCAGCTGACCCTAAACCCTAACCCTAAACCCTCAAGCCTAAACCCTAACGTCCTCCTCAGGTTACTGGGGGGGTGCAGCTGAGCCGCAGGTGCATGAGATGGGTGGTGGGCCCGCGCTCATCATGAGCCTGGGCTGCATCACCCTGAACCCTCAACCCTACACCCTACACCCTACACCCTAAACCCTAAACCCTAAACCCCTGAACCCCTGAACCCTAAACCCTAAACCCCAAACCCTAAACCCTAAACACAACCCCTCCCATCCTGAAGCAGGTCTCCTGACACCCCGAAACCCCTGCCATCCTTAACCAGATCTCTGAAAGCCCGACCCCCAAATCCTAAACGTCGGGTTGTGGCAGGCTGCATTTCGCCTGTTGTCCTAGCCAGACTGGGACGAAAACTTGGTACCAATCCAAGACATGATTGTCGGACTTCATCACATTGCGAGTGTGTGCCTACATGGGCCCAAATTCCAAAACCCGGCCAAACCTGAACCACTGAACTAGTCACTGGTCTTCCTGGGAATTTTTTCTTCTTCTTGTTCAGAACGACAAACACCCAAGGGAACAATAAGCAGATCATCGTTCTTGCGGCTCTAAGTGGAGTGTGGTGAAGCCCCTGAAGCCGTGCAAGGGTTTGGGGGCTCAGGTTTTAGGATTTAGGGCCTCTCGCCCCCCAAGGATTCCTCAGATGAAACTGAATCAGAGTGCTCTGAAAAAGCTCCACCTCAGCCAAGCGACAGAAGGGAGGCGCGTCCGCCGCTGTGGGTTGGGGGTCGGGGGGATCATCCTGGCTTTAAGGGTTGAAGGGTTGAAGGGTTTAAGGGTTGAAGGGTTGAAGGGTTTAAGGGTTGAAGGGTTGAAGGGTTTAAGGGTTTAAGGGTTGAAGGGTTTAAGGGTTCAAGGGTTGAAGTTGTCAAGGGTACATTAAGGAGCAGAGGCCCGCCCTCCGCCCTCCCCACCCAAGCAACTTGCAGAGTCTCACCTGGCAACTTGTAGCACTTCATCCGAATATATCCGCAAACCCAGTCACAGCCATGTATCAAGCAATGCCTAATAACCCTGCGCCATATTAGCCGTATGGATGGGTGGGGATGGGATGGTTTGCAAGGGTGGATCTGCAAGTCGGAGCTAGAGGTAAAGCAGCTCAACCCCAAACCCTAAAACCCACAGGCAAAGCCGTGCAGCAGAGAGCGCCGAGGCAGGTTGGGTGCCTTGGGGGGCTCTGTGCATGCTGCAGAGCCTTTTGGGCTTATAGGGCCCTATCTCTTGCTTCTCTCTTTCTTTAGTCTCGCTGAATAAAATACAGATACATGTATTAAGGTATAATGTAAGCTTTTGTCATGCGCTATTTGTATATTATATGATCCATCTAACTGAAAAATGGAAGAGTCTATAAATGTAGTGTGTACTTGTTGCTGTTATTTTTCGTGGCAGGTTTGTTCGTGGCAATGACCACTTTGCACCGATGCCCTTTAGGCTTGCTCTCTCTCTCTCTATATATATATATGTATGCATAAACCCTATAGGCATAGCAAAATCCTAAGCCCTGAACGGCAGCCATGAACCCCAAACAGGGTCGATCATCGACAGTCAGGAGCTGTCCCTGTCCATGGCCGAGACGCGCAGCCGACCTAGCACCACCCAGGCGGCAGAGGTTGAGGTGTTATGGCTCGGGGTTTGAGGTTCTTTGGGCTTTAGGGTTCCAGGCGGTTTCAGGGTTGTAGGGTTTAGGTGTTTAGGGTTTTAGGGTTTGAGGATTTTAGGGTTTTAGGGGTTTCGGGTTTTAGGGTTTTAGGGGTTTAGGTGCTTTGGGGTGTGGCGGGCTTCGCGACTAAGTGATCCTACTTTCCCCCGCTCTACTTGGGGGCTTCTGAAACGCCCCTGAACACTTTCCTGACTCTTTCGACGAAGTGAGCCTACATATAACTCCCAAGATTGCCCCCTCATTTTATGCATTGCGAAAAACGAGTCAAAGCACACCCCCCAGTCCCTAAACCCTACACCCTAATGCGTACACCCTACATCCTAAGCCCTACACCCTAAACGCTACAACCTACACCCTAGAGGCCCCTCGCTCTAAGCTTTCCTTGCCCCAACGCCACTTGCAGGAGATCCCGGTGAGGGAACCTGCGCGGGAGCTTTGGAAGGCTAAGGGCCCCCCCTCGATAGCGCAGGACACCCCCGGCCTTCGGGTTTAGGGTTTAGGGTTTAGGGTTTAGGGATAAGGCTTTTGCGTTGAAGAGCGTCGTACGGGTTAGGGAAGCTGTGCTCGGCTTCTTCATGGGTGGGCTTGCTGTTGTGTTCGGGGTTGGGTAAGTACCGTAAAAACCCTAGAACCCCGCTTAAGAGCAGAAACCTTCCCTACTAGCCCTAAACCCGAAGCCCAAGGCACTGCGCCTGTAAGTGCTATCTCCCGTGAGCTGAAGTGGATCAAAACACATCTGGGACAATGACAAGGTCAACGCCCATTTGGGTTTTGGTGTTTTGGCTACGGGTTTAGGGAGCCAGGAGGGCTCCAGTATATTCCCAAAAAAAGAGATCCTATTTCAATGTGATTTCTTAGCCTGCCCGGTCTAGAGTTTAGTTCGGGTTCGGTGCCGCCTATGGCGAATGCTTCTACCTTATGCTATCCTGCACTCTGGGTTACCTTCTACATGTCTTGTTACGACTACTACTGCCAGCACAACGACTTCTTCACTACGAGGATGGGGGTGCTCTACCATCGGCATTCACTTCCCTGCTCCAAAAGCCCTTCTTCCTAAGTATAAGAATGGCCCGGCTTGCGGGTATACTTTAAGGTGCCAGCGAGTTTGGGAGTTAGCCCCAAACCTTAATCCTTCAAGTCTCAGCTCTCAACCACATAAACGTTGTTGGTGAGGAGAACCTTGAGGATCCACCTAAAGATTGCGCGGGGTTGCCCATCCGGAAGGGTTGCAAGGTGCAGCGGCTTGGAGGCAGAAGCTTGTAAGTTTACAGCCGGAAGCGCCAATAATGGGGGGTTGTCCTAAGGCAGCCCTTATGGGCACATTCATAGAAGATGGTCTCTTGCGAACGCCCTCTTTCCCAAAAGTTCTGAAGCCGAAACTGCAAAGCTTGCCAGAGTATAGAGAACAGAGTGAGTGGCTCCCACCAGCACGTCAGAAATGCTCCTTGTTGCAGATCCAAGGTACCACAATGCCCGGCTCTCAGATTCCTTGCCCCGAAGTCCGCGCGAAGTTGGGGGGTTTAAGGTTTCACTTGAATGCCCTGAAATGTACATGTCTAAGCCGATATAGACATCCCGGAAGGAGTCTGAGAGGGAGGGTTGCCTACAAGCCCAAGGATGCCAACTGGATTGGCCTTGTCGCCGGCTTCGACTACAAGGCCTGGGTGGGAGGAAGCAGCAGGTGTCCACCGAAAGGCTCAGAACCCTAAACCCTCAACCCTAAACCCTGAACCCTGAACCCTGAACCCGGAACCCGGAACCCTGAACCCTGATCCTAAACCCAAACCCAAAGGGGTCGAGGGTGCTGAGGGATGTGTGTGGGTCAGGAGCCTCCATACATCTTGTGGACTCACTGAAGGTTCAAAAGAGGTACTACGGGGTGCATGATTCCATCTCTCGGCTTCGTTTACGCCATTTTGGTCCCCAAGGTTTAAACCGACACGCATCTTCAACCACATCCCAAGCCCGTGCTGTGGCAGGGCACAGCCGTCATCGACTGGAAAAGCGGCGCCAAGAAGGGCGAACGCACTGGCGCCGGTGGTAGGTGCCCGGGCTGCACTTTAGGAACTGGTGTGGATCGCGAGATTTAGTTTGGTGCTTTTGCTAGCTCGGGGCTGTTGGTGGCTGGGTGCATGTAGCGGCACTGCGCGTAGATCGACTTCTTTCGTCCTGTGCGCTTGCTTCCTCCTGACCTGGCACGCGCGCGCGCGCGCGCGCGCGCGTGCACGCTTTTCTGTCAAGGTGTCCGCGTGTACAGGTGCGCTACGCCATAGCTCGAAAACTCTTATGGGAACCCTGAGCCCTAAACCATGAACAAATATTTCACTGGATCCCGAATTGACTCCAAACAATGGCTGTTAGTACCGGTCATTTTGGGGTCCTTGGCCATATTTATAGGGTACTTTGGGGGTTCAAGGTAGGTCCTAAAAGTTAAAACCCAGCCAGCCAGCCTGCCAGCCAGCCACCCACCCACCCACGCACGCACGCACACAGACCCCTCGCAGCTCCAACTTCAACAGGTACGTGCGCGTCGTGGAAGATCTGCCGGACGAGGTGAGATTATCACAGGCTTGGGTCATTCCAGATCCTGTACCCCAATGTACCCGCCCCCGCCCGAAAACACAAAGAAAGACCTTTGTACCGAAAAACTCCGCTTCACAACAATTCTTTCTGTGGTTTGTAGCTACTCCTCATGGGACGGCTGTAGTGCCCTGGTCGAGCGCTTACGCAAGCAGCAGGTTGTTCTAGCTGTCTAGAGTTTTGTAGGCCCAAAGCTCACCCCAAATCTGAATCAATACCCTGTTCAAGCGCCTTACCAGCCTTCTTTGCCAATGCCCCGCATATCCCCACATCCCAAGCCGTGACAGGAGGCGGCACAGGAGGTGGCCCTGCCAAAGATGCAGGAGGAGCAGTGCAAGTTCAAACAACACAGTCCAGAAAACGCGTTTAGCCAGCCGACGGCTCTTTTGCTGTTTCAATCTGTAAGGGTCCTGTTGCCTGCCTGAAACCTCTGGGCCCTGAAGCCTTGCACCCTGACCTCTAAAGCCCCTAAGCCCCAACCCCTGCGCCCATGCTCCCGCGCGACATAACCTGACCGACTCAACTTCAAAGCCATCAAAGCCTGCCGGTTTAGAGTTTAGGGGGGCCTACGCCCTCGAAGGACGCTCCTCCCAACGACGAGCCATCGCCGCGCCCTTCGTCTTCGGATCACTCTGCAAACTGCCAGCGAGCCGACAAGGCGCTTAGGGGCGTCAGGGTTAAGGACAACCCAAACCCCAAGTCGCCAAGCCACCCCCTAAACATTCCTAAATTCCAGACCCTAAACTGCGCGAGCCTGGGGCCGTGAATGCGCCGAGGCTCGGAAGGAGGGAGCCCCGGAGCTGTTTAGGGTTTAGGGTTTAGGGTTTGGTGCCCCACACAGCTGTGCCCGAAGCACGCCACATCCATCGCCATACCATTGTAAGGTATCATTTGCGGAAAAGATGTGCAAAAATTGGCCTTGCCCTCCGTTTCGCAAGCTACAATTCCAAGCTCGCTTTCTGTCCGCTCGCAAGAGATGTGTTGGCTAAGTTCCGGAAAGTGGCTCGGTACTTTGTTTTGTGGCTGCACGCCAAGGTCGCGTGTTCGCACAAATTCGAGCACCTTCGGAAGCAGAAACTTTCCCAAGGCCCCCTCTCCAGAAGCATCCGGATACCCAACGTTTATCATTAAACCCTAGACTTGGGATGTTCCCCCTTATACAAACAGACCCTGATAGGATTATAGTACCATAATCTGTCAGCATAAGGGAGAACATCCCACCCCTAAGCCCTAAACCCCGCCTTGGGGGAAGGGATGAACTGCACACAAGTCCAACATCACCCTGTGCCCAGGGGTGGGTGGATGAGATGACGAGGACTTCATTTCCGAAAATGGATTTTGGGGGGTTTTAGGGGGGGGGTTGGGGGTCCAGGGGGGTTTGGGTGGTTTATGGGGTTTAGGGGGGTATTGGGGGTTTAGGGGGTTAAGGGGGGTTTAGGGGGTTAGGGGGCTTAGTGGGTGCCTGTGACAAGGATGATCGTATTTGAGGGGGCACCCATTTGTCCCACTCGCGCATCAAGCTGGGTGGTGGCAGCACAGGTGGAGGAATTGTAAGTTCGACAGGTAGATAGGCAAGTAGGCCACGCGGACAGATGCAGATGACTCCTCCACTTAAAATGAGCCCATGGGTTGAAACCATCAACCGATGACGGTTGAGACTCAAGGGGAGGCCAGCCGTCTGCTGCTCGTCCAGGACCGAGGAGGATGACGAGACGTTGGAGTCCCGTCGGCAGGGGCACCCCTGGGCAAGCGATCAGGCACAGGGGGGGGGGGGGGGGGGGGGGGGGGGGGGGGGGGGGGGGGGGGGGGGGGGGGGGTTGCGTGACGCGTCGCGAAGCCGCCATTATCGCCCCATACCGACACTGTCCCACACACCTTGCACTGTCGCCACCCGTGGTTAACGACTAGCAGCACCTGCCTGTGGATCATGGGCAAAAGCTGAAATTGCCGAGTGGCTTTGTTGCGCGATTCGACTATGCTTCCTCCCAGCACAGGTGATGCCGCATGGTATCTGGCAAGATGCGCAGACGTGGGGCACCTTCCCTGGCATTTGGAGGGTGCACTCTGGGTACTCCAGCGCTGAAGCCTGAGTGTTACGGTTCAAAAGGGTTGAGGCCTGAACAGTCAACAGATGTGCCAAGTTGTCAAATCAAGATAGGTCGTCGCACACAGAAGTCGTGCAATTCGGCTGTAGTTTTCTGGATGCTTACTGTTTGTTGAAGATGTTGGAGCTGTTACTGCAGCATCCCCCACGCACCCCCACCCTGGTGAGGGGTCAGGCAGCTAGTTGGACCGTAAAACAAGACAACTGTCGTGAGCTGGTAGCTGCAGGATACTACGAGTGCGCCGATCCCTGGTATGGCCAGGCGGGAAAGCGTCATGCGGCTTGTGCTGATGCTTCCCATGTAACAAGCTCCAAAAGCATAGAGTAGGCAGCAACGTGGCCCAGGTAAGAACAGGAAACCTGACTATCTAGATAAAGCAAAGCCTACTCTCGGTTTTCGCTAAATAGCAGCGACAACGCATGCCTTCTAAACGGAACGTCAGCATGGATCCGAAGCCACCCCCAAAGGTCTAGGTCATTGGGGTCCACAAGTATACTAAGAGCCTTATTGTCGACAGAGGGCTTTGTCCACCAAAGCCTACACTCTAAGCCTCGAACCTGCACCCTAAACCCTAGTCCTTGTAAACCCTGACCCTTACAAACCCTAACCCAGCAACCCAACAAACCCTTATTCCTTGACAGGCCCAAGGCCGCCTGTCTCCACAGGATTGGCCCGGCTTTCCGTCGGCCGGGGTGCAGGCGCAGGCACCTCTTCAGGCGGGCGCGGGGGCGGGCATCGCTTAGAAGGTTGGGGGATTGCCGTGAATCTTTGCAATGGGATGCAGGGTGGGTTTAGGACCTTGTTTTGGGTTTGGGGTTGAGGGTCGTCCCTTGCTTGCCGTATCTGGCTGATGGATACGTCCGGCGGCTAGCAATAGGCTGCCATACGATCGGGCGGGGCCGCAGTGTCTAGACCGGTCCTGATACATGATTACATGGTTGAATCTCTAAACTCTAAAACTCTAAAGCTCGAAGGCTCTTCTGTTTGCCTCGTGTAGGCCACTTGCATGATGCCCTCAGCCCCAAACTCGCGGCTAAACAGCGGTTCCTCGGAGCTCCCCCTTTTTTTGCTGCGACAAGCGGCAGAGCACCCTGGCAGCTAAAAGAACTACGCCAGTACGCCTTGTCAAGCAGGCGCCCCAGCATCCCATGGCCCACAAGACTGCAACACCAAGCTGCACACTCAGGCGGATGCAGAGATTGCGCCGTCGTCATACCTTGCTTGGGAATCCCAGGCAGCGCTGCCCTGAAAATTTCCCCAAAGTGCCAACCCCTATGTTCCAAGGCGTGGGCCAGCGGTACCCCACCCTTTGTGTGTGTTTTTTGGCAAAAGCCTAGGGGCCCGAAAGCCACTTAGCTGCCCGAAAGCCTGAACCTACTGTAGCCCTAGGAGCCCTGCAGCCTTGAAAAGTGCGGAACCCTAACCTCATCTGAACCCCTAAGCCCCGACACCCACCCGAACCCCTCGACCCCCAAACCCCTAAACCCTACAGCTTTCCAAGGAAATGCCCCGAACCCTAAACCCTAAACCCTAAACCCTAAACCCTAAACCCTAAACCCTAAACCCTCAAGGAGTTTGGGGGCTCGTGGGCGCAGGCACCTGCCCCGTGGCATCCCGAGGAGCCTTCGGCATCAGCCCCAGCAGGGGGGTTCAGTCTAGGCTTCAGGGTTCAGGCTTCAGGGTTCAGGGTTTAGGGTTTAGGGTTTAGGGTTTAGGGTTTAGGTGTTCCCCTAGCTTAAGGTTGAGGCTTGTAGGGTTTTAGGACCCTGTTTCCTTTTTTTCGTGTTCTTGGGTTTTTGGTGGGTAGTGGAGGGCGCTTGCAGCGACTGAGTGCTGAAGTCCCGGGCGCAGGTGTTGGACAGAGCGCTGCCCGACTTCAAGGCCGCCGAAAGAGTTGATGCGGTGAGGTGAAGCCCAACCCCACGACGCTAGATGTAAAATATTCATACATATCATATGTCTTTTCTGTACAGATATGTGCATCTGCGAATTTAAAACTGATTGTGTTGTATGTATATATCTACGCTTCTAGATATGTATGTAAACATCTGCACATAAAGTACAAGTATTCACTTGCGACTTCATAGCCGTATGCATGTATGCATGCATGTATGTATGCATGACTCCTTTGGTTGGCTCCAGTTGGACTGGTCAGGGCCGGGATTCTGGAGACAAGGCCCTCCTCAACCCTCCTCGGCTCCCAGATTCTGAATCCAGTGCCTTTCAAGCCCCTAACGGCCGTGCTAGCTGCCAGTTCCTTTGCCCCCTCCCCTCAAAAAAGCCCACATCATCGTCTCTCAACTTCGATAGGGCCACACCCTACACCCTAAACCCTAAACCCTAAACCCTAAACCCTAAACCCTAAACCCTAAACCCTAAACCCCAAAACAAGCAGGACCTCCGGGATCCACCGGAGAGGGACTCCGGGGCCTCCGCGCCCTCCGAGCCTTCCCGCGCAAAGAAGCACGCGGAGAAGGACCCTGGCCTGGGGGGTTTAGGGTTTAGGGTGTAGGGTTTAGGGTTTGTGAGTTTAGCGGGTTTGGAGCGGTTCAATGGTTTGTTTAAGGCTTAGAAACCCTTTCAGTGGATTTGTTGTGGTTTTTGGGGGTTCCCTTCGAATCCCCATGAAGCCAAAAACCCTGAAGCCTTAAAAGTTGCTGAGCTATTCCGAAGGGCTACTCTGCGACTTCGGGGGGGATTGAGCGAAGATCAACATGGTAAAAGGGGGTTTCCTTCTGCCTAAGACCTATGCGTATAGTACTTGGCCTTGTGATCCTTGTAGTACCGAAGAATAAGAACACCCCTCTGATGCTCATTCTTTCCAATGCCCTTGCAAAAGATTCTGGCCCGAAGCCCCTAAACCCTAAACCCCTAAACCCCTAAACCCCTAAACCCCTAAACCCCTAAACCCCTAAACCCCTAAACCCCTAAACCCTAAACCCTAAACCCTAAACCCTACGCCCTAAACCCGAAACCCTAAACCCTAAACCCTAAACCCTAAACCCTAAACCGCTCGGGCAGGATCCCCATGACTGCTGTGGCGTGGCCTTGTGTAAAGGCCATGCGGTGCAGCGGCTTGGGCTGTGCAGCTTCCCCTACTTGCAGGTTCATAGTACTTTTAATAACATTATAGAACCCATTTTGTTTTGAATTAAAAACAGTTCATAGTACTTTTAATAACATTATAGAACCCAACTATGACTGTGCTTATCACCCACTTACAAGCCCCTTAAGTGCCCTAACGTGGTGATGATTGGGTTATCAGCACAGCGATAATTGGGTTATTAAGTAGCCTGAACCTCCAAGTCAGCTTCTTCTGTCTTCCGAACCTTCTGGGTGTCTGGACCCGGCCCTGCATCAGTTCCAGGGCAACACGTGCCTACCAGAGTGTTGCTACTTGATAATCCCTAGGACTGTTAGTATAACGGGGAACATCCCAAGTTGCTACACAGAAGTTGAAGGCATCACATGCAACGCTAAATTCCAAGCATGCAATCGTTACCTTCTCAACGCCCGTAAGGTACCACGATGCCAGGGGCTCAGCTTGCGCATCCTTGCCGTGAAACCATTCCAATGAGCTTAACGTAGCGGTTCTAAGTAAGGAAACGAACCCCTATGGGTGTCTTTCTTGGGGATTCTCTAAATCCGGGGCCCATGTGGGGGTACCCACTCCGTTGTTCAAGGAACCCTAAACCCTAAACCCTCAACTCTCAACCCTATAACCCTAAGCCCTAAGCCCTAAGCCGTACGTAAGCCCTAAGCCCTAAACCCTAAACCCTCAACCCTCAACCCTAAACCCTAAACCCTAAGCCAGTTTCCTCCCCTTTTCTTTCCCTAACAGCCAGAAGTTTGAAGCTCCAAGGACACGACCTGGCGGGGCACGGTGCTGGGCTTCACCCAGGCCGAGCCTGCTTGGACCCTGTTGGGGTTTAGGGTTTAGGGTTTAAATTTTAGATTTGGGGTTTAACCGCGTAAATATAAGGATCCCACACTACCGGGTCAAAGGGCCCCTTTGAGGGGGACTCTGGAAAACCATGCTTGTACAATCCTCATGTTTATGTGCTTCTTTTTGGGCCCCTGTGTACACTAGGCAATGTTTAAGGGGTGCTGGCGAATTTTCTCTTTATTCAGGTTACGGGGAGTATGTTCTGTAGTATCGTCAATTTAGTAGCAATTTCTCAGTGTTTTTTAGCAAAGCAAGAGTATAGCAATTGTAAAGAAAGGTAGCGCAATAGTGCAGAACTCAGCAAGAGCGCAGTAGTCGCGCGGGTTCAAATCGAGCAGGGGGTTGGGTTTCAAATCCGGGGCCAGCCACTAACGACTTGAGGGGGTTACTTAAGCAGCACTTGACCCTGAAACCCGGGGGAAGGCTGGAAGGGCTCACAACCGGAACCAGAACGTGCGGAATGCGTTTATGAAGCCCTCAACAGCGCAGAATGAGTTTGGCCATCAGAGTGCATTGCAAAACCCTGGTCCGGACGGACGACAAGTGGTGTCGGAGCTTCCGGCCTGCAGGAAGAAATGCATTTTCAAAGCCCTGAAAGAACTTTTTTTTGGCCAGCCGATTTGTTTGGGGCTTCCAGGGCCTCCCTGAGTTCAGTGAAGTATACATAAGTATACTGCATTGTCCATTTGTGCGCCAGGAGCTTCTGAAAGGCTGAAGAGCTTAACGTACGCACGCTGTGGTGTGGCTGCAACTTTTCAATGACCTGATCAACCTGGTCGACAGGGCATTGTGCCAATCCTGGACTGGAGGATGACGCTTGAAATCGATTAGTCTTTCTGACGCGTGCCTGGCGGTACGCATGAAGAGACTGTTGACCTGATTTGCCAGGACGTTGGGCAGTTTGTGTTGGAATCGGGCGAGTCATAATCAAGATGATGACAGAAAGTGTATTAGTCTTTCGCACCGACGTTGCACGTGTGCCACGGTGTGGATTCCAGCCTTTCAA